AGTTGGCCTTAAGACAGTCACATCCCCCTTTGTTCCCCTTTTGATTTTGTTAGATGTATCAGTGAGTGTCAATGGGGCTCCATATCCTATAGCACTTCCAACACCTGCAACTACATTCTGTAACATAAACAGTGAAGTGAAGCACGTATAGACTTGTGTGTGAACGTACTAGGGGATATGAGAAGGTATGCAGCTCTTCTGTTTACGTAAATCACCAACTGAATAAATGCTCAATACCTCAGCTGCTATTTCAAGGACATGAGCCAATGGTAGGTAAGCCATATAAACATCCTTGTCTTCAAGGCGAGGAACAATTGTCCTAACAGCAGAAACTACAGCCAGGACATTGCCATGTGTCATCATTACACCCTGTACAGAATGGACATAATAGATAAATAACTGATCAGTAAGCTCTGACAAGGGGTTGTATAATTATTTAAAATGCCAAAAATATAGATGGGTGTTATGGATGCATTTGTGGGTAAAACTTATGCTCGTAGGGGTGGCAGTTAAGTTCAGTACAGGAGGGTTACATTATGGCTTGCTTCATGTTTTTTGCTGTCTTGTTTCTGTTGTTTTGTATTTGTTCTGCCGTGTGATGTTGCTGGTTTTTTGTTTCCTACAAACTTGGGAATTATCCCTATTTAGTAGCTAGATCTATTTAGGACTATAGATAGAATAAAGACTCCTAATTGGGAGTAAACTCTTGTTATTTTCTGCCTATTTAAAGGCTAATAACCGAATAAAGAGGAAGCAATTATTCAGTCAAATTGAGGGTAAAACTCACGGAGTTTTCCTAGGCAAGGAGGGGCTGGTCACGGACTGCCTCATTCCTCTAGTCACCATAGGTTCATCTAGGAAGGGGAAGAACACGAGCAAGGGAAAAGAGGTGGATTTTCCCGTGTCTAGACCTGTGACGAGATCCTACACTAGGGCTCATAACAATGGGATTGGTAATTCTTACTTCAAACCCTAGAACCTATAAAAAGACAAATCAATCAATTCTATGGGAGAGCTTCTAAGCAGCGTCTTTAACAAAAATTCTCATATCATGCCAATCATGCATGTCAAGGACCATAAGCACCAGCATGGGCTTAGCAATATTTAGGGAACAAGTCTCCTCATTTGAGGCATAAAAAGGATGGATCATTGTTAGTCCACTACTTTACACACAAGTCAAACATCTGGAATGGAACCTGTCAAGGAGCCTTTGAGCTTAAGTCAGAGCCAACATCTCATCAATGTGAACAGCCAGGGAGTTATGAGGATGCTTAGTCCTTTGGTAAATAAAGACTCCTCTCATAATCAATTGAAACATCACATAGAGATCCAAGCTACTCCTCGGTCAACAACCAACTAATGAGGAACCAACTAAGATGCAATATGGTGAAGTAATGAGCTAAAGATGACGTGGAAGATGCACATCATAAAATAGATGCACCTAACCTTAGGCAGCCCAGTACTCCCACTTGTGTACATTATAACTGCAACATCTGCTGATAAAGGTAAAGCAGCATCAACTGGATTTTCTTGTCCAAGTTTCTCCACATCAGCTATTGAGACAACTCTCCAGCAACCGCTTTGCACCACAGATGATGCACTTGATGGAATTTCATCATCCATACATATTATGCGTTTCACTGTGTCAAGCTGTCCGCTTACTTCTGCAAGTTTTTTCAGTTCTTTGTTCCCACAAATCACAGTAGTAACTTCTGTCTGAAAAGAAGAAAACTCAAAATCAAAATTGAGCAATATGCAGCAATAGGACAAGAAATTTTTTTTATACCAAATCATTCAATTTCCAACAAATAACATGTTCCGACCAATAGGTTTACAGCAATGTGGATGTATTTGGGCAAATGCCAATCTAGCAAATTGGAGTGTTAGCTAGATAAAGAGAGAGAAACCTCATTTAGTGAATAGCAAAGAGCCTCCTCTCCCAAAGATGCGTAGATGGTAACCACAGAGACATTGCGCCTAAAACAACCCTGATACAAGATAAACCCATCAGCTACTGAGGTTATTATATGAGAGATACACTGGATTTCACGTACTAAAAAGTAACACACCAAAATATTTCATTCGTCAACTAGGTAAATGAATGTGAATTCCAAATAGTTCTGCAAAGAGAGATCATTAATAAAAACTCAAGCTCACTTGCGTCACTTTCCATATAACATGATCATTGAAAAAGAAATCACAATATGTAAATAAATAAACATGATATTCACAAAAGAATGAGCACCTGTAAGGCAATAAACCACTCTGCTCTTGTATCAGCAAATATTGCGACACGTTCCTCTCTTCTATGCCCTAGGTGAGCTAACCCAGAAGCAAAATTGCAAACTCTTTCAAACACTTGCCCATAGGTCAGCCACTCATATTCTCCCAAATGAAGCTTCTCAAAAGACTTTCCATCTGCAGTTACTTCAGTGTCCTTTGAGATTAATTTCCTCGTTCCAAGCAAGCAATTATCTTCATGTTTCTTGCACGCCATCTCAAAAAGCTCAGCAAGAGTAGAGACACCTTCCCATGCAGTTTCCAAAAGGGTCGGAAATTGAGAGTTTCGAATCGCATATCCTGATTCCCCACCAACATCAACAGGCACCCCACGTTTCTTTGTGTTCCTGGAATTCCGATAGAGAAGAGTACCTAGAAGAGGAACCAGGAAACCGACTATATATGGAGTCATCTTTCAACTATAGACCCTGGTTCTACCAAATCTTTCTAAATCCTGAAAACAAAACAACTTCTATAATTTGTCATTGTTATTAGTACCTGATATCGATCAGAGATATCGTCACAACAACAAAAAATGATCATCCATGGGTTACCTGTATAGCTATCTATCTATGCAACTCCAGTGAAATTAAATAAAGTAGTAATTAATAATTGCAGCAGTTCAACAAAATTGAAAGAGAAAAAATAGAACAGACAAACACTCCATAATTACATAGATTTTTTCTGTAATAATATCAAAAGACAAAACATAGTATCGATAATGTGCATGTGATCTCTAACATAGAAATCTATGTATGGAAACAAATACTAGTAAAAGACATTACAACAAAAAATTTGATAGCATTGTACAAAGAAATTAGTATTACCGGGCTGGCTGGCTGGCTGGCGTCGTTGAATTCTGTGTCTGAATGAAAATGGAAAAGCAAGGCAAGAAGGATGACAAAGGATTTGCAACTTAAGGAGAGAGTGAGTAGTGAGAGAGAAAGGATCAAAACGTTTGAAATAATCAAGTTTGGGGGAAGGAGATTCAGGAGAAGGTTTTTCTTTTCTTTTCTTTTCCTCTTTTTTTTTTTTTTTTTAGTTGGACGGAAAGATCGAGGGTATGGAGGTTGGAGTTTCAGGAGTTACCAGTGCTACTGCAACTTGTATCTTTGTTTGTTTCTGTTTTGTTTTTAATATTTACCGTTGCTCTCTCTCTCTCTCTCTCTCTCTCTCTCTTTTTATAATAGACGATTGACGAGAACAACCACAATTGGCTGCTTCGGGGCCATACATTTGGCAATTTGAACTCAGAGGTTTGGCAAGATCAGAACCGTGCAAAACGGGCGATGGAGACTAGAGGGTCATGGATGTGGTGCATGTGACCCATATATCACTCTGATGTGCCTGCCTCCAGCAGCCTTTCATTTGATGGTCCGCGGTTAAGGTTTAGGGTTTTTTTTTTTTTTTTTTTTCAAAGAACAGTTTCGGTTTAGGCTTTAATTAGGAACAGTTATGATCTTACGATCAGAAGAAGAAGAAGGAAAGAAAGGAAAAAAAAAAAGAAAGAAAGAGAGAGAGAGAGAGAGTTACGATCTTTTTTTATAGCTTAATAAACTAGCGAAACGTAACATCAGTTTTTTATTTATTTTATATTGTTAAGGTCACTGGTGTCGTCGGCTCCGTTTCCGCGTGTCTAAACCATTTACCTCTCAAATTTTATTAAAATCAGGTCATCCGGCCGAAATATAAGCCGTAGGTCAAAGTAAAAAATATAGTTGATTTTCTCGGTAACTTCATGTGATTTTTTTTTTAATGTTTCAGAACAAATTAGTGGGATTTTCAAAACGAAGATTTGAAGTGTCGATCTTGAAATGGACTGACAAGAATTTGAAAAGTCAAAAACTATCCTCCTTGGTTTCGGTTCATTAAGCCACTAAATTGTCTCCCTCAAGAAAAGGAAAAAAGAAAAAAGAAAAATATATATATATATATATATGACCTCCAGCTATTAAGTGAGGTACCGTTTTAATTTTAAGAACAAATGATCCTGAGACAATGTAGTAAGGTTTGCTATGGCCAAATAATGTGCCTCGAACCACTGAACCAACAACGTGTAGGCAAATTTCCCATTGATTCAGAGTTTGGTGCAACTGCTTCTCTATTACTTTTTTCTAAGGCAACTTTGATTTTCCCCTTGTGTGTTTGAGCAAATTCTACAATGCCTTCTCCATGGGTATCAAATTTAATGCCTTTTTTTTTTTTAACTGGAATTCGTTAGTGTTTTTACAATTTCACACTCGATTCCACCGAAAAATCACATTCAATTCCGGAATTCAGTATATACATCGAAGCTTGGTGTTCGATATATGAGACGAATGAACACATTCGGTGACCGTGACTTCGGGACTTGGGTCCAGACAAAACAGCGCCTTCCTCTTCGAAGCCCCCGGTATGCATAAATAAATTAGCAACATACAGCCCAACCCAAATCCATTCAGCTGCAACGCTCCATATTTTTTCTTACCTAATCCTTCGGACACTACAATTCACAATGCGGATATGCTCTAGAAATATCCATGGTTCCAAGATCCAAATAACGGTGCACTATATAACCTAGCTTTCTTTGTCTCAACATCAACTAATTAGTAATTACCCATGGCAACTGTGTGAACATGTCGGAAAGGCAAATCTTCCTATTTTAAGTGAGAAAAAGAAGAAGAGAATGAGGATAATGCATGTTGACACTTGATACATACAGTATATATAGTATCAAAGTTTCAGTTTGTCGGTGATCTTCCATTCATGGCATCTTGATCATTTCCATGGGAAGCTGCCCCTGAGAACATTTCCATCACTGACCTGAAAGCTCCTCTTAGCTCATCTGGCATATTCTCCGTCAAATTCACACCAATGTTCCCACCAATTCTTATATCAGGTTCATCAGATCCATTACCGCTCCCACCTTCTCCTTGCCTGTCTTGAGATTGTTCTCCCATGTATCCAGTCATGTTCCTTAACATGCTTGCAAAGTCAACAGGAATGCCATTAATGTTGAATTGCATTGGCATACTATGGCTCCTAGACCCTGTGGATTGGTTGCTAAATTCATGATTATCAACATTGGATGAACTAGTATTCTGCACAGAGAAGGATTTGAACATAAGAAACCAGGTGATAGTAAAGCAAAAGAAATTCAGAATAAAGTGATGAAGTGGGAGATGCACAAACTTCTTCAATAATGAAAAGACAACTTCCCAACACACACATACCCATAATACAATGAAGGTACAAGCAGCAAATGGGGAAAAGCAAACAGTAAAGATTTCTATAAAATGTTCATGCTTCATATTGCCTACTTAAATCCTTGAAAAAAAGATTATTTATGAATAGTAGTAATGCTAATGCAGCAACAGCTGGATTTCTTTAGTAACAAGAAACCCAACCCATTTACAGTAGCATTATAATATCAAATTGAATATCTAAAAGATTGTTTATAACCACATTTAAAATAAATAAATAAATAAGATCTACTGGACTAGCAATTCAATTATCAAATGATGGAGAAAAACAGAAAAGTAAAATTACCTGGTCCCGTTCTGTTCGTTGCTGCTGTTCTTTCAATTTCTGCTCAGCTACCTACATTCATGAGGACAATAAGCAACAACCATAAAAGAACAAGAGGAGGACTAGAAAAATAAAGAAGGCACAAACCCGAATATTTTCTTGGACCGATTCATTGTTGGGGTCTAGTTGCAAGGCTGAAGGGGGGAAAAAAGATAAGATTATTTACCATAATAATGAGTCCTTAGTTCCACACACTAAAGTTCAACATTATTGCTTCCACAATGTAGTTGTTAAATTAATGACGATATTACCAACCAAGTTCTAATGGTTTAAAGCACATCCCAACAACAATAATAATGACTTAAACATTCTATTCCATAAATTCAATTGATATTAACCAAAAGAAAGCATTCAGTGCACTCATATATTCTCTTCGCTTTAACTTTCATAGAAGGCAAAATCATTTATTACTGAGGAAAATTTACATCACAAAAAAATAACTAAAAGATTAAAATTGTTAGCTGAAATACTATTTCCAGCACCATGGGATGGAAATTTGACTGCTGGATGACCTCTGGCATATTAGATTCATCTCTCAATGCAATTAGTATGGGGCAAGTAACCGAATGCTGATAATTTTATATAACTCTCTCCCTATCATATGAGCTTGGACAAGGGGAGATGGTTGCAACAAGGAAACTCAGAAGACAATCATTAACCAATTTTTAGTGCTACAGCAATCACTAAACACACCAAGTTCGCATGTGATCAACTCAAGTACTAAGTGTACTGAAATGGAAATGTGGAAAAAATATCATACACAGTGAACCTAGAGCATTCATCGTCAGCCAGAAAGCATTCAGAATTGTTACTGACACCTGATTTCTCCACAAAGTATCATTGCCATCTAACAACATCAACTATGACGCACAATAAGGTCAAATGTCCCTTTAAAAATCAAGAACTAGGCTGGGTGTACGCCCAAACTACCATCCAGAAGCAACTTATGCTTCATTATTAGGGTTTTTAAGAGGTCTACCAATTTCAATGGGTTGCCAGCTTTTCTCCTTCGATGCAAATTGATGATGGACTTGTATTTGCTAAACTATTAAAAGCTATCTAGAATGCGACACAAACTCACTTGACTATAATCCAATACTCGCATATCTGAAACAAAAAAATTGTACAGCTAAACATAAGAACGAGCACATCCTTATCAAACTATCAAGCAAAAGTGCCTATGCGAGAAAATCAAATTTTTAGTGCAACACCGAGATGGTAAAAAATGAAACAATTGGGAAAACGTATATATTAATTTAATCCATTCCATATATATAGAAAAGAATTCAAAATGCATAAACAAAGAATTCAAGCACAGGTCGAGGATTTCAGTAGATTGCATGACAATTGGCATCTCTTAATATCCAAGAATTAGTGTTACACCCACCTTTCTTAAATCCTTTATCAATAGCATCCCTGTAGTTCCCTTGTGCATAATAGGCTAATCCAAGGCGACTGTAGGCTTTACTGTAACCAGGGTCAATTTCGACAGATTTAAGACAATCTCTGATTGCTTCATTATATTTGTGAACCTGAGTGTAAGCAGCTGCCCTGATGTGCATAAATCATGTTAATCGATAGAAACCTTGGATGTTTGTGAATCTGCATATACCACTATAAAGGGCCCCAGTTATAGCCCAACAAATTTGCATAAAGTGCATACCCTTAGTCCTCAAACATAGGTGCAAGCAGAAAACAAACTTCAATGTGAGAGATTCATATATTGTGAGCATGCATAATAAAAAGGATCAGTAGGGCACCTGTTACAGTAGTAAACAGCATTATTTTCACAAAGTGAAATGGCGCAAGAATACAACTCTATTGCATCAGAGTATAGCTTATACTGCACAGCCCTGTTACCTAGGAAGCAAGCAAAAAAATACATATTACAATCAGCCTAAAAGCAACAACAAACTAACACAGCACTAGCCTGAGCACAAAATTAAACAGTACTGATGTGAACAAGACAGCTGAGTGAAGCAAGAAAAATGATGAAATATGGTAACTGATAAATTGAGTGAAATATAGCAGTAGATATCTCTTCCTTCCCCCTTTATACATTCCTAAGCACATTATTAACAGCTAAAATAATGCAGAAACATAGAAACATTTAAAGGGTGTATTTTTGGTTCGACGACCACAAAGTTTTTCATACACTGGTTTGCAACAGAGATATTAGCAGAGGTGTAAAAAAAAAGGCATTACTAGATTCCCAGAATCTGCCCAATACAAAGTGAGGTAATCTGCATACAATTTATAGATTAAAAGAAACCCACTTTGTAAAGACACAGAACTCAAGTGCAAGGTGTACCTTGTGACTTTAATGCTTCGGCTAGACTGTGGCGGTCATAGGAATGGCATCCATTTTTCTCCATTTCCTGATATAAAACATAATTCTTCTCATCAATCAAGCTTTGCAGTGGAACACCATATATCATATCAGCACATAAACAATCAAAACATGACAATAAATTTTATAAATCTACAATGATGAGCCGTGTAGAATTAGAGTGCTAGTAAGAACTGTAAAAATTTACATTTAAAGCATCATGAAACAACCGTGTGGCTCTATCGAGTTGGGCAGGATCATCGTTCCCGTCAGGAGTTGTTCTAAAGAAGTGCATTTTCTCAAGCGCAGCAAAGAATTGCCCAAATAGCTCATCTCTAGATAGCCCTGCCATGCCAATAACATTCAAAATCAATCCAACACGCCTTCTAATTAAACCCTAGAAGAGCAGAAGCAATAAAAAGGAGTATCACATCACACACACCATCATTAGTATTATCATAAGCATAAGAAGAAGTGGGAGCATCCACAGGAGTCGTGCCGCGGCTAAAATCCGATTTGTTTTTTTGGTGCTCATTTGCTTCCACTGAGCGAAATAAATCAATCAACAAACCAGGTTCTACGGGATTATCGTCAATAGTTGGTGAATCAAGCTTAAATGCATCACCCAGACATTCTTTAGCAACCTCCAGACCTTCTAGGTCAACACCGGGAGCAGGTTCTACTGAAAAATAATAATAATAAAAGGGATTAAATAACCACAATTCGATAACAAATATATATATATATATATATATATATATATAGAGAGAGAGAGAGAGAGAGAGAGAGTTGAGCATAATATGAAATGCAATTAATGGTAAAGAAGATTAGAGAGAGAGAGGTGCCGGAGTTGAGGAAATCGATGAAGGCACGAGCGATGCGACGGGAGAGAGGAGAATCGGTTTTCAATTTACCCATCGAAGGAGATAGATAGCCAAGCGCGCATGATAAGAAGAAGCGTTAATGAAGATTTAAGAGGTTTTTATTTTTCACGGAAGGGGCGAGAGAGGAGAAAGGATACTTGCTCGAAGAGATTTTTAAGACCGTGTTTGGCTGCAATGAGAATCGTATCGGGCCCTTGGGCCGTGGAAAATATATATATATATATCTTAAAGCCCGTTTGGTATTTGCATTTTAGGTGTTTTCCAAAGTATTTTTAGCTGAAAAAACATCCTTTTTGTGTGTTTTTCAATAATTGTAATATAGAAATACCAAAATTATCAATATGAATCTAAAACAAGTTATTTTAGAGTTTTTTCAATCCAAAAGCCCTCCCAACCACATTATTAATCCAAAAAATTGAATCCTTCAATATATTAAAAATCGAAATTAAATCCCTCCCTTTCCATCATCTTTCAATTGATTGTTACCTGCATTTTGTTTACTGGATCAATCTAACCACATTGTCTTAATTGATGACATTACCCATTAGCATTAACCAATAAAAACGTTATTTTGAAGGGAGCGCAGCATTTTGATTAAAAACTTATTATGATTTGGAACAGAAGGGCTCAATTGATTCTTTAGAGGACTTGATTGAGAGTTTTTATAAGCATTTTGATTAAAAACTCATTGTGATTTGGAACACAAAGGCTCAACTGAGAGCTCAATTGATTCTTCAGAGAACTTGATTGATATTTTCTAAATATTTGGAAGACCAATTGAAGGTTTATCGAAAAACATAAGAACATGGATTATGCTCCTAAAAAATAAAAAGATGAAGAGTATGAGCTCAAAATTCAAGAACGCACAAGAAACAGAGAATTAATGAAACATTCATTTCACAAAAAATCATTAAAATTGATTTTTACTGCCCATAAATATTTTGGTAAAAAAATTACAGATGTATATTTAGTTTCAAGTCACTCTATGTGCAGGGTTTAGAGGGGAGTACGGCTCATGGCTATTGCATCATCGTGAAGAAATTCCTCACTGACAATTTTAGTTCTTGAAAGTGATGCCAAAGAGATTAATTTTTACATCCCATAATTTCATAATTGTCATTAATACTAGAGATTCTATTTCATGATTTAAATAACTTTCCCCATAACAATTGGGACATCAATTGGTGAAGCTTTTGCACAATTCAAGTACCCCTAGCTTTACTACTCTTGAACCCATTACCCCTCACGTCCACTGCCAAGTAACCAAAAGAAAGAGAGAAATCGTAGAAAGGGAAATTGCAGTGGCACACAAACCCCAAGCACTCCCCAGAATAAAACCTTTCTTTCTCTTAGTCCATTGCGGAATTGTTCTAATGAATGTTCCAGTATAAGGAGACCCGCCACAAGCAGTCCAGTGACTTAATTCTGATAAAATTAATGACAATTATTTACGAAAATATGGCCATCAATGGCTCTTGTAAGAGCATTAAAGTTCTATTTAGAGTAACTTATGATGAACAGCTTTTTACTTTCGGTCATAATTCAAGAGCCATTAGGGAAAAGGTTGAAAAAAAATTTAAGAAAAGAAAGATTAATAACCTAGATGATCGTGATAGACAGCAGTTACGCCAACCAAGAAGCCCAGTCATTCCAACACCCATTAAAAAAGTTGAACCTACTAACTCTCAAAAAATCAAAGAATACTCCAATTACTGCAGAATTCCGAGAAACCAACTTTTATCATGAACTAGGAATTTAAGCCGCCGTACGCCCGTACCATTACTTTCCCAGCAAGTGGCATACACCAAATAGAATGACTTATTACGGACAATCCCATAATACACGAATGGGACACAGAAAAATCACGAACACAAACGGTGGCACTCTTGGTAATTACACTTTTTGGACTTTTGTTAACTCTGTTCCCGCATTTCTTTCTGTTTGTTCCGTTACATAAATCATTTTCTTTTAAGACCTTCCTAAGGTGATTCTCCCGCAAAGGGAGTGAGGTTAGGACCTGAGCTCGGACTCTTTATCATTACTAACTTAATAACAAGGAAAAAGGAAAAAACTATATTACATGACTCAAGCTTCTTCAATAAGACCGATAATCATCAATAATGACCAGGTGATTCATCCAAATGGTTATCGGTCTCAATTAATCTAATTCTGAAAAAAGTTCAGCCGAATTGTAAATTAGACTTTCTGTCGCCTTGTTCTCCTGGCAACCTGAAAGAAGCAACAATGTTAATCAACCACAACTTATCTGTTGCAAAAATGCAAACAAATAAGAAACAACACTATCAATTTTCCAGATGTTGAACAACGTGGTTAGCTTAAATGATGAAAATATGTTGATCTAACCCCGATTAAGAAACCCAAAAAGAAAAAAAGAAAGGGAAAAGGTGCAATGATCACTTGATAATTTATATCAATTCAGTCTAAACAACAGTCATGATGTTAATTTTCTTAAATTGAAATATAGCCACCATAAGGATAACAGGTACTGATAGCTATATTCACTTGAGATTTTGTTAACAACTTCTTATAGTGAGATTCTTAAAATCAGAAATTTGTTCTCTACAAATTAACCTTTATTCTAATTTCTAACTTACAAATGAAATATTAATAGAAACCTCTCCTTGATAATTTACTTGTTTTTTAAGAATAAAGGGTGGCACCTATTAGGATATTTAATTCAAAGTAACATTGTCCAATTGAGTAGACAAAAATATTAACTATTAAATATTAATAGAAACATTTTCATGGAATGAGTTTGCAGGGAGTCATGCCAAGTTTTTTCATCAGAAAGCAGACAATCCGCACTATGGTCACTTTCCCAACAACATGCTACATTAAATAAAGAAAGAGAGCGAGTACAGCTTACACAATCTTCATTTACATTGATGATTTCTGATGCTGATGTGTCCAAGAGAATTTTCTGTCCATTCTTTCCCTTCGCTGCACCAAAAAACAATTTTGTATCATTCATAACAGCACCATAACTTTGTGAAGGACTTGCAGTGCAATACAGCTTCTAATAGTACTATTAACTTAAAATGAGCAGACTTTCACCCAACGGCAGACATGGTTTTTTAAGCATGGTAGCTCGTGCACCGATGAGACTTTCAAATATGTCATAAAAGCTGAACATATGTGTCAAGTTTCACAGAAATTGACAAGACAGGTGGCAGCATCTTTTTGAGAGCCTGGGGCATAAAAGTTGAATGCGGTGAACTAAGCAAATACTTCCACATTCGTGTGAACATTTCTGAAGATCCAACCAATTATTTCACAAATTGCAAAAAAAGACCAATCACATCATTAGATGCAACATATATTTATCATGGGAAGATAAACATAATTAGTTTCTTCGATGGATAACTGATTATAAAAAAAAAAAAAAAAGAAGCCAAAAAAGATACTAGAGGGCCCATGTAAACCATTTCTTACTCTGTTAAAGCACGATTCAGATCTATTCAATGCCCTTGGGAACTCTGATTCATAACCCATAAAGTTCTATTTCTTCTGTAATGTTTATTACAAGCCATACAAAGGATTCAAACAAAATAAACAACTTTAGAACTGAGAATATGGTGCTAAATGCCAAGTATCCAAGTTAGGCACCAATTTGACGTGTCTGTTAGTTACATGCAAGGAATTGTGAGATGCAGAATATAGCTCCCAAACTGTTATTCTCAGCTAAACACTCCACAGAGACAAAAGGTTCCAGACGAAGGCAGTAGCTTGATGATGGAATATAACGGTTGTTATGGTAGGATGGGAACATCGTAGAAAGAAACGAGAGCTGTGAGAAAATGAAACTGTTTGAGTTATATGGTATATTTTTAATCGTCAATAAAACTTTATCGAGGGCAGGTTATGATCTAACAATCTAACCAAGTGTTGCAGAATTTTTAACAGTTCATAATAACTAGTTGCTGATAGATGATAACAAACTCATAGATGACTCAAAAGAAATAATTCCTCTTTGCCAAATTGTTTAGAGGAATTATTGAAAACTGCAGGTGTACTACTGCCTCCTCTCACATTTATGTGTGACTCGCTACAGATTACTACCTTTGATCCAGCATTAATGTGAATGAGGGAGCAGGCACAGAATCATCTCCCTATTGCTGATCCATCAATTTAAACCAATACCTAAAGGAGCAGCCAGGCACGGCAATCATACTAATATGAAAAAGGTATTTATGACAAAATTATTGCTTCAGAAATATAGCTTGTGATATTTGATAATATTTTTAATCTGTACATAAAAATTGCTAACTACCGAACCTTATACTAGACAATATTTGAGTAATTCTGAAAAAGGAAACAGTTGAAGACTGAAAGTAAAACAATACAAAACTAATACCTAAAGGAGCAGGCAGGCACAGCAATCATACTAATATGAAAAAGGTATTTATGACAAAATTATTGCTTCAGAAATATAGTTGTTATATATGATAATATTTTTAATCTGTACATAAAAATTGCTAACTACCGAACCTTATACTAGAAAATATTTGAGTAAATCTGAAAAATGGAAACAGTTGAAGACTGAAAGTAAAATAATACAAAGCTAAGCGTACTCCATGCCATAAACTAACATTAAATGAATATTCATTCAACAAATATTTCATTAAACCTAGAAAAAACATGCAAGGCTAGCAGAACTTTACCAGGTAAAGAGGTCACTCTGTTAGAGAATCTTCGGCTTTCCATGCTTGCTAAGCATTTGGTCTGTTTGGCAGCACCATCTCCAAATGCATTACAAGTTTCTTTTTGACTACTGAGAGAAGGGTACCCAGCAGGATTGCTGCAAATTGCAACAAAATTGGGGTTGAGAGAATTTTGAAAACATGAGCTAAGAGAGAGCAAAACGTTGTATTGGATCTATTACTGAAACCATCTGAATGAAATTAACAACTATGGTTAAATATTTTGAATTTTTCTTTCCAATTTTTGCTGTCCATAAATGACAAAATAAGAAGACATAAGCATCATCCTCCAATAGAAGAATGCCAGTTTACCAAGTAAGCTGTTTGCATTAATAATTTGCCAGCAACTATGCTGTTGGAAACTGATAGAGAGATTGAGAAATTATTCATGACTCACCGATGAACTGAATGGAGGGTGTTTGACACCTCAGTGAGCAAAGTCTCCTGCTGATGCAAAACATAAACCAAGGAAAAAAATGAAAAAGAAAGATCCAATCAACAATGGCTCTTATTGCCAAGGCAGAAACTCTGTGTAAGATAACATGAAAAGAAAATAGCTGGTCAGAGAGATGTAAGATTTGAAACATAACTCAAGAACAAAGGATAAAATAGAATATGAAACAAAAAAGCATAATTCTCTGAATTAAAGTTGAAGCTATTTTGTCACAGGATAGTACATCTTGAAATCTTGCCTCCTGAAAATTAGTTGGTAAGGGGACCGTTCAAAATGTCTTGGTAGGGAAAGAGACTGCTACAACTCGCTAGAGTAATTTAATACGATAAATTATAATTTATTCCATGTTTCTAATACAATTGTAACTTATCCCTGTTATTTGGAAATTATAATTAATACTTTGGATTCATGTTGACTGTTAATTTATGTTAGTTTTGTAATTAAATACCCATAATACCTTTTATAAAAACAAAATACGTGTGTTCCCAAGGTTTAAAAAGAACATAAAGTCTGTTTGTGTTTAGTTTTTACATATTATTTATCAGCTCTGCATTTTTCCCAAGGTTGCGACCAATACAGAAGTCAATCAAAACTGAAATCTCAAGGAACTGTAGACATCCCAACACAACAATTACCACATAATTCTAACAAAGTGCCAAAGTCTATAATTGCTTTGTTAGCAAAACAAGGATTCCTGGCGTTTAGCTGTCACCTTTTCCAATAGAGAGTTATCACTCATAGTCTCCCGGCTTTCACTATCCAAGCATAAAAGGTCACCGCTATCATAAGAAATCTGCAAATGATATTTCAACTTACAAGAAAAAACTAGCCAGCAAAAAACTAATGTGCGGAGTTGATCAGCAAAATGTTCATAATATACCATAGCTAATGAGATAAAATACACGTCTTCCTCTAATACTAAAATAATTGTGCTCATCTGCAGTGGATATATACTCAGTTTATGGATATAGAGAGAGAAGATCAGGTTTCAACTTACATGAGTAAAACTAAATGCCATACACAATTTCTCAATAATTAATTTGCTTTTAATCTAACTGTTGATATGAAATCTATTTTAATTACACATTTCCCCTCTGGATTGTGATACCCGCCACTTCTTTCTTCTGATATTCCAACATATATTCTCCTGCTTATGTTAACACAATTTTCTCTCATCTTTCCATCAAAGTGACAAGATCGCCACTTCCTATAAACATGGATCTATCAACAAAACATATTCATGTATACAGGTCCTTTGATGGCTCACCATGACTTGCTTGGCGCACAAAAAGGGCATATAGTTAAACTTTACACTGTATTGTCCTTTAATTTGCATTGAACACACAATTTGTATTTTTATTTTGTGATTAGTGCTGTGAGGATCTAACCACTCTATCTGACTAGAAACAGACACAAAAACCAATTGTTTATATATAGTATTGCCTCAACGATGTCACAGGATTAGTCTTCAACTAGAAGTCCTCATCAACTAGAGATAGCATTTTGATCATCTTCTAAGTTACGCACTTATGCTTCATTCTTGATAATGAATTCTTAAGCAGTATGAAAATAAATAAAAAACTAGTCAAAATTCTAAAAAGTGAAATGCAAACACGGGTACACATACATACATACAGATAGAGAATGCACTTACCCTCAACCTGTGAGTTTCTTTAAGCTCGGCCTTGGAATATTTGGAGGTGGTAATACTTCTACTAGTCTCAGCATTTTCTTTTAAAGAAGGAATGGTACTGTCCGCTTTCAAAACATGAGATCCAAGCTGAGAGAGTTTCAAGGTTGCAGAAACACAAGATGAAGAATTCCGACTTTCCTCCAGGATGGATTTAGAACTTTTAGATGCATAATCTTTGTGCATGACAATGGCAGAACGCTTATTGGGCAATACAGCAGATTCAGAATCAATTGGAGAAACGGCGCGTTTTCGCTGACATCCCAAACCAATTTCCTTAGCTGCAGTTTTTTGCTTTTCTCTTGTACCCCTCAATGATAAACGAGCGTTTGTTTGTGATACTGGATTACTTGTGTTTCGTTCAACATCAGAAGACTGAATGCTAACCTCTTGACCCTTTTTCCTACGTTTGGAAAGAGTGCTAGCAGGCTAGCAGAAACAAAATATATTACATGAAAAATCTTCATAAAAAAAAGAAATTAGGTTAAAGGAGCCTGCTAGATATCTACCCCAGACATTTGAGATTTCAGAATGTGGACGACTCTTTTCAAAAAGCTTTCACCAACACTGAATTTGGCAAGACGTTTCAAGCTAGCCTGCATATCAAGAATAAATTAGAAGATAACAAGCTAAGTCACCCACAAACGTTAAATGTCCTTCCAAAACTTGCCTCCTCACACTTCTTAACAACACTTATTCTATATAACGATGATGGTAGCAAAAAGCACATCCCAGAGGCAAGTGATGAGGAACTGCCATTATGGTTTAATTCATTTACTATGGCGATCCCAATCTCTGCCAGAATGACCAGCTTCTGCATTCACAAATATTAACTTTGAATTAATATAAAGCACCATAAATATCAGAAGATCAACAAAGGAAATACTCTCGAAGTGAAAGAATACTAACAGGAGTTGCATGAGCATCAACAGCATCTTCGGTTTTTCTAATAGCACGAAAAATAAGAAGCAAATACAAGACAGCATCATTTATATGTTCCATGTCACCATTGACGATACTAGCATTTACCAACGCCTGTATGACCCAAAAGAGGGGACTGCAGAAGAAAAGTATTACAAGTAACATCAGCTTAATAAAATTATATTATTATAAGTACTTAATTGGCTTCAGATTACCCACCTGCAAAACTGAGCATATACTTGTTCATCATGACAGCCATCAGGTGGGAAGCCAGCATCATGTGCGAGAACATGGATGAGGAAAACAACAATGTATGATGGATAATCCATGCATGAGCTTCCTTGCACTCCAGATGTTTGACGCATTCGAGCTTCTTTGCTGTAATCCTTGATAAATTCTTCCATGTATTTAAATGACTAGAGCAAACATTATCAACGGAGATTATTTGATATAAGAGTACACAAAAAGCATTTGATAATACATATGAGAATCATACAGATGAGGGACAAAAACATACAGCATCTTGAAGATCCTTGCAGTGATCAGATGCAGCCAATGGATAAGCACAAGCATATCTACTGGGTATAACACGCTCCTTCAACAGCTTATGCGTTTTATCAAGGAATGATCTCCCAACAAAAGAACAAGATTCCTAACAGAATTTATCAAAAAAACAAAAGAAAACAAGTTGCAGGAAGCTAACAAATTCACATATAAACATAACAGCAGAGCAACCAAGAAGAAACACCAAGGATGCACGATCAAATTTCCAGGCAACAACCATCTCTGGTGATTTCAAAAACACCAAGAATGATCAGTTTCTTCATTTTCACTGAGCATTCTCACTTACCACTGCATACTTCTTTTAGCTTTCGAACTAGGTGTTTTGCAATTATTGAGCCTACTAGCTGTATTACTGATCACACCTCCTTTGTGAGATAAGTGATTTATAAAAGCATTTAAAAAATTGCCCAGATATCCCCACACAAACGTTCAACAGACAACAATCCAAGAATCATTAGACCAAAAGATACGGTTGTTTTTTTCTTGTCATAAAAACCAAATAATTTCTTTCCCCAAAATAGTACTTAGTACTTGCCACTGATAGTTTAGCAATATAGTAAAAAAGAGAAGTTTATGAAAAGTTTATATTTCAGATGGATAAAATGTGGCGGTGGAATTTGTCTTCATTTTGCATGGAGATGACTTCCCACTAAATGGTGCAAGTCAATTTTATTTTGTCTCCTAATGGAAATGTTGTGCAAATGAAGCAGGCATCGACAGCCCCCCAAATTTCATACAACAAAATACTTTCAAAAGCTTGCCTTCATCTTTTCACAGCCAGCTGGCCTTATCTTGTGTTCAATCCAAATCAACTTACCTTTGCCATCAAAACTGTAGAGCGAAAAATCTCTGGAGAAATACATAAATCCCATCTCCTAGAAAGCTGAAGAACAGCCTTTGCAGCAGCTAATTTGATATGAGGCTTGTCACTTGTGCTGCCCAAAGCAGTCCAGTAACATGTTTTAAGAGCCAGCTTATTTATCACATATAAAAAACTAAATCAAGAATGATAATTGATAGGTATGTTATTTACAGCCTGAGTCCATCAATAGTTTTTTATACAATCATGATCCCATTTCCCTTTTCGTTTCCAAGGAGCCACTAAACTGTGTTGATTGAGATATATATCAGTAATAAAGTTATCTATGATGTATTCATCAACTTGTAAAATGATGATTTTCAGGAGTAATGTTAATCAGTCACATGGAGCATCTTAGAGATCTTAATTTGACCTACTCATAACTATCATATATTCAAGAAAATCCAATGTGCAAGAACATGTTTCTGTTTTTGGTCATCATTAACTTTTCTGCTAACAAACCTGAGTTAAAACGCATCAAATATTTGATGAGTAATTTGTCATATCTATCGATACCAATATCTACTCATATGCAAGACCAAAAAAAAAAAAAAAGTCCATTATGCACATATCTCAAACTCAAGCCAGCATGCATATAAACATGCCTGAGTGTGTGTCTGTGAGAGAGAGAGAGAGAGAGAGAGGTGCATATTATATTTATCAATGTTTAGTGTGCATAGCAAACATGGAATCGACAGAAAATAGTATGATTAATGAAAAAATCTTTTCGAAGAATACCACAAGTTGATTCCATCAAATGTATCACCCATTTGAAGCATCTTTGACAAAATATCTAGCAGTTCATCAATACGCCACTTGACATGAGATCCTCGATGCGGCAAAAAACTCTTGGCAAGCGCTTTCAGCGCATAAATCTGCAAAGGATAACACTCAAATAAGCTTTCAGCGCATAAATCGGAAAAAACTCTTGACAAGGCTATGCTACAAAGCAAGTCCATGAAGACCAAGTGACTGATTAACAACCAAATAACTGTCTCGTAAACTTAAAGTACAAATACACCACTCTCAGCCAAATAAATCACATGCATGGTTTTGGATTGCCTCAAATACAGTACAAAGATGCTTTGAAGAGCCCATGATTTGATTTGTCTAAAATCAAGCTCATAGTTTTGCAAATCAAACAAATGGTTTTGGATTATCAAGTGCTGTACAAGGATAATTTGAATATCACGCAACTGGATAGATGATTATCTCAACTACTGTACAAAGATGACAAAACATAACAGATGATAGATAAGCAAATGAAACTCATGGTCTTGGCCACCTGCATCGATCCAAATGATGGTTAAATACTTGAATGGATTATGACAACTACTGTATGAAAATAATTTGAAAAGCTTCCAAGAGAAACTACTCATTCATCTCAGAGTTTTTACATTTTTCATAGCTTTGCAAAATCGATCAACTCATGGCAACTTTAAGATCCACCATCATTAAGAATGTTAACAAAAGCATTTCCTATTCACTAATTCTTTAAACAAGGAGCAATATCATTAGAGCGAAGAAACTGAACAAACCACTAGATTTGGAATCTATCTCAACATAACCCACTTGTAGCTCTTCCCAATTTCTACTTTGCTTCGTGTATAACTACAGACTTTCTCCTCTATAAAAGATATGCTAGCACTAAAGTTATATTAGCAATCAGAGGAGTCTAAACAGTTCTCACATATACCAAAATCACTTGATACTCATATTACCCATTGACCATCACACTTTTATGGTTTTGCCAGTTGATGTTTCCCATTAAGACTTACAAGAAAAAGCTCAAAATTTAGTGGTGTAAAGCAGTCTCCACAGAAAAACTAATGCCATATATACACTTTAGACAGATAACTCTGAGGTGAATTTCCCTTCCATAACGCTCACCTTCAGCTTGCAAGAATCACAACACTCAGAAGTATCATCAAGTGACGGTTGATCTTTAGATGGTTCCATCTACACAGGAAGAATCCACATTAAGTGCTGCAACTTTCCACACACAAATCCACACAGTACATAAGACATTCTGCAAAGTTTCCCTTTGCTGCTTTATGGACAAACAATATTAGATAAAGATAAATTTTAGTTGCTTAAATTACTTGAAAAATTCTTCCAAATATGTATGATCTAATTTCTTGATCTTGAGCTTCAAATGCTGAAACAGAATGTTGTGCAATACAGCCCAAGGACTGCAATACGGTTGGGGCGTTCCACCCACTGTATAAAGCATCCACAAGTTCCTGTAAAGATGGCGTATAGCCATGATAATCAAAACACAAGCGTACACTTAACTAAATTAGAACATATTGTATATATTTAAATGGACACTAACAATAAGGAATTATTCACACTGTAATGAAAGAAATATGCCCAAGAAAAAAGGTTTGAGGCTGCCCGATCCCCACAGGAAAAAAGTGTTCCTTCCAATTAAGGTTCACAAAAGAACTGAAGCTTGCCAAATTGTCTAGGGTGCAAACACTAAATAAATATAACGTGAAACTATCAAAACTGATAAAGGCCCACTGGTGGTGGCTTATTGGTTTCTATCAAGAGATCACAGGTTCAATTCCTAGCATTTGCTTGAAATAGAACTTGTTTACACCTCATGCAAGAGGTGACCAAGTTAGACCCTTGTCTATGCTGTGGTGATTAGATTAATCCCCGCTGTGGCAGGTATTAAGCCTAAATCCCCTCCCTCCTAACACTAAAAATTAACCATTGATATATATTTGCTTGTCAAAAAGAGAAAAAAGGAAAAAGAAAAAAGCAATTCCTGCTAACCCTATCAAAATTGCCTCTACTATGAACACAAGTTTGTAAACATGTGCAATATTGCAGGTCTGTGAAATCGAACATGAGCATTCACTAAATAGAAAAAAAAAATGTGGTCCCAATACAGAATAAGAAAAAAGAATTTTAAATTATAGAATATGAACATCTCTAGTGCCTGCACTAATATGCATCAGAAAGGTCAAAAGATTTTTTTTTTTTTTTTTTGGTGAAATTTCAGATCAAAGGTTAGTGTCAAACTGTATGGGGGGAAAAAAAGAAGAAAAGAATAGTTCCCGATGCCAACCAGCCAAGAAATTGCCCAAAAAGAAGAAGTATATCATGTTGTATATCGTTCTAGCCAAAGGTAGCAGATGCTATTGGATAATTCATGAGAAATAGTTTCATAATAAAAGGGCTGGACTAATTCAGTATCAAGTTCCCAAAACCCCAGAATGACATCAGAATCGAGGAAATAATCTTCTTACAACAACATGCAAACAAGATTGGCTTGTCATCTTTTCTTTTTTGAAGGCATCAAAAGTAGGCAATGACAAAACAGCTGGTAGCTTAAATTATGAACCAAAAACAGGATTAAAGTGAGAAAAGTTGGATGTCCATACCTTGCAAAGTTTTGAGAAAATGAACGTATCAGAAGAGCCAGTCATTGAAGCAATTGCAGAAACAGCATGCTTCGACTGAACACGAGTCCCCTTGAGACATATTCTCTCCAAAAATGGGTAAAAAACACTACATGAAGAACAAAGAGTGAAATGAAATAGTGTTCCAAGTTTCCTCAGTGATGAGGTGATTTGAATCTTTATGAAACAACCAAACTCATTCACTACTCTACCAACCAGCATAACTAATACCTCACCCCCCCAAACACATCTACTTGGGTCAAGCATGAACAAAGAGTGAAATGAAATAGTGTTCCAAGTTTCCTCAGTGATGAGGTGATTTGAATCTTTATGAAACAACCAAACTCATTCACTACTCTACCAACCAGCATAACTAATACCTCACCCCCCAAACACAATTAGAATAAACCATGTAATCAGAAGGCATGTCCACATTTTGAACAGATAGTCAAAAGTTACATGTGTTTTACATTTCCTTATAACATGAAATGTAGTCCAACATCATCATAAGGCATAATGAAGTTACCTGAATTTGGCTTTAATATGAGGGCCCGCTTTGGCCAAGACTTCAACCAGTGTATCATTAATTGGATTTTGTTCTTCTAACAGCACTTGAAACTTCTCTTCGAAACCCCTCATAAGGGAAGGAAAAACACTGATAATAGCCTATAGCATGCAGTGTGGCAATTATATCAATTGAACTGGATGTTCAGTGAAGGAAAATGCAAATTTATACACATAAAGAACCTCTAAGTTTGAGCACCATTAATATTTCTGTTATGCACATAAAAGAAATTAATTGTAATTGAATGACATGTCAATTGACCCTAAGAGAAATATCTATTCTATGCTTCTCTAAAGCCCATCAAACATGTGCTTTTCTTTCTTCAGCGCTCTTCCTCTTTGTTGAAAGTTTCAGGGCAGAAGACTAGATTTCACCAAAATCCTTCTAGCTTTTACGATTCAATATCGCTCACTATATCCTACTGACTCAAAGGTTAAAGTAAATGTATTTGGACTATATCCCATTGACTTAATTGTTAAAAAATATGTTGGCCCCTTCCACAAATGAAATGCTATTCCAAAGGCTGCTACAAACAGAAATACTGTAAAGCAAAATGCATAGTAATGCATCAAATTACCCAGAGACTAAGCTGCTCGTGTGTGAGCTAATAGATCAAATGAGGCCCTCAAGTAAATTCTGAAATGATATCATCTTAACATTACAATCACTAAAAAGATTACCTTAACATTAACAACCACAGAAATAAAGTTCATGTATTTACATCGAAAAAGTTGAGGTGTTCTAGTTCTAAAGGAGCGAAAAAAACTTATGTAATTCCATGCAGCCACCTAATTTGAGAAAACCCCATTTTGACTGAATTTTGTTTTCATCAAGAAACTTGCCTATTTCTGACCACTGAATTTTGGATGAGTTCACGATTCAGTGGGGCAAGGATCTGCCATCAGGTTTGTCTAACATTTTAATGTCATTTCAACGCCATTTAAAAAAAAAAATGAGAAGAGAAGCATCATACATCTCTGAAAAACAATTGTCCTTACCAGAAGCAATTCAGCAGAGGCCTTGACATGTTGAACAAAATCATTGCTGGAAAGATGATCTAAAATATATACAACATGCTCCGAGCTGAATATGTTAAATGAGCATTTTGAGGAGAGTAATTGTAGAAACTCAGAATGTGGATGTTTGTCTCCTATAATTTTCAGAAAATTATCCTGAGAAAAGGAGCATGTAACATACAACAAATTAGAGAAATTTAATCCAATGTTAAAAATATGGTGGAAACATATTATGTATTTTTCACAAGCAAAAGATTGGAGCAAGCTCGTGAATTGGACTTGTAAAAGAAAAATGACGCATCCATCAAATTAAAGCCACACTCACCTTCATTAGCATAAAACAACCATCAACCCATAGAAGCAAACAGAAATGAGATGAGCACATAAACACGCAAAAAATGATTGCTCATCATAGATCGGACTATAAGGTTACAACAATCATGACAGAACTGACCTGAAACCGGACCAAGTTTCACCTCAAAGTCTCTAGCAAGCAACAAGATTTGATTCTCAAGTAGCCTTTCACATATTAGTTAAAGATGCAAAGAATTCAAGATAAACATACTAAAATCGACCCAGCTCACTAAGATCCTTTGTTGTAGCAAATCAATAGAAGCATTTACAGCATGCAAAAACAATCCAGCAACATAGTTCACAGTATAAATGAAGCAATGACATATAAGGCACGAAATAAGTTGTATTGTGATTGATATTTTCTTTCAACTACACAAAAGAAAGGAAGAAAAGCAAGCTACATACTCTAGATGTCTGGGCACTTTTAATTGTCTGATCATCCAATAATTGCTCCAGTGCATTGAAAGTCTTGTTATCTTTCATCTGGTTCAATTTATGGAAGTACTCTTCTGCTTTCAAAGGATCTGGAAAGGATGCTGACATTTTCACAAATGAATTTTTTATTCTCTTCTCCATTTCTTCTGAACTGCTGTCCTGCAATATTTGTTTATAAAAATAAATATATCACAGCTAAGAAATAATAAACAAAAAGGCATGAAACAGTGCTACTGAGCACTCTGACATCTTAACAAAAACCATATGATAAAAGTCATACTCTGCATTCATACAAAAACCTCATTTAAAAGTGAGAACTACAAGAAACATTTTGCATGCATATGTGCACTTAATATCAATCACATTAACTCGATATGCATCAAAAGTTTCAAACACTTGACCTGCTAAAGTTTCATCAAAATGGACAAGTGAAACAGTCAAAAGCTTCTCATTATCAGTCACAATGCTCTATATTATACCTTCTCTTTTTTCCGTTGTACCAAATATATTTGCATGTCAGCCTGCAGCCTGAAAACAAACACACATGGTAAAAAATAGTCATTTCTTTCCTAATTACAGCAGCAATCGTTATCAATACCTTCTCTTCTGATATAATATAGATTTCAGTGCCTTCACATGAAAAGGAGTGAAAAGGGAGAACAAATGGATCCAGCGCTGTGTCCTTTCCTCAACAGGAAGAAAGAGAGGAAATAAATCCTCTGCAATAACAAGCTCCATATTTTGGGGCCTGGAGAATATATATCTAATATTACATCCAATATCATAATTCAGGTCAGTGAATTATTTAGTCAAAGGAAGGGAAGGATCAGACCTGAAATCCTTGCAATCTTTATCATAGGAAAGCATCAAGACTTTACAAGGAATCTGTTCAAAGTGATCACTTGCTGTCATGTGGCCTTCAGAACACATGATACAATAATGTCTATATACCTCCATCAACTTCTGCAAAGCCTTCTTTCTGACAGATATCTGCACAGTAAGTACAAGTTAGACCAGATTTCCATTTAATTACAGTCATGATTTTTCTTTTCCTCGCATAAGTAGACAGCTTCCATTGAAGTAAAGTTAGCAGAAACTTCCGGGGAAGAATTACCTTCTTATCCCGAAGTCTTTCAGTAACTTTTGAAATTAGTTCAGGTGGAAAAAATTTCAGGTTAGACCTGGCAAGATCACAGATAACAACAGCAGCCTGTGTTCGCACTCTATCATCAAAGTCCAACAATCGACCTTCAAGAGCAGCTGATTTATTGACAAGTGACAAGTTAGATATCTAAGATCCGTAATTATTGACAAGTAAACTCACTTGCAGAATACTTACTAAGTATTTCAAGTGATACATTCCCAGAGGGATTGGATATGTAGCACGCTTTAGCACACTGCAGAGCACTAAGTCTAACTTCTGCAGATTTATCAGAGAATCTATTTTTGAACTCTACAAAAAGATTGTGATATTTCTGTACAACATGATGCTCGGGTAGTGCAAAGAGCTTTCCAATTAAATTAACAGCTTTCAATCGGACATCAACCTGATCAGTCTAGAAATAGAATCATAAGGTTATTTTAATGAAGATGCAAGGATAACTTTCCAAACGAAAAGATGAAAAGAAACAGAACAAATAAGGGTCCATTACGGGTAACAAGAAAAATAACAAATGTTTCTTTAAGAAGACATGGCAGAACTCCACAATATTCAGTCCATATGATTCAAGTGAGTTGTCATATACCCTCAAAACAAAAAAAAAGATGTGATGCTACAATACATTAGGATATATAAGTAGAGGAGGGTACTATACCAGTAACTCTTGAGTCAAGTTAGGGATCACAGCAAGAAGCATATGAGGAGCGCACTGGCAAACTTTAAAAAGAATTTCATGGTAAAATTCTTTAAGCTCACTTTCAACAGCATCTCTGTCTAAAAAACAAGTTGTTAGAAACCCACAAACTAATGGCTCAAGCTTTTCTGCACAAGCTTGGATCACAGAAGCAGCCAGCTGAGAAGCAGCGTGAGGTGCAGCCTGGGGAAAACAAGCGAGAGAGAGAGGAAGTCAAGCATCAGAAATTGGCCCCAAGCCGAAAGGATTTCAGAAGAATCCAAATTTTAGAATTAGACAGTCTACTACCAAGGAAACAACTGATAGGCCTAGCAAGAGTAAGAGTAGCAAGCAAACAATACATGTTCAAACATCCAACCCATAGCCTCAAGCTACTGCATGAAGGGGTTTGCAATATTAAGCCATACTTAAAGCATAACAAATAGAAATTCCTATCCCAACAATTTATCCATTTCAGCCATGAAGCCAAGCCTTGGTCAGATTTCAGGCATGAAAATGCAGGTTGGACAACTTGCTCCATTTCAAGAATAGCCTGTCAAAAGTTATTTATAAAATTTTACCTTCCAAAATCCAAAAGAAAAAAATTACTGGTTGAGTCCAATCTAACATATAAATTACATGCATTTATCCACAGTACCAGCAAAGCTTACCGGTCTAGAGTCCAATCTAGCATAACAAGTTTGTCATGAGAAACGCTCACTAGTCACTAAAAGCTGTAAAACCCAAGCAAGTTATTGTACAGGTACTTACCTTTCCTTCCTTTATAAGATTCAGCAAAATCACATCCGAAAGTGCCTGAGAAGCCTCCTCGTTTAAAATATGTTTCATTATAGACAAAATCTCATTAATTAAAGACTGCTGGTGATGTTCCCTGTCAAGGAAGAATACGGTGGTATTAATGGCACCGCATTAGCAATAAGGCAAGGAAAGCAACAAACTGCCAAAACACAACATCATAAATCTAAAAAAAGTACCTGAGCTACATGCAAAGCAAAAGTAACCTCAATTATATGACTTTGTCTCCCTCCAAAACTCAATAGTAGAAGAAAAGATATCCAATAAAAGCTCATACCTAAAATATTGGCTTGGACTTGACAAGAACCAGTTTAAAAGGACTGAGAGTAAATACATCAATAATCAGGTCAGCGTAGCAGTAGAGGATTTGGTTTCATTTACTGAACTTAGTTAAACGTGGAGATTATAATATTAGCAGAAGCTAAGTGTCTACGCTGTGACTTACTACTATCAATAAGTATCCATTGCATGGAAGTACTATCTTGTGACTTTAGTTGACAATTTCAACATCTTCAAGTTTAGTCAATCAAGTTTGCTTCAGGGACCCATTGTTAAGATCCCAAAAAAAAACGAAAGGGAAAGAAAAATCATAGGGGAAAAAAATCAAGCAAACTATATTCATTCTTTTGACTGAATTAACAAGTGCCAAAATACAACCAAAAAAAAAAATCCAAGCTGAAATCATAGAGAGAGCATTAACCTCACAACGGAAAAAAAAATGTTGAACATTTCAAGAACAAGATCCTGGCAGTCAATATCCAGCATGATCACACAACATTTACAATGTGCCACAGTTTCCAATACTTTAACTCTCCTCAAAAAGTGTGGGCTAGCAGTATCACCAAGCTCCTTGAACATGTCGAGAAAAAGTATATATACATCCTTCGAAAAGAAAACAAGATCAATATCAGTCACAATCATTATTTATCAATATTCTAAAGAGATGTCAGACACAATTGCAAACGTGCAGATATACATTGCTTCTATTCACAATCACACAGATGCACGTTGATAAGAGCTTCCAGAAATAGACATAACACAGTAAAAACAGACATGTATGAGGACAGCAAGAGTCTCGCTACCCTGAGATATTTGTCCTCAAAAGGTGGTTCCGGTGCAAGGATCCGAAACACTTCACTGACACAGATTGCCACCAAAAGTCTAACTTCTTTGTCAGTGTGCTTCATAAGATCATGCTTCAGAATAGACTTCCTCAAGGGCTTTACAGCAGCTTCTAACTTCATTATACCTTCTGTCTTTCTATGAGTTTCCAAAGGCTGTTCGATTTGTGATAAAGTATTTGCAACTCGCTACGAATAAAAATTACCAAAATCAATCATAACCAAACAAGCCGAACGGATAAATAAATAATGGTGAACGAAGCCACTAATTTGAAAATCTCATGGAGTGTATTATTTCACGTTTCTTTCAAAAAATTAAAAAAAGAAAATCAGATTCGATTCAGTACCAAACAATCACTAAATAGACAAAAATTAATTCCATACTAACATTATTTCTTGGTGAAACCGCTAGATGATTATTAAACAGACAAAACCAAAACGTATAAATTAATCAAATCCGATTCCGTACCAATACGAGTATTCACGTATAGTAAATAATATATGCAAAACCTTCATTATGTTCAAGATCAGATTACTAAAACAGTTAAATAAACGTATATATAGATCAATTTCGAGTCAATACAAAACCTAGGGTTTTTGAGTTTATGCGAGGATTTATCATTCATGCAAGTAAAGGGGAAATGCGCATACACGGAGCGACTTGACAAGGAAGTCCTTGTTGGGGCGAGCGAGTCGACAGAGATTGTCGCCGATTTCGGAGACGAGTTGAAGCGGAGACTCGTCCATTGAATCGCCGGAGAAGGATTTGAAAGCCCTAGTTTCGTATTTTTTAGTGAAGATGAAGTGGGAGTAAAAAGAGAGGAGAATTTTTTAATTTTTTAATTCCTTGGTTTAGGGACTGGCATTTGCTCAAATGCGAAAAGTATGTTTCCAGAAAGGGAAGGTGAGGTTTCAAGCGGGGATCATCCCGCCTTTGCATCTCGTGGATTTCACGCGTTAAGGTTTCCGTGGAGTCGGCGGATATGAAATCGAACGGTAAAATGGCTAGTGTGTTTCTAGGGAGGTGGCTAGGATGGTGCCAGGTCAGCTACATGATAACGGAAACCAAAAAATTAGAGTATACTGAATAACATATATGATGCTCTAAATCCATCATGATTTGTCGTTTCCTTTTTTTTTTAGTGGAAACTATTTTTTTTCCGTATGACGCTATAAGTTTAAATAAAATTTTTAAAATTATTTATAAAAATTATTTTAGTTTGATAGTCTATTTTATGATGTGAATCTATAAAAATATATGAAATCAAAGATAAAAAAATTAATTATTTTTTAATAAAAAATTTATATTTAACTATTTCTTATTTGTGTTTTTCATAAATTTTCTTCTAGAAAAAGATTTATCATTGTTAATCTATGGATTATTAATTAAAAAGAAAATTAAATAATTTAAAAAAAAGCTTTAATATTTTATAAGATTGTGTCCAAAACATAAATAACAATTATTAAAATCTTATATAGAATTGAACAAATTATTTTTTATTTAATGTTGATGAGAATATCGATTTTTGTAAAAATATGAATTTAATTTTTATATATTTATTTACAAAAAAATGAATAATATTAAAATAAAAAATAATATTAATTTGAATCATTGAGTAGTTAAGCCAAAATATAATTTTAATTGTTTAGTTTAAAATAAGTTAATTTTAAAATATTCAAAAATAAATAAATAAATAGTAAATGCTTAGTGTAGTAGTAGTTGCACAATTAATTTCTAAAAAAACAACGATTCGATATTTTTTTATACATCATAACTATACTAAGTGAGTTTAGAGTTTTCGATCTAAAACAAAAAATATTATAAAAAAAACTTATCTTGCAAGGAATCTATTGACTAAATTTTAAGTCAATAGACCAAAACAAAAATTATTACAAATTAGAAACAAATTAATAAAACGTACGAATTCTTTTTTCTTCCCTCCTTCTTAAATATTTTTTTTATTTCTATGCTATGCATGGCTAGACCTTGAATACGAGCCTCACGCGCAGAGCAACCATCTTTTTTTTATTTTTCACATTTTACTTTCAACTATTAATTAATTAATTTGAGTTTTTTTCTAAAAAAACCAAAAAAAAATAATTTAAAATCCACTTTTAATCTAAAAATGTATTTTAGACAAATTATATATATTAATTATGCCATTATAATTTAAAAGTTACCTAAATCTATTTTTCGAAGAAAAAATAGTCATGTTCTAAAAATTTATTCCAAAATCCATACATATAGAAAAATAAATCAAAACTATCAGTAAATATAATTTTAAATTAATTGGATGAGAATTTAAAAAAATGACAAATTAAAATAGTAAATTTTAAATAATAAAAATAATTAACAAATAACACTAAAACAAAATAGGAACAAATCACAATACAATCAAAGTTTGAAATTGAAAAACAAAATTAATTTTTAAAAAAAAATGACAAATTAATGTGTTAAAATTTAAATAATAAAAAAATAAAAAAATTATTTCAAATACAATTTTAATCTGAAAATGTATTTCAGAAAAAATTATATATATATTAATTATGCCACTATAATTTAAAAATTATCTAAACCTATATTTCAAAAGAAAAAAAAATCATGTTCTAAGAATTTATTCCAAAATCCATACATATAAAAAAATAAATCAAAACTGTCAATAAATATAATTTTAAATTAATTGAATGAGAATTTTAAAAACAAAATGACAAATTAAAGTAGTAAATTTTGAATAATAAAAATAATTAACAAAAAAACTAAAACAAAATGAATCAAATCACAATATAATTAAAGTTTGAAATTTTAAAAACAAATGACAAATTAATGTAGTAAATTTTAAATAATATCAAAAAATTGAGAAAAAATTATTTGAAATACATTTTTAATCTAAAAATGTATTTAAAAAAATTATATATATTAATCATGCCACTATAATTTAAAAATTATCTAAATCTATTTTTCAAAAGAAAAAATAATCATGTTCTTAAAATTTATTTCAAAATCCATACATATAGAAAAATAAATCAAAACTGTCAAGTAAATATAATTTTAAATTAATTGGATGAGAATTTAAAAAAAATTAAAAATTAAAATAGTAAATTTTAAATAATAAAAATAATTTAAAAAAAACCTCTAAAACAAAATAGGATTAAATTAAAATATAATTAAAGTTTGAAATTGAAAAAGAAAAGAGAATTTTTTTTAAAAAAAAAGACAAATTAAAGTAGTCAATTTAAAATAATAAAAATAATTAACAAATTAAAGTTTGAAATTGACAAAAAAAAAAAAGAGTTTAAAAAAGGAAAAATTAAAGTAGTAAGTTTTAAATAATAAAAATAATTTAAAAAATAAAACAAAATGGGATCAAATCACAATACAATTAAAGTTTGAAATTGAAAGAAAAAAGTATAAAAAAATTAAGGACCAAATAATATAAAAAATTAAGGACCAATGTGTTACAAAAGTGACATAAATAGTGAAAGGAATAATGATTTGTGAGTGTGTGATTAGTGTTTCAAATGGTGACATGAATAGTAAAACATTATTTTACTTTAGTTTTTTTGGTAATTACCAACGTGTCCTTAAATTAGGTTACTATATATCATAGTTAAATGTTTTATACATTCACTTTGGTCTTTAAAGTTTAAGATTTATATAAAATGGTCCTTGTACGAAAGAGATGAGGGAGTAGAGCGAAAACTTTGGTGTATTTAGCGAGTACACTAATCACTGCAACTCCTCTCTCTCCATTTCCTATAGAAAAAAGACAACAACTCTTTGACAAACCCATTTATCCATGCTTCCTTCCTCGTTAAGTACTTTACTTAACAAAAAGAATTGAAGACGAAATCCGGAAAGAAGAAGAAAGAAGTAGAGAGAGAATTTTAAATTGACTTTTTTTTGTGATTAAAAATGAATAAATGAAAATATCTTTCTTACACATTTATCCTTACTATCCCACAAAGCTAACTAACCCGCCACCTCATCCGATTATCATAGTAATCGTCACATCAACTACAACCAATTATTATCTCTTCCAATCAACCCTTATTACAAATTAAACTTAATAATTCGTAATTTTTCCTCCCTCTCAAACAAATCCTTATCCTCGAGGATCAAAGTAGAAATCGAAAACTAGAGCTTCAAGTCTTCCACCACTCACATATAGCATCCTTAAGTGGCATGTTAGTCCACCGGATGAGCCCTATGACTACCGCCTTGTAGTTTCTCCTTTATAATCTTTCTATCCAAAACAATAATAGAATAAAATTTGATGTGACACTCACCATCAACGAGGGGTAAAGCGGTGGCAAAAATAGCATTGTCACCCACCTTTCGTTTTAATAATGAAACATGAAAAACACGATGAACAAAAGCATTCAAATGTAACTCCAACTTGTAAACCATCTCTCCAACCTTTCGTCGAAGGGAATAAGGGCCAAAATACCTAAAATTCAACATGACGTTTTTCCTTGATGTCATACCGACTTGCCTATAGGGTTAAAGCTTGAGATAAACCTTGTCTCCAACTTCAAAAGTTCCTTCGGTTCTCCTTCGATCAACCATCCGCTTCATTTTATGGAGTGTCTTTCCTAATTGTGCAATCAATAACAAGTCCATAACTCTTTATTCCTATAATAACTCATTAACAACAATAACCGTAGATGTTCCATATAGAATAAGTTCCTTATTTAGAGATGGGTAGCCATTTAAAGCTCGAAATGAGACATTTAAATTTTCGAACAAAAACTAGAGTTATATCACCACTGTGCCAAATGCAACCGCCATCTATCCGAGACTCGATAAGCTGAACTCATGCAAAGTTAAACCCCTAAATACTTAAATAATTCTCTATACGACACACTAGTACGGACTTTGTCCCTACCCGTAATAATAGAGATTGGTAATCCATGTAGTTTATAAATTTATTCCAAGAATTTCTTAGTCACGTCCTTATGTGTGAAGGGATGAGATAAGGCTACGAATCGCCCATATTTTGTGAACTTATCCACAACTATCAAAATATTATCTTTGTCTTTTGATTTTGGCAATCCCTCTACATGCTCCTGTTCAAATTTATAATGGTTGTAACGAGCCTAGATAAACTACTATTTCTTATTTTGCTCTCATGTAAGTATCACACTCTTCCACTAGAGTCTCTACCATAAGTTTCATAGTTGGCTAATAAAAAACATGTTTAAGCCTCCTATATATGTTTTGAACTCCCGCATGGCCTCTAATAGCAGAGTTATGAGTAGTTTGCAATAATTGCTTCCTCAATCTTAATTCTCTCCAATGTAGAGTTTATGTTCGTACCTTAATATACCTTCATTATAAGAAAATTAAGGAAAATAACTAGCATGAAGTTCTTTAGTCGTTATGATCATATGTACTTTAATATCCCGCTTATGTGACTCTACATATTTGTCTCTATAATATCCCGGTACCATATAGGAATCATAGCAATTATTTCACAAAGATTGCGTTCATGTGGTTGAATTGTAGCAGTACGAGTAACCATGAACTCTATGATACAAAGCATCAACTATCGTGATTTTCTTACCTTTTCTATACTCGAATTTCAAACCTCGGTCTTAGCAATTTTGTGAGCTGATTTTTTTATATTGGAGTATGGATTTGTTATGGTAGAAGATACTTAAGATTTTTATGATCGAGTCTTAATAATAAATTTATCTACTTTTAAATAATGTCTCCATTTATCCACTCGTCATAAGAATTATCGGATACACTTGCTCATATATGAACACGGTGTCTTGCTAAAGAAAATGTGTAGTCCGTCCTCTTGAGATAAAATAGCTCTTGCCTCACTTTTACAAGCATCGGTTTCCCAAACAAAAGGTTTATGAAAGTTTATTAATGCCGGTATTAGTGTTTCACACAACACTATCTTCAATTGCTCAAAAGTCCATTGAGTTTATTCATTATGGTGAAAGTTATTCTTCTTCGATAGGTCAATCAATGGTTTACTAATTAAACCATAATTGTAAATGAACTTCCCATAATAGTCGATTTACCTTAAAAATTCGTTTAATTCTTTGATCGATTTAGGAACCGCCAATTGGCAACGACTTCGATTTTCTTTAGATTCGTTGTTACTCTTATTCTTGAGATAATATGGCTCAGATACTCCATTTGATTATGACAAAAGGTGCATTTAGATATGTTTGCAAATAACTTATTCCTTGGCAAAACATCTAACACCCTAACAAGATGCTAAATGTGGGACTCCAAGGTAGAGTTGTAAATTAAGATACCGTCAAAAGACACATGGATAAATTTTCTTAAGTATGGTTCCAAGCACTAAATTCATCATGGCCTAAAGCTCTATTGGAGTATTAGTCAAACCGAAAGACATTACTTTGAACTCATAATATCCTTGATAAGCTTCGAATGTTGTCTTCTCAATGTTTAACTCATTCACCTTAACTTGATGGTATCAAGAATGCATGTTTATCTTGAAAAAGAAATTGGAATAGTGTAACTCATCTAACAAGTCATCAATCAAAGGTATTAGGAATTTATTTTTGATAGTGATGTTATTGAGTCGTTAATAATCTACGTAGAATCTAGGTTCTATCTTTCTTTTTAACCAACGAAGACTTCGAGATGCAAAAAGGCTACAATTAGGTTGAATGACTCCATTCAGTAACATCTCATTAACTAACTTCTCAATTTCCTCCTTGTGCATAAAAAAGCTTTTATATGGCATGATGTTTACTAGTTTTACTACTAGAATTAGAGGAATTATGTGCTCAAACTTTCTCGCTAATGGTAAGGTCTTAGGTTCAATAAACATTTTATCATATTTAAGGAATAAAGCTCTTATCTCACTATTTTTCACTTTCTCTAATACAACATTAGCTATAATAGAGAAGATTTATCCAACTAATCCACTCACTACTATTTTTAGTGATTTGTACACTTTGTCGGCTATGTTTAGTTACAATTTAGCAACATTTACTATCCTTTTCAAATCAATCATCTCGTCCTTCTTCCTAAATGACAACTTTATATTAATGAAGTCTAACATTACCGGAAATACATTCACAACCAATCCACTCCCAGCACATATCACAACCTCTTAATTCTAATACCTTAAAGTTAGTCCCGAATTCATGCTCGTGTATAAATCAAAACAACCCTAAACTTTTAGTAGAATACTTCATACTTCACCACTAGCTACTATCATAGAAAAAGTAGTGGTTTCCTCAATCACAACATCATTTTCTTTCACCACCTTGAGATTAATGAAGCTACGTGTTCTCCCACTATCAACTAAGATGATAATTTCCTTTCGATTATAACATTTCTTAATTTTAATATTATTGTTTGTATATTTTCCTAATAGGGTATATAGAGATAACCTAATTTCTTCATAATTCCTTGTATCTATTATACCATCCTCGTAATTTCCTTTTCCTACATCCATAAATTCATCATCATCATCTTCAATTCCTTTCATCACGTCCAATGCCTTATTAGCACATTTATGTCCGGGAGTGTATTTATCTCTATATTTAAAATAAAGCCTTATTTTTCTTCTTTGGTCCTACAAAATCTCCGATTGTGATTTTTGTGAGCTAGGATTTATAGGTTTGAGTCGGCTAGTGTTTTCATGTTTACTAAAGGTAATGTTGGGCTTGTCGAATTGGTTAAAATATTATTTACTAGTATAGCAGGAATGATATTGTGGCGCCCCTAACTCCTTTGTCGATTACCTAAAAGACGTGATCTGGGTGCACCATAGTTTAGAGATCGAAGTCTCAAATTTAATCTCATACATATACACAATGTACTAAATATCATTATAAAAATTATAAAATATAATTTACAAGCAAAGGTAGATCCTTTAATTGTCGTGTCACACGTAAGTCTTTTTTAGAAGGAACCGGTAGCTTCATTATCGGCATTAGTATCACCTTTACCTATCATGGCATGACATAGAAAAAGAGTAAGCCGAAGCTCAGTAAGTAGGGTGATGCACGTGATATGTAATGATTTTTTTACTTTTCTCACTTCGACTCATCAAATTTTATTTTTCGGTACCATGGTTATTAGCAAGTTTACTTTATATTTAATCCATGTGAACCGCAGCTCACCTTCTGCTACAACGAATTATCCCTCTTTGTAGTCACTATTAGCGGGAATCCATCATCTAACGAGTGCAAACACACAGACTTAGAGTACGTACACGAACTGGATCGCTAATACCCCTTTTATCCAAGTAAGTTACCAAACCTATCCAATTTCTATTCGATTCGATTACCAAACCTCATCGTTTTTTACTCAATGGTTTTTCTCAACCTTAATCCATTCTTAAATGATGTACGTGATGTATCATGAACCACATTCCACCGAGTCATGGGTATTAAACTCGTCGATTCCGTATCATTGAGTTCACATAAGGAATTCAAGACCCGTCTAATAGGGTTAATCCATTTCATATATCATGAACCACATTTCATATCTCACGAGCACCAAACTATTTATGTCCATACCATTTTAGAAATTCAATCCACATTTGGGTTTTCATCAATATTTTCATGGTATGATCCAACTTGACCATTTTAGTACCAAGATCCACTAAGTGTTCTTAAGATATCAAAGTCCATTTATTTTCATCCAAACCCATTTTGTTTTAGTCCAAGCCTATTTATTTTAATACAAGCCCAATTTCATTTATTGTAATTCAATTCTGTTTTATTTTAATCCAAACCCATTTTATTTTAACTCAAGTCCATTTATTGTAATTCAAACCCCTTTTTATTTTAGTCTAAGCCCAAATTTGTTTTGGATCAAGTCCACTTTATTTTAAATCCAAGCTCGATCATACATATCTTTCAAACTCATATGGTTATATTAGGGTAACTTAGGTGTCTAACTAAATACTTAGGCTAACTAAACACCTTAACTAATCAATTTTAAGTACATAAACTCATTTCTTCTCATTAAATTTTGGAAATCCCTCTTCTTAAACTCAAAATTTTTCTCTATACCAAATCAACCATGACTCTTTATATATAGATCTAAAAATCATGAAATTTTATAGAGAACTAGAAGAAACATAGAGGAACAACTTTTATTCTTTGAGTTTTACCCAAAAATCACTCTAAGATCCCTAAATAAATCACGCAAGGTTCAAAATTTTCCATCCCTAGAAATTTGAAAATTTCTCTTTTAAATTTTTTTTAAAACACATTTCTCATCACATATAGTTATCACCAAACCAACCCATCACACATGTATAACTATCCATCATCATGCCTATATATAGTATACTTATGCATTATAACATAAATTTTATCATGAAATACACATCCAACATTCAAAGTAAATCCATTATCATCAAAACATCATAAATCCATCACCAAATATCAAATTTTTAACATCAACACAAACTACCATAACCACATATTACATGGCTTAAAAAAAAACCTCATAAATCAAGTATGTAAAAGAGAACTTAAAGCATAAATAAAACTAAAATGAAACAAAAAAAAAACCTACTTACTATCATGTGTGCTTGGTTAAGATTTCTTAGTCTTTTTCTTCTCTTTCTCTTTCCTTTCTTTCCTTTCCTATTCTCCTTTCTTTCTTCCCTTTCTTTTTTTCCTTTCTTTCCCTCAAACTTATGTTTTTCTCTCCTCTTTTTGAAAGGCACAAATTTTTTGACTAAAAAGAATGGCAAGGTTTCATCTTTTCATCCAATTTTAATACTACACTTTTCCTTTTTATTTCTTTTATGTTTGATAGGCCAAGTGTCCAATTTTTATGGTAAGAGAGGTCAATTAATGGAGAAAAAAAGAAAGAAAAATTGGAGTGTTTAACCTTCCAAAATTAAGTGAGAAAGTATAATGGAAGTATGGTGAAAGATTTATGTCAAATCACTAACTAAAGAGAGAAACAAAAAGGTAATTAAACTAACCAACTTTCTAACCTTATTTGGTTCATAAAATTCGACCATGACTCTTAAGTGGGACATATTTTTCACTTGCATAGTTATTTTAAATATACATTATGAAAAAATAAATAATGGTTAATTAAATTCTAAAGAAACTATTCCTATGAATAATTTCCATAAATCTTAAATATTTTCACACCATAAATATAAAAGAAATGACACATAATTTATGCTCACATAATCATGGATATTTGAAGAGATATTTGGGCTCGGAAATTAAATTTCGATGTGCCATAATTAATTTTTTTAAACCCAAGCATCTTAAACTCATCAAACATAAACATGACATAAAAATCATAATTGCGACTTAAGTAGATGTAGATAAAATTATTTTCATGGGTATAGCTATGTTAAGCAAGTTCACGTGAGTTACGGATATTGATTTGGGTAAGTTTTAGTGTTGCTATGAGATAGAAAGGTTTTTTGTAAATTTTTAGATCTCTTTTCCATGGCATCCCCATATCCCTTCTACCACTTAACTTAGTCAAATGTTTGTTTTAGGGTTGTAGGTTTTACAATCTTTGATATAGGTTTGATATCCTTTATGAGTCAACTAATGAAGCTAGACACAATGTATGATTTGGGTAGATGGGGATTATTTATAGTCATTAGAGACTTAAGTGCTTCGAAAAATTTTATATGGTATTCTATTTCTTTTACTTGGTTGAGTTTATTAAACTCTTCCACTACATTTTCTCTAATGTCGAACCTTCTATGTATTTTCTCTATATATTCCTCTCGCTTACCTAAATCGTTATTGCCATAAAACCTTTAAACCGGATTTCGACTCTTCTTTCTAAACACACAAAAATAATTTCCAACCTCTCGATGAATAGGAATGAAATTCATCTTAAAATATTTCTTGTATTTGCGAATCCAATATTCTCTCTCGAACAATTACAAATCTACTTTGGGAATCGAAAAACTATAATTGGACTTCGTAGATTCAAGAGTTAACACGGACTCAACATAATTAGTTGATGGATTGGTTTTGTCGGTGTACTTCCATGATGCTAGGAGCTAAAAGATGTTCGTTGTTCTTTATTATGCTCTTTTCTACCATTGATGATTGAATCATCCGCATTAGAGCTTCTAATTGAAGTTCGTGTTTTTTGATTTTGCTCTTGCATCGCTTTTTAATGGCTTCAACACCTTCTTGAAATTCTTGATGCATGCCTCGCATCCGCTCTTCTTGTATTCTATTATGTTATTTTAGAGCTTTGATTCTATTGTTATTAACCATGGCTTATCTCAAATGGCTTCGATACCAATTTATTAAATACTTTACTTAACAAAGAAGAATTGAAGAATAAATATGGGAAAAAGGAAGAAGAAAATTTTGAATTGACTTGTTTTATGACTAAATCTGAATGAATGAAAAATTCCTTCTTTACATATTTATTATTACTATCCCACAAAGCTAATAACATGCCACCCCGTCTAATTAGTTACGATAACTACCACATTAACTATAGAAAGTTATTATCTCTTCAAATCAACCCCGATTACAAAATGAAACTTAACATTGTAACACCTTCTTTCAAAACCCGTTAAAATAACACCTTCCTTCGATTTTACCAATTTCTTTACTTTGTAGTGCCTCCTCTCTTATTTTCTCTTTATTTCTTCAATCACCATTAACATTCATTCTCTATTCCTTTCTCTTTGTTTCATTTTCTAGTCCGTCAACCAAACCTAAAAAAACCCATTTTTGTATCATTCTTTTTGTACCTATTTTTATGAATGTTTTCATGGTACCTTCTATTCCTAAAATTATGAAAATAACATGGTTTTTGCTTTATTTTCTTTTTTGTTTCACCATTTTGGTATCTTTTTTAAGTTTTTTTTACAATTGGGGAAGTGATAACCTTATTGAGAATAGTGCCAACAAGGTACATGAATGATAAAATATTTATAATCAATTTTGATGATGTCGATGATAGGAAGACACTAAATACAAAGGCTTATTGAGATGTAATATACCAAAGCTTTAATCTTACTAGCCATTAGATCGTTTATTAAGGTAGAGGTGCTTATTAAAGCAACCCGTTAATTTATTAATAAGCCTTTGATTAGATCACATTTAAATTTTTTTAAGGGTTCTCTTAAATACACTATAACTCTCTCTTTATCTTTCCTCCTTTCTTTATATTTAGGTGCTCGTTTGATAATCGGTAATGAAACAATGAGAATAGAGATGTAGAAATCGAAATGAAAAATAAGAAATGAGAATGGGAATCGAAATACTATGTTTGGTATTTTACTATTACGAATCGGAATAAAACACTAAAATAACTATTACTATGTTTGGTATAGACAAATAAAAATAGGAATGATATCATATATTTACCATTGTATCCTTGAACAACCATAATAAATTTTGTCATAAAAACAATTAAAATTTAGAAAAAGATTATATGAATATTTTTTATTATTCTTTTAAAACAAGCTAATTTTTTTACACATAATTTTTTTATTGTTTTCCTCCAAGTTTAAATTTTCAATAACAAACTTGTTCTAACTTTAAATTTTCATTGAAACTCGTGTAAAGGGAAAAAGTTGTGTTGATAGATTTCAAACAAATCCATATTGCAAGTGTTTCACTACATATTTTTAATAACATTTATTAAATTGGTACAATAGATACCCACTTCAAATCCCAAATCTATAACAACATTTCATGTGCACGTGTTGTTCTTGATTTTGGTTTGTTATCCAAAGTTGATTGTGTCCTCAATTTTCCTCTATCTCGTTTGTAATTGGGTTATAGAACTATCGGCTCGAGCCAAGGCACCCATCTCACATGGATACTAGACTTTCATAGTACGTACAATGCGTATCCATATATGATTAAGCATTGATTTTATAAATTTGTCCGGCATGGCCAGTCTTGCAATTTGGGCTAAAAGATCCCTTATACAAACATAATGCTCCAGCTTTGGCTTGATATTGCATTCATCTTGCATAATGTTAAAGAATCTCCATCCTTCATCAAGCAATCTAGAATGACCGCAAGCATATAGTATTGAAATGAAGGACACTTCATCGAGTTAAATACCTACTTGCTTCATCTCGTTAAAATATATGGGTTAACACCTTCTCTATCCATTTCACGAAATAATTGAATATCTTTGTAAGAGAGACCTTCTCGAGCATAAGCCGCAATCAATGAAATCCAAGTCACAACAGCTTTTTCACTCATCATGTAAAAAACTCGAATAACGCTATCCAAAACACCACATTTGGCATACATATCCAAGTAATATGTCATGAAAGGTAACTTTCTAGTGAACATAGGCCTTCACTCCAAAACCATGAACTTCTTTAGTCGATGAAACATGACCACAATTTGCACAAGCTTGAAGAACACTAACCATTGTAGCCAAATCCATATCAAATCTCAAATATAACATTTCTTTGAGAAGTTTAACTCCCTTCTCAAAAAACCCACTAGCCACATACCCACTAATCATTGAATTCCACGAAATAACATCTCTCGTCACTTAATTCATCGAACAACTTTCGTGTGACGTCAACTCTCCTAATCTTCAAGCAAAAAGCAATGAGAGAATTAACAATGGCATTATAAGAACCAAAACCCAATTTTAACAAAAACCCATGAACCTATTCACCTTCCTTTACGCTTCCTAAAGTTGCAAAACAATTCAATATATAAGAAACTCGTGTGAGAGTTAACTTCCACACCCAAACTCAACATCTACCTAAATAAATACACACTCTCTTTAAAATCACAAATCTTTGCATACCCATTCATCATTAGATTCCACAGAAGAACCTTCTCATTTCCAATCTTATAAAAAACTAGCCTCCCTTCTCTTAAATCCTCACAAGTTACGTATATAAATACAAGTTTTGATCCTAAAACAATTTCAATTTAGATTTATTTCAAGATAGAAAAAAAAACGAGAGCGAGAGAAAGAGAAAGCCTACCCGCGAGAGAGATGAGTTTGTAGGTTGGTGGCTAATTTGGTATGGTTAGCATTTATAAGTGGCATCAATGTAATATTGATTAAAGCTAAGGATATTTTTAAGATAAAAAAATAACGTCTTGTTTTTCATTCCTATGTTGTCATTCCCATTTAAACCCGCATGTCCAAAAGTAACGAAACCTTAGAAAAAATTTATTCCCATTTCTATATCATTATTGATTATCAAACACCTCATCATCAAGGAATGAAGTGTGAATTTCCATTCTTAATGTTTCATTTTTTATTAGCAAACAACACCTTAGTGGATTGAATTTTAGGACAATTGAACTATAAAGACCATTTTGTCCGAACCTAAAACTTTAAGAACCAAAGTACATATATAAAACATTTAACTATGATACAAGAACCATGTCTTAACATTAATTAAGATATTGAATAAAAATAAGATATTTTTATGCCGATTCTACTTTGGTGAGCTTGTGATTCGTGGTGGTTACCTTTGCACATGGAATATTTTGATGACCTTGTTTAAAAAGAATCACGTTAGTTGGTAAGTAAATATTTTTTTCCGAATAAATATTGGTAAATTTAGCATACAATAATGCCGGAAATATTTAAAATTTCATTAGCAATTTTCTAGAAAGTGACATTTTTTTCCGTGATTCGTACACCATTTGATCATTTTATCCCATGGTTGTGATTGTGTTTGATGCGAGAACGTTATACCTCGTGGTTTCAAAAAATTTCTCATAATATTTATCAAGTGAATTTTAGTAAAAATTTAGGAATGGTTTGGTATTTTTTTTTCCTTTTTCTCGCTTTTCTATAAAAAATTTTTAAAAAAGAAAATTTTCAACGATAATCATGATAATGGTTGTTGATTTTGGCTTTTTTTTTTCCTTTTCAAGTTTTGTTGATTTTGTTATTCATCTTACTTGAATCGCCTTTTCATTTCTTCAAAGTTAATAGTTTTAATTTTAAAAATTATCTCGCTAATTAAAGAGGTTTGCTTTTTTTTTTTTTTTTTACTTTTTGACTTTTTAGGTTTAAATTTTATAGTTAGCTTTTAGAAAAATTTAAAATTGATCGGAAATAAATTTAATATCAATTCACACGTTAGCTAATAGGAGGATATCCACATTGCTGAATAGTAAATAAATAAATAAATAAAACCTCTAAAGTTAACCATTTATCTGGGGCTAAAGCCCACAACTCATTCCCCCCACTGCTACTTTCATATCCTTTCTCTTCCTCCCCAATCCAACTCTGGGCTTAGCCTACTACCCAAACCCAGGCAACCTCTTTTTTCACCATTTTCAACACCAAGACTCACAGAATAGCAAGTCGCTGCCTGCTCAATCGTCCACACAAAAATGGATTTCGCAAACAGACTGGTAGCCGCAGTAACAAAAGCCGCAAACAACAACACAGTGATAAACGTGTGCCTAGTAGGATCTTTCCTGGCGCTAGCCCAGCGATCCTTGAACCAACAAAAGAACATAGAAGCTTTAGAGGCTGAGAAGGACTCGCTGGTTAAATTAAACAAAACCATGAAAAAGACTATTTGGGACTGGAAACAACAGCTCTTCTCCGAAGCTGAAACTGGCTCCGCTTTGGTCCCTCTTGCCAGACTGAGGGCCATCTATGGCGAGGCACCACCGCCACAAACCGGTACTTTTATTTTTAGTCAATGTCTGTTTGCCTGGGAAGCTCAAATTGTATCGATTTTGAGTTGACTGTTTTAGGGTTTAAAGAATGGTACAAGTGAGACGTTTTACAATTAACGACACAATTATAATTATGTATATAGTGTGTAATTTAGGGTTTTAGGGTTCTGTAGAATTAGGGTTTGAGAATATAATTTAGGGAGCTAGAAAGGTTGTGTCACTTCCGAGAGGGATTAATAAGTGATGGGGAGATTAATAGGAAATCTCATGATTGACGGTCATTGTTATTTGTAGCATGTTTCAATGATTCCATTGAACTTTTCTGCTTATGTTGATAGCATCAGTGAGATTAAATTGTGTAGCCTCAGGAATCCCCGTGCCATCACGCCACTTCTCACAGATAAACTCCAACTAAACTATCAATTAGGCATCCGCATTTGGCAATAGAGCGATTTCAAAGTTTTTTCACTGGGATATACGTGTCTCCCTAGTCACTGTAGCTGACACCTTCTGTTGGAGTAAATTTTGGTTTTGTGGTATGCAAATTGCAGGATAGATCTAAACAGATGAATAGATAGGGATGCATTCTTTTTTTATGCCTATATGCAGTCTTCCATTTGTTGGATGATTTCTTCTCTGATTACTTGATTGGTTTTTGCAGGAGATGCTGTGGAGGAAGAAGTGAAATCACCTGCGTCTAAACTTGTAATCTAAATCTGTTTTTGCTAGTTCTTGAAGTTGCAAGTATTGCTGGACATTGGGTTGCTTATGAGAGTCAATGGGATAAATTCCTTACTTTAACTAGCATGCAGTTCGGACATAAAATGTAGGTAGGATTGTGAGTTGTTTTCTGAGCTCTCTTGTTTGGGAGAATGATGAATGAATTAGATTTTCGAGTTAAGACCAAAGAGAATTTTGAGGCTAGAGAAAAGGAAGAAGAAGAAGAAGCTGTCACGGTGTTATGTTAAATTATCATCACAGGGAATAAATAACTAGTACTGCTATTGTTTCATGATGCAAATTTGAGGCGTGTTAAGTTATATTCTATTACATTATTACGGTGTTTGTAGATTAACTTCTGAAACATGCATATGCAATATTTCCTTTTAAGCTGTAACCAATGTGCAAAATTCAAATGCAATTGTCAGTGAAGATCTGGATGGATTAATTTCTTTCCAAGGTGTGTGGCTCTTTAAACAGAATTTCTTTAGTTATTCTAAGTCAAAGGATCATGGACGCATGGCTGGGGGTTTAAATCAGCGATGTTTTGAATTCAATTCAATGTTTTTATCTTGCTGGAGACTTTTTATAGAGCAATTCAGCAATCATCTTTCCCTGCTTATTATTCTCCCGGAATTTTATGAAGGAAAAAAAAAAGCAGAGTGGGCAGATCTTTTGGGAGAAGGAATTGGAAAATCGTCAGCAAGGATGCCATTTGATTAGGAATTGTTTTGAGCTAGGTGATTATGGCGGAGAACTGGAATTAATATTATTGATTTGTTTAGATGACGTTTCAAACAATATTGGCTTTGGTTGGCATTGAACTTAAGATCTATCTTTTCTCGTGTATGTTTGAAACTGAAGATTGTTCAAGTTCTATAGTACTGAGCTCAATGAAACGGTTCCATTTCCATGCAATTCTCTATTCTCCATCTCTTTGAATCAAAGGCACTCTTAGCATGATGGACCTGGAAGCGATTTTGAGGCCGTGCTTCATATGTTTTTCACCCTTTTTTTTTTTTTTTTTTTGGGAACGTATGTTTTCACAATTCATACTGAGCTAAATGGTACGGTTTAATTTCCATGAAATTCTCGATTCTCCATCTCTTCGAATCAAATGGCACCCTTAGCATGATGGACCTGCTAGTGATTCTAAGCCTGCGCGTCATATGTTTTTCACATTATTTATTTATTTATTTTTTGGAACTCAAGTTTTCCAAATTCGTTAATTAAGAATGGCCATTTAAAAGTCACTAGCTCAGCTCCTTAAAAGAGTGGTCCCGTTTTCGGCCGTCATGCCTAACAGCTGAAAGAAAAGAAAGTGGAATGATCCCAACTTTTTATGAACTTCTCAAGTTATTTGAAAAAATTTCAATTTTTTATTTTGCGTTAGAACTTTTCTTGGACTATTTTTTTAAAAAAATTAAATCCTTATATTAGATCTTTGTTAATTTTAATTATGTAAGTACACGTGATTTATATGTAATTGATTTTTTAATTTCTCCAATTGGTAAAAACATTTAAGAATTTATAGATATTTTTTTTTTCAAAGCTTGTTTTTTTTCCTAAGATATTTTTTAATTGCTAATTTTTTACCATTTACGAAGTAATAAAAATTTTTTAAAAAATGAAATAAACGATAGTTTTAATTTGTTTTTAGCTTATGGAGAATTATACTTGAACATTAGAATTGAAAGAAAATTTAACAAAATGATCAAAAATAAAAAATAGTTGGAGAAATACCTAATTTTGAAATTTAAAATTAGAAGACTGATTGTTAAATAACTTCTAATTTAAAAGATATTTGGACCATTTAGCCATAAAAAAATGGTACAATATATCCCCAGAAGAAGAACGAGTTGCCATCGCCTTGAGTTTGAGAGGTTGGTCATTTTCCATTGGGAGATCAGCCTTCCTGGGTTGTTCCGAAGAGATTTCTTCTAGTCCAGATGGATGTCTGCTAGCCTGCTACAACAATATGACCTATTCCCAAATTCAACTGCAAAAATAGCTGTTTTCGAGATTATCACATGTCCCTAGTTGTCCACATTCGAAGTCACAATAGCTTTCAGCGAAAACGATAGTTTTAAGTGCCAAACTTGGAAAATTCGTGTTGTATTTTTTTCTTCTTACGCGTGATTTTCGGTTGACCTTTGTTGAAGGCCTTTCGGATCTTCTGTCATCGCATTATTAAAGTTTTACGTATTTCTCTAATAATATTCAATAATTCCTTCATCAAATATCAATACTCTAGGACTTGGCCTGCCAATTGAGAACAAAGTGGCGTAACATATGGTTTGACAAATCTGACAGTGGTAAAAGCATTCATTCGCGAATGAATTTGTTCGAGAAAATGGAAACCATGAAAACGTTGAGAGAAGACAAAAAAAGATAAGCTATAATACTGATCATGTATAAGCGAAGAAAAGGTTCGTGATTTGCATTGAAGCTGTGAGTGCACTCGATTATTTAAAACTCAGCCTTTTCAAGTTCAACTCAACTGTTGAGTGGTAAGTTGTTTAATTAGTCTCTTCGAATCAAAACACTAATAATATTGATAGAGAAGCAGAACAAAAAAGCAAATGAAAAACTCGCTTTCGTTACTGGTTTCTAGAATTTTAAATCATATTCTATAAATGAAATAGGAAATGAAAATGTCTGGCTCTAATCCACTCGTTTAGCCCATCATTATCTACATCATTGAGGATGTGAGGCTTGACAAGCTTAATTAGGTGCAGTACAGTTGAGATGTATATCGTGTGGATCGACATTGTACCAGCATACAAAATTAATTTTCACCGTATCCTGTCGTGTTGGATGGATATCTTAAATTTAATCAATTTTAACGAAGATGCTATCAGCTATTGTATATGTCACCGATATACAGCTGAAGTGCAAGCTTTCCCCTCTCCCACCCACATGCATGAATCACTTTGAAATGTGAAAACTCGCTCTGATGTTTCTAGTTTCCCTAATGTTTGTGCCAACAGAGACCGATGATCAGTGCACTGAAGCTACATTTCATCTCATGAACTCTGTACAATATCAAGAACTCCTCCTCTGTGTCTTTTTTTTGAAAAGGAAAAATATTTTTAAGTTAAAAAGCGCATGCTCTTAATGATAAAGACAAGTATAATTTATTTGATGCAGGGATCTTGCATCGAGGAAAGTTTTCTAGGCTAGCATCCGCATTAATAAGTTTATTATAAAAAAAGGTTCTTCAATTTGAAAATTGGTCCCGGAGTCGTATAGCCTCAGTCCGTATTAATTTTTAACATATGAGTCGGTTAATGGTTTTCAGTGGCCTAACTGTTAACCCATCTGACCTGTTTCCCCAATTCGATATATATGATTAATTTCTCTGCCGCTGGATCTCCGCAAAAGACAAATCGTGCCTCTAAAATGTGCGTATTTAACACTCCAGTGGGATAATAACAACTATCATTATATTTTCTTTTTATTTTACCGTCACTATAATAATTTAAAAATGATGAAGTGATTAAAAACGACATATATTATTAGTTTATCACATCTTAGCATTTGCAGGACATTTTCCAATAGTGTTACGGCTCCATGGACTTCTGCGTAAGTCGTGCATTCCATAGGTCTGCTGTAGTATTTTTTTTCTTTTTTAAGTCAAAGTATTTTTCTTAAAAATTAAACTTTTTTAGTTTACCAATAAATCATGTTTATTGCCGTACAAAGGACGAAAAAATGTTTTTAATGATTGAGAATTAAATTACTGATATAATGAATAAAAACACCCTCGTTTTACAACCTACTCCAAGTGATAGTTATAATTAAAAAAAAAAACAACAATATAATACCGCGCGCGCGCGCGTAGTTAATACAGATAAAGAGAGAGCCAAACAGCGGCGTGCTTTGTCAACATTAACATATGCTATTCGATAGGAGCATTGAGAATGTACTTTTAGCAAATTGCCTGGAGAGCAGGAATTAGTTCCGATTTCCAATTTTATGAAAGTATTTCCATCGGGTACAGGGGTAAGCCTTTAATAGATTGGTTCGATATGATATATAAGAAGAAATTAATTCATTTTAAGATTATAGATTTGAAATATAATTGATTTTTTAAATTGATATATTTATGTTGGATTAGCCATCTTTCTATAGACATTTTAAATTTCAATTTTGATATACATATGATGAAAAAAAAATTCCTTTCGTTGTTATTCTTATTATAACGGTAGGATTATCAGCAATTATTATTTTTTTTAACTATTGATTCATGAATTTATTTATTTATTTATTTATTTCTATTATCAATCTTTGGATGAAATCGACATTGATTCTGGATGAATTGGTGAAAAGCTTAGGCCAATTCAAGAGAAGAGAGAATCCTTTAATTTCTATAATTCACAGCAGTTCTAAAAGCTTGTTTCAAAAAAGAAGCTCAACGGAAACAGATCACATCTGTAGTCTTTTTGACCAAAAAAAAAAGGCATTTGACGATGGTAAGTCCGTCGCTCGTTTTATTTTCTTGCTTTTTTTTCTTAATTCAAAAATACCTCCGACAAATAAAACAAAAAAGAAAAAAAATCGAAGAACATCTTCAACGAAAAAATCAGATGGTGGCAGAATCTGATGAGTGAAATAGGATTTAATCAATAAGAGGAAAAAATCAATTTCATATGCAAAAGAAAAGGACGCATGTGTCATTTAAAATTATATGTTTTTTGTCATTAAACTGTAGTTTAATGTATGCTAATGCTCATCATTCTCCCCAAAAAAAAAAAAAAGAATTATATCAAGAGATTTTCTTCTCGTTATTGAATACGAATTATATTCTACCCTAAATTTCAATATCATAATTTCAATTATAAATTTATTAGATACTCACTTAGTATCATTTCTTTTTTAACCTTTTGAAAATAGAAACAAGAAAGTCCTTTGATTTAGATTTTTTTTTTGATAAAAACTGACGAAATCAATAACCACTGCTATTACAATTTCTTAAAACCACTTTATTTGTTTTAAAAATTTTCTGACAATCAGTTGTTAGTTTCTTTACGTTTTTTGAAGACAAAAGGCAAAAGCAAACAATATATTAATGAAGAAATCGGTTTATTGTTTTCAAAAAATTTATTACAAAAATGATATCACAAAAACCCTAAGTGAGACAAAAAATCCTCAGGAATGTTTCGAATTTGGGTTGTAACAACCTCAATTGTAACTCAAATGCATTAGAATTCTGAATTTAAGTTCCAATAAGTAGCTGAAATTGCATCATAATATCACGCAGGTCAGTTTTGAAAACCAACATAAATGAACATTAACGAAAGAAACCTTGATCACAATGACCTCTCAAAAAGCAACTTCTAGTCTTCTCTTTATACAAAACTCCTAAAGAAAATACCAATTACCAACCGCAAGTACATAACCTGTCACTTGATTGCATCTGTTACAACCCTCTCGCAACATGCAAACCACCGCCAGGTGACACACAGAAAGAGACCATCCCTGCATAAACTCTTAAAAAAAATAAATTAAACGTACCAAACAACAAAATACTAAAAATAATAGGGATGCCAAACCGTATCCATAAGGGGAGGTATGAATTCTAGTCAATGCTACCAAAAAGTAAATGCATTCAATGGCTGCGATTTCAATTCAATTTATATTTGGCGTAGACCCACTTTTTAGACTTCCCCGTAACCTAGGAACTCTTTTCCTATGCTATTGAACGTGACCCACACTAAGTGCTATGTATGGAAGAGATGATAAAATATGATTTAGTCCCTGACGTTCCACTTCAGCAGTTCAACTTATGTAGATCAACATTTTTCATTATCACCCCTATGAATTCTCACAAGTTCTCATTTAGTTCCTTGTCAATAAATAATTAACTATTGACGAAATGCTCTTCCTTTCCAACCTTTTCTTTCACTTTCCTCGTTTTTCATTTGAAGGTTGACTACAGTGTAAAAAATTTCTTGATATGTATTGGAAAGAAAAAAAAATTGAATTTTTAGAAATCAATTTCATCTTTAGAGTTGCCCAAGAATTTTAGACTTTTAGTACTGTCCTTCAATTCATATTTCTCTAAAAATAGTTAATATATTTTGTTAAAAATATAAGGGGCACCCATAAAATAAATCATTAAAATAGAAGTATTGCCAATATCACTTAATAAAAATAAAATTCATATGTAACAATTTATTTTTTTTCTTTTTTATTTCTTACTTATATTTTATCTTCTCTTTCTTTCTCCAGATTTTTTTTTGTCACATATATTTTTAATCTAAGTTGTTAACAATTCATGATGAAACAAGTATACAAGTACTGCGATAAAACTATTGGATAATTATATGAATAAATAGATTCAGTTAATTTGACAAAAAATACTGTTAATTAGTATATATGTCACTAAATATTTTTATAGTTATCCCTTTCTCTTATTACTTTCTTTGCTTTCTTCCAAAACCTCGTACACCTTAACAGCAGTAGTATTACACGAAAATACTTGAATGCAAAAAAATTCAGAAAAAAATCCCAATATGCATAGTTATCATGCCACTTTTGATAATGAAAAGTTTTAAATTATAGGGTCCAAAAGTGAAATATTTGGAAACCTACATGGGTTAGAACAAAATTTATGTTTTATTACATATTTTTTTTAAAAAAAGAAAAAGAAATACCAGTAGAAACTAGAAATACAGACAATGTTTCTGTTCATATAATAAACACACAAGAAGTGAGAGAGAGAGAGAGGCGTTTAAAATTCAACAAACAAGTTTAAGACCCAAAAACAGAAAAGAGGGGGCAAATCACATGGAAGAGGAGCTGCCTGCTCCGTTACGCCCTCCCTTCTCACTTTCTTATTATCTCTTCCTCTAATTAGGGTTTTCTAATTATTTTCCTCTCTATAATAATTTCCTTTTCCACCTCTCTCATTCTCCCCCTCCCGTCTCTACCTACAGGCCACAGCTACTGTGGTTTCTCTCTCTCTCTCTCTCTCTCTCTCTCTTCCTTTCTGATTTTCAATTCAGCTATTTGAAAGGGAGGAGAAGTGAAAATTTGGAATTGAGGTGAATTCCGGGGTTTCTTTTTTTCCTTTTTTCTTTGTTGTGATCTGATATTATTTCTGAGAAGAAACAGATTGAGAAATGGAGGAGAGTGTGATTTTTCAGTGGAGTGTGTTTAGATCTCTGCTCGCTATTCTCCAATGGTGGGGTTTCAATGTCACTGTTATTATCATGAACAAATGGATCTTCCAGGTCTGTCTTCTCTGTTTTTTTTCCCGACACATTTTTGCATGATTGATTAGCTAAATTTTCTTTTTAAATGTAATTAGTCTGAATTTTTTTTAAACTGGGTTGGCTCAATTTCGCTGTTTTAATAAGTTGTTATGGATTTCGCTTGATGGGTAAGCTGAATTTTGCAGTGATGCTAATTTTTTATAGCTTAAATCTTAATGTTGATCTTCTTCTTCTTCTTCTTTTTTTTGGGTATATATTGATCTTTGAATCTGTTTTTTTTTCTTTTAACTATTTTGTATTTGGGTTTTAATCAATTCTATTGTAATTATACATGCTATTAGCGGAGGTTTCTATAAATTCTTCTATTATTAGTTTGTCTGATGCGTATTAATATGCATGTATCTACATACATTCAGGTGTCTTTTTTTTTCCCTCCAGCGATTTCTGTAATTTAAATAATCGAATTCCCATGTGCACAGTCACTAAGGTAGATAATTAAACTATTAAATTCCCGTCGTAGATTGATATGCATGTTTGGCACATACAGTTCACCAACTGATGGGAAAAAGGGGATTAATCATATTGGAATTTTTGTAAACAGACAAACTGCTTCATATGGTGGTGGTTGTTATTGAGCTGGTGACTTTTTAATTAACTTGTCTGTCTTTTTCGTATTAATAATTTCATTTTTTTTTTCAAGCCTGCTTGCCTTGGTGGGATATGGCTTCGCCTTTTCCTGATGCGATCAATGCTCTGACATAAACAGATCTACTTTGTATATGCGGTTCATAATTTATGCTAATTGATCGAAAAACTTGATTAGGTTTATTTTCCTTGTATTAAAAGCCTACTTGCTGTTCTTCCTGTTTCAGTAGGTTTGACAGTTATTGGCAATTTTTTCTCTCTTAAAAGCGTTCTGTGTCATGTTTATATCCTGGAACTGGAGTTTGCTTGATGTTTATGGGTGTCTTCACAGACCTTCCAAATTGATATGGTATCTTTTCACAGAAACTGGATTTCAAGTTTCCGCTATCAGTATCTTGCATTCACTTCATATGCTCATCTATCGGAGCATATGTGGTAATCAAGGTGCTGAAGCTCAAGCCATTGATAGTGGTTGAACCTGAAGATCGCTGGCGAAGGATATTTCCCATGTCGTTTGTGTTCTGCATCAACATAGTGCTGGGGAACGTGAGCTTACGTTTCATTCCAGTTTCGTTTATGCAAACAATAAAGTCATTTACTCCTGCAACCACAGGTGAGGCTCGGAAATCAGAAACATATATAAGCTATTTTTTATGTTTCCTGATCCTCAGTAATTTTTTGTTGTCATGCTATAATTTTTTCTTATCTTGGATGGCTGGACAGTTGTTTTGCAGTGGCTAGTTTGGAGAAAATATTTTGACTGGCGAATTTGGGCTTCTTTGGTCCCAATTGTTGGAGGAATACTTTTAACATCTGTCACTGAACTTAGTTTTAATATGTTTGGATTTTGTGCTGCCTTATTTGGATGTTTGGCTACTTCAACTAAGACTATTCTCGCAGAATCTCTGTTGCATGGATATAAATTTGACAGGTAGTGTCTCTGTTCTTATCAGCTTTTCCTTTTCTTGCTCTCATAGTTCTCTGCTTCTTGCTTTATTGCATTCTTTTCTTATTTTCTTGGAACTCTTTCATCTTGCTTTAATTGTTATTTGAGAAGCTGCAAGATTAGTGTCAATAGTTACTTTATATTGCTGGCTACAGGATTTCCCTGTGTAATTCGTGATCCATGTATCATTAAAATTTGAATTTTAAAATCAGTATTGTAGTCTGTTTCCTTTTATAGCTTGTGTATATTCACAACATACCACAGTAGCAGTGAAAGGCTTTGAAACATGGAAACTTCAGTGTGATGGTGTCTTGACTCGAATGACCTCAAAATAACATGCTACTGACTTTATAGATGAAACTGGTCTTGTGTATGTGTAACTGGTGACTGTTTCTTATGTGGCTTAAGGATGATGCTAATCTATCGAAATTGCAGTACCACTAGTCTGGTACAACTTGTTTATTTCTTACGAGGGAGTGGATTGCAATAGATCAGCCGTTTCTTTCTTCTTTTTTATTTGAACTCCGTGTTAAAATCTTCCAGTTCCTCTACTTCCAATTTTTGTCTGGCTTATGAGGATTATACATGTCTTATTTTAAGCATAAGCTTACCCTTACAGTATTGCTGTGAACATGTGATAGAAACTGGTAATGGTACAGCACTATTGTTTGGAAGTGATTTTAAGATAGCCTTGTATTTGCATTTTACCTGCAATATATTGCATCCTGAGAATGCAACTTCTGGCATGTATCATATTTGCAGATTTCAGGCGAGGAGCTCTCCGTATGAATTTTTTCTTTTTTAAATAAATACTTAAAAAAGATTGTTGGAGGTTGAAATAGGTCTTTCCATTCTATCATGCAAATTTTTTATTTTTATTTTTATTTTTATTTATTTTATTTTTTTGTGTGTGAAAAAAAGGATGCCAGTTGGTGTGCTGGCATCTCTACTTCATTTTCCCAAGGGATATTTTGTTTCTGAAAGGAAGACTGGCATCCTGTTAGATTGGGTCTGGCAGCTTAACGCTCCATTACAGGAAACATTCTAGGATTTATTTATTCTTCTATGGTGTTTTGGTGGTAATAGTGATCTGTCTTTTTTTTTGTTTTTTTTTTTAAAGCCTTTCCTAGCAAATAATGAAGCAAAATTTAAGTTTGTAAAATTGTTTTCGGAAAACTTTGTCAATGTGTGGGTTTGATTACATGATTTATTTCTGCACGATTCAGTCTGATCTTTTCTTTAATTTTTCCTGTACCATCTTAGCATAAACACTGTGTACTACATGGCACCTTTTGCAACCATGATCTTGGGATTACCAGCAATATTGGTTGAAGGTGGCGGGGTTATAAATTGGTTTTACACCCATGATTCTGTCGGGTCTGCCCTCATCATCATTTTCAGCTCTGGGGTGCTGGCGTTTTGTCTCAACTTCTCCATTTTTTATGTGATTCATTCTACAACTGCAGTAACATTTAATGTTGCTGGAAATCTTAAGGTGAGACCAAAATTGTCATCTCTTAACCTAATATGACCCATCTCAAGATTGGAACTTGCACACCTGTTTAGTACCTTAAAAAATTTTTACACCAGAATTGATCCTGCAATCTATCACATAAATGAGTTTTCTTAGTTTTCACGAATATACAAAACCTAGATGTTGCATGTATCACAAAACTTATTTACAGTTTCTTTTGCTTTCGCATGTCCTTAATTTATATTGCATCGTTTTCCACCATAACTTTTGCTGGCTCTTCCATTGAGTTTACACTATTGCTATAGGAAGCAACTATGGTATTGATATGCGTACACTGTGCTCCTGTGTTAATTGGGTACAGGTTGCATTTGCCGTTCTAGTTTCCTGGCTGATATTCCGGAACCCAATTTCTGCTATGAATGCTGTTGGATGTGCCATTACACTTGTGGGATGTACGTTTTATGGGTATGTGAGGCACTTGCTCTCCCAACAGCCCCCCCACCAGGAACTCCTCGGACGCCCAAGACTCCAAGGAATCGGATGGAACTACTTCCGCTTGTAAATGATAAATTAGATGATAAGGTCTAATTGAGAGGTCATGGTATTGAGGCTCTTTGGAGTTGACATAGGGGTTAATACGTATTATAGGAGGGGTAAATTGGAAAGAACAAAGAGAACTTCACTTTCGTTGTGTGAGCATCCATTTGATTACTCATTAAATTTTCACATATGTTTTTTTACGTGGTCAGAAATAGAAATATATTCAGCTCTTTGCCATGAGTCTAATATTTATTTATGGATTATAAACCAGCACGATACTTAAGGCTTCAGGGTACTGGCATTGGTAAGTCTGCATAGTCTCATCACGCAAGGGCACACTTATGACAAGCTCTGAAAAGTTTCAGTGTTTCGACCTCCATCTCATGCAGTAATGAGTAATGATAGCGGAGGATGAAAGCTGTATCACCTGTACAAAATCTTGCTCCTCACAAATCGGGATACCACCATTGAAATCTTGTTTCGTTGCAACCTACAGCCAATGATTCGTGGAGTATTTGAATTGCTACTTTTTACACTTCCAAGATACGCATATAACCAATTTCTAGATAACTTAACCACAACATAAAAGAATTACCACTACCGACGAGTTGATGCCATTTTGGGCCTAAACAAACTAGTGCACCATTTAGTGGTCTCCATATTAATATTACATGCCTTGCATGTTTTCTCGTGGTTGTCAAGTTTGGGCGGTGGAGAGAGATTCTCATAGCATTACATTGATACAGGGGAAGAACTGGTTAGTACTAAGTACTTACAGTGAGATTGGATGCTAATAGTACATTAGATGTAACCTGACTAGTGCTATTATTAACTTATGAAATGAAACTAAGCCAGGAGCCAGAAGTCTTTCTGCCTTCTAGTGGTGATGAGGTACCCGCTCATGCCTTTGCTCTGCTTCCTTACACCAACAGTCAAGCACTCTACGTTGTTGATGCACTGCTCAACAAAATCTTCGCTGCTACTTGTTCCACACAGGCTGCAGGAAATACCACCAGCAAAATGTTAAAGGTCAGATCAAACAGACTCGGAGACAAAAAGGGTGGAGAGTGCATTATTTTGAGATACTAAGGTAGAATTTTAAACCCACCAGCTGATTAGTGTGGAAGGCCTTTTCTGACCCAGGACAAGCACAGACACCTCTAGCTTCTTCACTTGGCTCATCACTGTGCCCAGCTTGGGTCCTTGAATCACCAGTGCTTCCACTTCCACCTGAAAATGACCCCAGATCCTAACATAAGACTGATTTAGCTGAAGAGACAGATTGTTCCACCCCCACACCCACAATAATAAAAAAAAAAGAAAAAGAAAAAGAAAAGAAAAGAGAAGACATAGACAAAGAAAGATAAAAGATAAAAAGTGCCTGAAAATTCCCCCACAGCATCCCTCTTTGCATTTCTGGAAAGCAAAAGTGAAAGTTGAAAAGACAAACCAAGCCGGTAAAAGCTGTTCCCCCGTCTCCCTCCAAAAAAGAGAAGTAAAGTGCAATACAAGGCTGAAGATGGAATGTCATACAGTTAAAATTAAACCAATGAAAATGATCAAAATTCCCTCTCACAAAAAGCATTCAAAGGAAAAGGAGAGGAAGAGTGGAATTCACTAGGCAGGATCTATCAAACACAGCTACAAGATTTTCTCTTACAACATGGGATCTATCACTCATGCCCACCAAATTAACAAAATAAAAAATAGACCCAAGAAATGACATAGAAACGGGGAAGAAAAAAGACATTCTTGAACATAAACAAAACATACCTCAGGTCTGCTAGCCTTGCAAAGTGACCCAAGAGAACTTGCAAGATAAGGAGAGTAAGAATCAGAACCAGAACTGGATGTTCTTTCACTGCTGCATTTGTGGCTAGGAGGGATAATGTGAAGCAAAGTGAGCAAATCACCCTTGTTAGCCACATGAGTCAATGCCCACATCATTGCATGCTTGGAATGTGAAGTTTGATCCACCACTACCATCACTCTTTTCCTCATAGTCAACCCAGCATTGTCATTACCATACATGTAAAGCCCTTCCATTTGCTTCAAACTTCTCTCGCAGTTGTAGCCACCTTCAACAGTGCTATACTTGCTGTTGCTAGTACTCCACCTCCAAGATGTTGATCTGCCACTTATCTGCCGTAAGAAAGATCCCGAACTTGGCATTTTTTTTGTTTAATCAGTTCGCGTCCTTATAAAGAGAAATCAACTAGAACAAATAGTAGTGGCACAGGATTAGAAATCAACAGGAATAGTGATGCTAGTACAATAGTATAGGCTCTAGCCAGCAAGGGATAAAGAGAGAGACAGGCGATGGGAAAATTTGGTTGGAGTGCAAATGCAATAAGAGATTCTGGGGTTGGCTTTAATACAAGTACAAGGACTCAAAAAAAAACAAAAACAAAAAACAAAAGAAAAAAAAGGGTTATGCGAGGGAGACAAAGAAAAAGAGTGACGGATGGGACGGGATGGGAGTTAAAGCTAAAAGAAGGTCTCGTGGGGTGGTGCTGATGCAAAACCATGATTTTTATCTTTTGTGCAGGTTTAAAGTCACGGGAATCCCTGGCAGCTGCTGTGAATTAGAGAGCGGGTAAACAATTGCTCCCTTTAGTCAGGATTTTGATGATGAGAGAGGATTCTTTTTACCATATCTTATTATGTCTGTATAGATTCTTTCGTGCAATATTTATTTTTTCATATCTCCTACTCATGACCTATTATGATAATGGGAAACCCATATCTTATGTTTGCTATCTTTCATCGCACAAGCGGCACATGATATGGGGGGAGTAAGGTCCATTATTATGGAGTGAGAAGCTTAGACTTACTATCTTCTAGTTCCTCCAAGTTGTAGAACCGCTTGCGTGCGCCATCTTTATCCAATGCAAATTACAGGTGACACCCAATGCAAATTTCAACTTTATCCACACATGCACGGCACACAAATTATGAACGATCCAAACGGTCCAAGTCTTTAAAATTGTCTGTTTCCAAAATGCTAATAATGAGCCTAAGCGGCTAAGCTACGCACAACAAATTTCTGCTGGCAAGTTCGAAAAATGTGAAAGCAGAAATGTAATCTTCTTTTGCATTACCATGTCAAGATCAACGATGATTAGATTTCTGATGGATAGACATGTGGATAGATAGATGATGGGTGGCGCTATCAAACCTTATCAACGCAATGGTCAGGAACAAAAAAGGAAAAAAAAATTGAGAAGCACAAGTAGATCTTTCTTCAGGAGTTTCTAGCACAGGTCTCCGACTAAAAATAGTGTCGAGTGGTTTAGCTAAGGATTGATTTGGAAATGGTGCTTTTTAGAAATTTCTCAACTTTTGCGTTTGGTAAATATCTTTTTAAGGGTTTCTTTGAACACCTAAAATAAAAAGCTGTGTAAAAAAAAAGAAAAGCATTCGAGGTTTTAAAAGTATTTTATTGACATTTACATGCATTATGAAAATATTTTTATGTTCTTAACAACTCCCATCACATCAAAACTACATCTAACAACTGTAGCAATACATGACATTTCAAATGCAATTTACACCTAGCAGTGTTGGCAGGGGACCAGGAGTTCGATGCAAAAGGAGACTGAGAAGGGTAACACAGTAAATACACACTATCAAATTTTATGGTTGCAAGTAGCAACGAAGCACTGGTTACTGCTGCGTATCCTTTCCTACTTCTCATTCAAAACGTCAGTGTGGTCAGAGAGGTCAGTGGTTAAAAGAATCCTGACCAGAAGACAGCGTCTTGTGAGATCAATAATAATTATTTTTTTCTCTTAAAAAAAAAAATTAACTAGTATTCAGTAATGAATGAATAAGTGAAAATTTAATTGCAAATGCCAAAAATTAAAGGACAGTGTCAGGGTTTGGGGCCCTCGTGAATTGGGTTTTTCTAGTTGCTTGTGTCAGTAAGGTCGTACTTCCAAATTATTGCCCTCGCCCGACTCCCTGATTCCTTCTTCGTTATATGAACTTACAGCTATAGCCCTTTCTGCATCTCCTTGTCCCAACCCAATTACATAATAATCAACCAATTTTTTCTACTTTCTAGTTTCAACAATTACCTAGGGGCATCGATTACCCACGTTGATGTAGTTTATTATTAAAAAAATAAGAAGTTTTATTTACTAAAATATAGATATTTAATTCAACAAACCAATAGAAATAAAAAAAATGCTCAGTACTTGTAATTAAAGAAAATGATATATATAATGTATATAAAAAAAACTTTCAAACAAAAAACGATACTAAATTATATATGAAATAAAATTTATAAAGAAAAAAAGATAGAAAGAATGTACAAGATATTGAGAAAAAATAGTATAGAGTTGTACATATATATATATATAGCTATTTTTTTAATAAGCAGACTTTAAATAGATAACCAATCAATAGAAGTATCTCTGTTAAAGAGTTTGTATTTGACAATAATACTTGTATAATTAATTTGATTTTTAATTAAATATTAATATGTTATCAATATTGGTATTATCAACTCGAAAAGAAAAAAAACACTATGTATTATATGTAGCAGCACGAAATAAATCCCAGAAACTTTAGAAGAAAAAAACTCAAAGTTTATATAAAAAAAAAGCTTGAGATTTTATGTATATATATACCCTTTTTTTATATATTTTTTGTTAATATATAAAAAGTACTAAGTTCTATTTTGATCATATTAACATGCATGTGTGGAAGTTTTTTTAATTAAAAATGCATAGAAGTTTTATTATAAATTTATTTTTAATATGATATTTTAAATGATATAAGAATATTATCTAATTAATATCATTCTTTTTTTATATATGAGATAAAAATTGTGTTCAACCGTTAAACTAAATCCAAATTTCATAATAAAAAAATGATGTATTATCATGCATGGCATCATTCGAATTAAGAAAAAATATTTGAAATTCTAAGGGAGAAAAAAATACTTAAAATTTATCCAAATGTTTGATGCACACACTGTAATTGATTTAAGTAATGCATCTCGATCGCTTGACAAAAAAACAATTACTGAAGAAAAGGTTGTTCTTTATTCTTTATCAGGAAAAGATCAGTTGTTTAGAGTGGTCCAACTTTTATAGTCAAAGAATATATTTAATTCTTTAGGCATCTGATCAATTTCTTAGCACGTTCAAAACCTTGAAACCTGCGTAGATGAATAAAATGATCTCTTTATAATCTAACTAATTATTAGATTTTCATACACGATATAACTTGCAAATTGAATTTTACATCAGATCAGTATTGAATCCTTTGTAGAATGGTTCAGTAAACTACACCATTCTGGCTTGGTAACGTTGTTTATATCCTCGGTTCATGAAGAATATCAGGAGGCTTTCACAAACGATGACGTTTTTGACATGGATTCTTGAATATCTAAACATTCAAAGCAATCTCCCATTTGTTGAATACTAATATGCTACCATGTAACAAATTTTAAATCTAAGAAATTACTCATCGCACTTCCATATTTTACTATTGCATTTTACCATTCACGCACTGTCTTTCGACAGTTACGTGCGCAGATGATTGAGAAGTTTTCACAAGCAAAAAGGGACACACAGTCACGGTATCTCCGGCCTTTTCACTATAGAATTCAGTTTATGGGAATTTGTGCAACTGAAGAATTCCAAGTCGAAACGGGCCAAACCCAAACGGAAAACGATCTTTAAATTTTGCAAACGTGGATGGGGAGAGATGTAATAACACAGACGAATTAGCATTCAGCAACAATTTTTCTTCAGTCTCGTGAATAGAGGAAGAATACGACATAATCTACTATGGCCATTGGCTTTTTCCTCTCTGCTCGCTACATTTCCATCATAAGGTCCCGTCTTTCCCAATCTCTTTCCATATAGAACTTCTTTCTATTTCAGGGCATGTGGCCCATCTAACGGCCTCTTCGAGTCTGTTTATATTCTCTACCCCTGGCAAAATTTTGAGTATAATAAAAGCTGTTGCACGCACGGCCACTGCTCAAGTTCACACTAAGCTTTCTTAACCAGTTTTATTTTATTTTTTTAATAATGTTAGCCAGATTTCAAATGAGTAGAATGATGGAACAACAGCGGAGACCCTGAGTTCTGGCTCTGAACCGAACTTGGCCAAGGAGTACCGAGGAGGAAAAGTAGATCATCAAACATGCTAAGCTGCGAAAGTGTTGCTAGGAGACATCAAATCGTTTATTGAGCCAAGTCATTGATACAACTAAAATGAGCAGCCACTCTATTTGTTCCTGTCATTCCCGAATGTCGCAATATGACACTTGGCCTCCTTTACATATCCTCAATTCTTGTAGCAGCTGCATTGAGTTATGACTATACCAGAGTTAGTGAAGAGGCAACAGTCTATTGTGTTAGGTCCTTGACAACAAGGTTATATAGTTCTATCTGTGGCGTCCATTGATTGGGACGAAATCTTTGAGTAGACGTTAGACTGACTCAGCAATGAAATTTCTTCTGGAGAAAACATTAGCGAACCGCTGCTCAAGTAGTTTCGAGAAGCTCGTGCCCTACATTATAAATTGTAACTAAATTAACCTTGAGGTAGTGACCAAGAAAGATTTCTAGTATTAAAAAGGTTTCGGTATTTCTAGCATCACAAGTACGTACCTCCGTCTATTTTTTGTCTCGCCAAAGCTTGCTGATAATCGAGAAGCTTCTGATCTTGCAATGTAGCCCAGAGAAGATAGATATTCATAGAATGCATCACCCTTCATTGTCATATATGCTCGTGAAGGGACTATGGACTGAACTATATCACAAAGGCATGACTTCATTTCACTGCTTGCAGAAAACCAAAGTGAAAAATTTAGACAGTGCCAGAGATAATGCATGCAATTGAAGGTGCCAAAGCATGAAAAGTTTTGGCTTAGCAGATAAGGAGGACAGTGCAGTCTAAATAATTCTTCTTGTTTTCCTTTTTTCTATTGAGGGACAGGGAATTTAGAAACAAGAGGATAAATATGCTCTTAGTCAAAGGAAAGGAAAAATTAAAATAAAGGAACGAACCTTACAAAAGCAATACATAAAGATCCACTGCTTGATTAGACATTTGATAACCCTATATGCCATTAGTTTCATATATTATACAGGCAATCAAGTATATGTACCTTGCTTTGCTTCGTCTCTTCACAAATAACATTTTAATTCAGAATTTTAAAAGAATTTGGCAATAGCACGAAACCTTTTCCACATGCACACTGTACCGAAATATTTTTAAGATTCATTGCATGGCAGTGACTTAACATGAAATGTGAGCTTTGATCTGTAATTCAACTATGTGGAAATATTCAAGTCAGTCTGCAAAGGATGTGACAGTATGAGCATGAGTAGAACAGAGTTGAGCTCTATACCTATTTGACGATGCCCCACTTTCTGGTAGGCTCATCTCAGTACTCATCCCAGAATGTGAGCTCTTACTACTCAAATTCTGTATTGCCAAGTTATCAAATTCCATCATACTAGCAGTAGAAAGCATCTCCCAGGTGAAATCTACCTTGGAATCCAAACCCATTTTTAACCCTACATTAGCAAGTTCTTTGGCATAGAAGCAAAATCCTTGCTGTGCTATTGTTGATGACATCTGCAAATGCTCATCAGACCAGCTGAATGCATCCAATACCTCGGAAAGGACTGTTGACAATCCCAGGAAATCCTGCAAAAGATACCATCATGAACTAACTAGCCGAGGATAATACACAAGGAAAGAGTTTTAATTGCTAGTTCATATTTACCGAAGTTCGGTGCTTTGAAAGCAATAGTTCAGCTTCTGAAATCAGATTGCTCATACCATAAGCGAGTTCTATCATCCCATTAGCATCTTTGACTTCTGAGATGACAAAATGTCTTAGATCCGTGTGATGATCACGAAGTCTTCTCCAAGACTCACGTACTAAATCAGTCATCATACAAGATGGAAATTTCTCCACTGGCTTGGATTTCTTATTGAAATCCATGCGGCTACACTCATCCATCACTTGATATTCTCTTGTAACAGCTTCTGCATGTCCCTTTTGAGAATCTTCCACCTCTTCATGAGATGATTCCGGGATTACATCACGAGTACTTACCGACATAATAGAATTATGTTGTAATTTGGGCACAAGTTTGTCAAGATTGTCTGTTTCAACCGGCCATAGGTTTTGCTTGAACTCATTGCTCACTGAAACTTCTTCCAAAGTATCAGCTACTTGAGTGCAGGACGCCCTGCTAAATGAAACATCATTAATTTGTGTTTCGGGAACAAATGTTGATTCTGGCACACATGATACATCAACTGATATTGATGTCTCTTTTACATGCAAATCAATTGCTATATCTGGACATTGATTACTATTTTCATCTAGTTTCTCAGCTCCAGAACAAAAGTGCATGTCAGTTGATGGGCTTAAGCAATTTTGCGTGCTTGGACAATGAGAGGGAAATGCACCATCAGCTTCAAGTATTAATTCATTCTTAGTAAACCTGTCTATAGTTAAGGGAACTCTATCAGTGACCAACTCATCTTCAGAATCAGAAGACATTACGACACCAAGAGTCCTTCTACCGTTTCTCCGAGAGAATGACACCGGGGTTCCTGGGGAATCAAAAACATCACATACTGCATCAAAAGGAATTTCGAAGAGATCGCAATGCTGATCAGAGCAATTCTGGTCTAAAATTGCTTGTTTCCTGGCCTCTATACTGTCTTTGTCATAATTATGAATCTTTATGTTATTCTGCATTTCTTTATCTGCGATATCTTCTTCTATGACCTCCAAGGAGACAGAATTTTCTTCCATCATAGACAATGAAGTTGTGATCTCCTTTTCAACTAGCTCAGATAGCTGAGAAGGGAAATCCCATGGCATCATCATTGGCAATACTCGATGCACAGCCTCAGGATCAAACATCAGCGGGCCAAACAGTCTTTCTGCTTCTCTACCTGGAGGCAGTTTTCTGATTTGTCTGCCCTGAAACCAGAACTGAAGGTGCATAATGGTTTTCCGGATATCTCCTTGACAATATCCAACTACTTGCTCTAGTAAATGAGGTTGAATGTTGACCTCCTCAGAAAAACAAACCTAAAGTCAAAAAACACCAATTTAAGATGGATACAAGATTAACACCATGAGAAAGCACACAAACAGGAAGCACATACCATATCTGCATGCCGAAGAAGCTCCTTCTCCGATGGCATCATAAAACAAACTTCCATCCTGTCCAAACTGGCAGGAAGAACAGGGTTTTCACCTGGCAATACCACAATCACAAGTTAGTGATGATGAAGAAGAAACTACAAAAACAACAGGAAACAATTTTATCCAGTAGGCCGTCTTACTATTGCTGGTCAGTACCACAGGCCCCTTCGCTTTTTCAGCTATTTGTTGTATTGCAGCAACAAAGCCACGGTCTTCAGTAAAAGTAATATCCACATCTTCAAAAAGAATCAAGGGTTTAAGTTGCCCTCGACCACAGGCAACTGTCCTCTCCTTGGAAGCACACTTACAAGTGGCCTCAGTGGCTCCAAGAGAATCATCCTCATTTGATACTGGTATCACCTCAATCATCTTGCTGTACAAATCTTGCGCCAATTTACCATCAGGAAGGTCCGAGGGAAATTTTGTAATGTTGTTGCTCCGTGGTCCCACATGAATTTCCTGTGACCTGGAAGAAATACTGTATATTGTAGAATAGAGGATTATATTTTCAATGGTTCTAGTTTAGGTTTAACTGTTATATAACATTGGAAAAGAAATTAAAGGAAATCTGTGCGTCGTTGCTGAATATGGACAAACCATTCAAGGGAATGCGACTCTAACGCCTCTCCAAATCTTTGCTTCACCACAGCTCCATTTCGACATTCTGATGCATTGACCTGAGGATGACGAGACAGCAAAACATTTATTTTTCTCTTTACATGCTACTGCAATAATGTTTGCTACCTGCTCCAGGAATGAAAAACTATGCTGTCATGAAAAAAAAAATTGGAAAGATGCAATGTTTAACGTGACAAATAAGAGAGCCCCCCAAAAATGATGGGAAGAAAACTGTGATACAGTTTTGAAAATTTAGGCAGCACCTCCAGAACTTTGAATCCTTCTTCCTTTGCACAAGCATAGATAGCAGCAGACTTCCCACTCTGCAACAAAAGACCATACACTTAACTACTGCGATGGAACTAAAATTTATTGAAAAGAGACTCTCTTCATCAATTACTCTAAAAACAATACATTTAGCATCCTCTAAAGTGGAGTGTGAACAGAATAGGCCACATCCACATTGTAAAACATAAAACTCAAACAAATCCACAATATGAATAGAATTCTCGGAATGATTCCTCAGAACATACTGGCAGGCCTGAAATCTTACCCTGGCATAAAGCAAACTAAAAAAACGAATATAAGGAGCTAATGGTTAACTGTATAGCATGCTGGAAAAAGCACTTGACAGAAGTATCCTAGAAACCTTCCATTTTTTTTGGAGGACAATCAAAATAAAACAGAAATGCATGATGTATTAAGATGGAATTGATTCATACCCCAGTTGGTCCAGAGATCAAAAGAACATTCTTAAGTCTGGCCCCTTCATTATTGTTTTCTGAATCAGAGCCACATTGGGAACGGTTATAATCAGCATCTTGTCTATCACATGCATCACCACTGGAGGTTTCTGAGCAGGCTTGAAGACCTCTTTGTTGCCAAGAACGAAGCCACCCACTCAAAAGTTTCACTGATTCATCATTTCCACATACCTGTACAGATTTTTGGGAGAAGCATTACAGAAAGAAAAAAAAATCATATACCAAACACTAGTAATATGATAGAAGTAGATTAAAAATGTCTGACCTCAGTGGCCTTCTTTGGCTTGTATTTATCCGTCCATAATCTGTCCTCAAACTCATTTGTGCAACTAAGGTAGGATGGGACAGTCCTGCAATATCAGCAATATAATAAAAAGGATGCTATCTCTCTGCACTTAATATCTGAAACTAGTCTGATAAAAGCAGCAGCAAAAACCAGCATCCATGCAACAAAATCAAAACTACTTTATGATAAGACAACCAATACGTTTGGCCTAAGCGATGTTGGAAGCAAATATCCAGTATAACAGAGCTATTAGATTATTATCACTAGATTCACAAAGCAGCTTGACCAACATGTTCTGCAATGTAAACCTTGAATACTGATGATGAAGGGAAATTATATCTTGTATAAAATAAAGTAGAAGTGGAATATTTTCTTCCATATTCATCATTTGACCATGCTAAATAGGTTCGGGTACTTGGCAGTTGGTATTTTGCATATAATGTAGTTTGCATATGGCTATTACAATTCATATAATCAGACTTCTATTTCTAGCTTGCATTTGTAAAATACTTTCCATTCATAAGGACCTTTCCAATGCTCCTTTCAGCCATGAATCAGAAAACAAGAACAGGAATGATTATCTATATAATGCAGATGGAAGAACTGATTCCTTGAAGCAACAACGACATGCATCAGCACGATAAGTTCTAAAGCCTTACCAAAGACGTTACTCTGCAATTCAAGGACTATGTTTACAAAAGTAGTACACACTAAACAAACTGTAGCAACGTTTACAGAAGTCTTCAATTCAAATGCAAACAACATATGGCTAAGTGAGTAAAACAATTAGGGTTGCCAACAATGATCCAAACCTTTCTTGAAGAAGGTCACTCTGCTGCTTGGCAACTGATTTTCTTGTACAACCAGAAAAGAAACCAACTTCAACAACTTCACAGTCCTGCAAGTAACACATTTATAATCTCAAAAATGGGAATGTGAGATACAAGTTGCATAACAACCTAAATTACAGTGAGACCAATTTCTTCCCAAATTAAACTAAAAAATAAAAGTGAAAATGAAAGGGAAAAAAAGAAAGATTCAAGACACTTAGCAGGAGTTGATATACATACAGTTTTTGTATCCTCTACAAGTTGACAGCATCCCACCTGCGCATCTGATGATGTGGAAGAGAATATTGCTGGTGCTTCACACACAAATTCTTGTTGACAAAGGCATTGATCCAAAGATGCATTTTCTTGAAGAAGTCTACTGGGGGGATGTGATGCAGTGGGGAAATCATTTATGCCTAATGTTCCAATGAAGCCTTCAAAGTTTGACGAGAAGGAGCATTCTAGACTACAACTGCTATTGATAAATGATTTCTCACAAACCTTCCAATCACTCCAATCAAGAGACCTAGCATCCTCCTACATAGTAATCTTCAAGTTTCAGTTGATGTGAGTTAAAAGTAAAAACAAATGTTAGCCTTTAACACCATTGATATTGATGTAACACAAGAGTGATTTGAAAACCAATTTCAATGTTCAGTCATTCATGCAAGGTCAGAGCTAGGTCTGTTGCTTGCAATGGGGGAGGGGATTTTGAAAAAGTTAAAAATTTAACTTTTTGATGTTTTATGGAGGTCTGTAGACAGAAAAACTAAGCAAGCCCTGCCAAACTTTGATACACCCACACACACATACTATAGCCCTAAATCCCAATATGTTTTTCATTTTCATCCTTACTTGGCTCCTGCAGTTAAAATTCAACATAGCCATATAGCTCTAGCTTACAAGGATGCATAGTCAATGGATGATGCATACCTGATCCCTTTCAAAGATGTGAATAGGACCAATATTGATCCTTTTATCTTTTCTCTGGACCGAGCAATAATCACTTTCCACTTCAGTTGTCTCGTTACATCTCTTACTCACATTCCATGATGAGAAAAAGGGGTGCATTTGCTTTCCAGCAAACATAAGCGAATTTTCCTGATAAAACCCAATAGAAATTAATAATGTTGTACACCAATTAACTTCAGCAAGTATCAAAAAGTGTGATTGTAACTGAAACCCCAAAAGCACCATGGAGTTTCACCAGTTAATAGCTGTTAAGCCCACGTGGAGAACATGCATAAAATGCAAAAGCTTTTCTATAACTTATGGTGACAAAATAACTAACCTCAGCTGTCATCTTGGCCTCTAACCTCAAATTAGGAATTGGTGGTGATGCATCCTGGTTCACTACCAGATTAACAATACCATTCCCATTACTGGAGCCATTCTTTTTAGGTGTACCGCTCATAGGTGATTTACCCTTTGACTGTTCAATAGAACAAATAAATAAAGCACATAAATTGACTGCAAACTAAGCTAAAAAATAAAAAATCACAATGATTCTCACACTAAACCAGTCAAATCACCAAAAGCTTAACCAATTGATGCTTATGCACAGCTAATTTTACTTTTACCTTTTTAGGAGTTTTACTTTGTGGAGTTGCCCTTCCTTTCCGTGTTGTCTTCTTCCGATTTCCACAGTACTCTTCACCTTCGCCATCCCCACACTCACCATTACATTCTTTATCGCGTTTTTTCTCACAGCTGGATTCCGTCTCCGGTGATTCGTGCGGTAGCAGCATAGACTGTTTGATAAAAGCACTCAGTGTAAAAAACATGCAACAACCTGATGCTGGAAAAAAGATAAGCTAAAATCTCAAATTTGAATAATTCTCGTACTGACCAGTCATACTAACAATAATTTAAGCAATTTGTACCGTACCTAAATTGCAGCCAATTTTAATTTTACCTTTTTAGGAGTTCTGGTTTGTGGAGTTGTCTTTCCCTTTCGCGTTCTCTTCTTCTTATTCTGACTCCCACGATACTCCTCACCTTGAAAATGGTCATCCTCGTCATTGCAGTTTTTATCGAACTTTTTTTCACTGTTCAATTCGATTTCCGGCGATTTATGAGGGAACAACGTGGACTGTACCAGTCTCCGGCGAACAATCTTCCGCTCCGGCTGCAGGATCTCTTCAGCTGCGGCCGCTACTGCCACCGGTCCGTCTCCATCGGCTGATCTGTCCATGTTAAATTAGGTTGATTTAGTGAGTCGATTTTAGGGTTTGGATAATTTAAGGGTTTTTGAGGAATTGGGTATTTTGTTGATAAAGGGGAGGAAAAAAGAATAATGGAGGGAATAGATAGGGTTTTGTTTCCGCCTTGGAGAAAGATTGTTTGTTGCCGTGCTGATGAGGACTCATGTAACGTTGGAAAATTAATTAGGAACGAGCATGTTTTAAAATGTAAACGAATCTAGCCTCTAATCCATAGCTAATCTAATGCCAGGGGATCAGAGTTTTTTTTTTTTTTCCCTCTCCTTTTACTTTTCTGTTTTTTCTCTTTTGAACGTTGCCGCCCTCTTTTTGCTGGGCTTTCTTTGATGCCCGAAACTTTTTTTTCCCGCGCACTCGATGTTGAATTTTCATTTTTAATGGGAAAATCCCAAACGGGAAATTCGAAGAAGAAAGGGAAGAAATAATTATTGGGCAACGAAGGGAAAAGCCTCCTCTTTCGGTTTTAAGATTGTAAATATTTTTTTTTTGTGATAAATTCTCCTTCTAGGTTCTATTGACATACTATGATCATATCATAAAAAATAATTTGCATTCTAAGAATGATTTTTAAATTATTTATGGTTAAAAATATCCAAAAAACCACTTACATTTTAAAGTATTCATCGTATTCTAATTTTGATTTTTTCAAATATTTTAAATTTATATTTATATTTTTTTATTAGATTTTCATCGATTCTAATAATAAAAGTTCAAACAATTTACATGTTATTGACTTTTTAACTTTTTTAATAATTAAAAATGTGTCAAAATTTGTTAATGGTTTATTTTTCTTCACTTGTTTCTTTTTAAAAAAATTATTTTTTTAATTGTTTACTTTTTAATACTTTGGAAAAAAAAACTATCTATAGATTTTGATTTTTTTTTAGTTATTAAGAATTTGCACTTACATGTTTTGATTAATAATAGCATAAAATAACGATTTGATTTCAACTAAAAAACGTTTTAAAAAATCTAATTAAAAATTAAAACTTGAAAGGCTAACTCCCAAATAATTTAAAATTCGGATGAAGTTTGAATTATTTGGCCATTATTTATTAGCAGTATTGTAAGTTAGAAATTACAGATCAACGTGATCATTAAAAAAATTTTTTTTTTTTTTTTACTCTCGACCATTGATATTTAAATTTTAGTTAGATTACGCGATAAGTATTTTATGAATCCTCTATTGTTTTTCAAATAACATGCTATTGGTTGAACTTATTCGAAGGCGATGGTGGATAAAAGGGCAATGTGGATTAAAAATTACCCATGGCAGCATATTTGGTATAGTTTACGGTGAAAGGTTAATTTTTAAAGAGGCTACTGAGTCCTTAAAATTGATGCTTTTGGAGGGTGAAATACTAATATTTACCCTCCAAGCAAATTTTTTTTCTCTCTTATTTTTTTTTCCCTAAAAACACATGCCTAAGTAATTTTTATTTCTATCCCACCACTATCACTTAACACTTTAACTGTACTTCTAAAAATCATTCTTGTCATAATTACTATAACAATTCATTCTCGTTTTTCTAACCTTATTTCAAACGCTATCTAACTACATGTTTGATGTAAATGTAATATGATGCAATCAATCATCTAATATAATTGAATGGAAGAGATGATGCATTGCATTTCTTTATTTGGTCCCAAAAAGTCTAAGTAATGTAATGGAGGTTTTTTTAAAAATTTTCATTTCAGTCCCTAAGTTATTATTTAAAAATCCGTTGTAATCCTTGTATTTTTTATTCACAAACTGGACCTTATTTAAAAAAATATTTGGTCTTTGTATTTTTTTAATTATAGTTTAATCCTTGCGGTGAAAAACTTTTTAAAAATAAACCCTTACACGATCACTCTTGATCGAATAATGGTTCATTACCTAGTTTTTTTTTTATACAATTTTTGTAATTTAACGAGCCATCGCAATTGTAACCGTCCATCACATTACAATTTTAAAAATTATACACAAAATATAGAAACATAATAAAATATTATATTACATGATCCATTACATCCAACAAAATATGCCAAATTGTTGGAAATTATCATGATAATGTCACCCAGTAGTTAAAAAAACACAACGATGCACTGAACGATATGAACTATTGCACACGGAGCACATGCTTTTTAACATGTAGCATGGATTTAGATCGCAGGTGAATTATTCTGCTAATCACAAACATCCATAGGTGAAATTTTGACTTAGATCAAGGCATTATAAGGCTCAATAGAGTTTCTTTTCCTCTAGATGGACCTTCGCTGAGGTAAAATCGCGAAGTTTTGCTCCACGGTGGAAAATCCTTCACAATCGGAGTCGTGAATGTGAATCTCGTAATCTACGCCAAATGTTGTCGTGCATCTACAATTAGAAACCGTCTTGAAAAGAATACGAAAAGAGCGATACAAGCAGCATGGCATTGCTGCTTCTATGATCAATCATACTCCATTCTTCCAAAACCACTGGCCTGGAGACATTCACTTTAGAAGTGTGCTCTAAAAGCCTTCGGTGTTTATCTTCAAATCAATCTACCAGCATTACTCTAGATGGACTCCAGCAATGGCCATTCTGATCAGAAAAACAGGACACTTGCAGCATGTGTAATATCATCCAATATTCTTTTCCATTCATTGCGCGCACTCATAAAATAAGCTATCAACCTCAGATGTTACGTGAGTAGCCATAAAAAGAGAGAAATTGCAAGAGAGCAAATACAGGTCCAGGAAAGTTTTTCATTGCAGAGATACAGTTATATTAAGCATATATGACAATTCCAGCTGTATACATGATTTATATTCGGTCTAGTATCTGTACCTATACTGTGAATGTAATATTGGTAAAGACGAATGCAAGTAAATTCAACAAGTTGATGGTGTCAATCTAATCCAGATAACCAGCCACGATGAAGTCAAAGAGTAAAGGATTAGAGGTAAACCACAAAAGACAAAAGTATGGTTCTTGAACAACCTGCAGAATATAGATTGTAATTTCCTATGAAGTGTAGACGTGTCATGAGAAAAGGGAAGCGATTTGTACTGCAATTCTGCAAACGAGATCTACTATCCAGGGCACAATTCACGGAACACAGGCAACCTCTTCTTTGTAGCTGGACCATAAAGAACACTGTGAATATGGGCATCTACTTCTTCCCTTGATATGAATTTGTCAGTTTGATGAGGCAAGGCAATCTCAATGCCATCATCCTCTGGTAACCAGCAGTCCAAGCTGATGGTGGCAGTGATAACCATTCTAGATTCTTCAGATTTGATGTAACCAGCTGGGCTTTTGTTGCAATGTTCTGGCCTGGTAGGGATATAGGTTCTGCCAAAGTGATCGGGTGTGGAGATTGGAGTGCTACTATCCTTGCTGGATTTTTCAGATGAGATGGTGATGGGGCTGATGCTGGCATATTCTGGCATGGCAGAGAAGGCTGTTTGGTTTGCTGCAACTGCTACTTTTGTCAAGGCAGGAGGAATAATGCGGCACTTTGAGACATATGGACTTGATCTGGGACTGCTAGCATATGACTTGCAAGTATGTACCTAAGCAATATCAAATAAACAAGCACAATGGCCGTATGAGCAGTTGATGTGCCAAAATCAGTTGGAAGGTTCTCTATAACTGAAATGCAAGGCATCCGATTACCACTGCTTTGTTTTTGATGGGCAAATGAGTTGGATGAAGCTCTTCTTTTCCATGTGCAAACTGCATGTAACAAGCATCCTCATCAATTGACAAAAGAACGAGAGTAGTACTTGCATCAATGCAAAAGACAATTGTAACACACTTGGCATAATAGAAAGCAGCAATGGTCTAGATCTTGTGGTAGTGTTAGTATAGGAATCCAGTGTGACAAAGAGAGCGTGGCCAAAAATAGTCATTTAGAGGAGGCCATGATATGCTGTGAACTGCCAACCATGGGCTTGGTTGGTAAAAACCATTTAAAAAAGCTTTCTGATTATAGTCAGGCCATTCCAGTTTGAAGTAACGATTTTTAAGATTGGGTAGTTTGATATCCTTGGTAACTGAAACGGGACCAAGCAGCAGCTAGCAATTCAAGACCTAAACATTAAGTAAACTGATTTTGAAACCCCACACAGTAAATTCGATGCTTAAAGTCAACATGGCAGCGAATGATTTGCAGAAATGGTATCATTTTGCAAGTCAACACCTAAACATAATAAGTCATGCATTTATTTCCTCCAAATAACAGAAAGAAGAGGAATCTCTTCTGTTGACGACATACATATACTGGTAGATTTACATAGAAGATGAATGAACAAACACGAAGGTCATATATTTTCAGACGATTTGGTTAAAATTACTTCAGTAAACAACAGCTGATCTCTTTATCTTTAGAGCAATTTAATTTAATAGGCTATCCAACCCCATCATTCTACCAGACAATTAACAAGCTATTACAAAAGATAACAAAATACTGACTGAAACTGCTGTATAAAATTCCTACTCCATCTGGACATGGATGTCAAAAGAATAGAGTTTGAAATACGAAAAAATACAAGAGATGAACTTAATTAAAGAATGTTTGAGAAACTATCAAGAGGAGCAAAACTTACCATCCTGGGTTAAACCACATATTTATAGGCATAAAGGTTACTATAGCTGATTCATTTAAAACCAAATTGGATATTTCAAACTGTCAATTTCAGCTACATTTTCTCTACAAATCCAGCGAAACAGAGTTGCCTAATTGTATAGCCAAGGCAACCATAAATGAAGAGCAACTATGTTAAACAAACCACGAGTGTCTGCATGCATCTCACTCAGTTGAAAATCATCAAGGATCATCAGGGCCTTGCAACAATGAAAGCTCAATAAAAATCCACCTTTTCTACTCTGTAAATAAGAAAATCTTTTTACCCAGGGAGTGGATCATGAAACCACAACTTAGCAGGGAAGTAAACAGAGAAAACAATAGTCAGAATGAAATTGTTTCCAAGCTCAAATTGGTATTTAAACAAACCACTTGTAATCTACAATGCAGCACTGCTTGAAGCATTTCGATTAAGTGCATAAGCATCAAGAAGCAACCTTCCACTAAAAAAAGTTACAGGAATAATCATCTCCTAGAAGCATAGAATTAGCAGCTTTTCTACAAAACTCTATCTGGCTCCAACCAAAAATATTTTAAGCCTCTAGTTTCTGTTGTTCTCATACCATTTTTTCATGAGCAATTTCAGCTCATGTTGGCCAGAAAAACAAATCCCCTTCCATACCAAAAGAACAGGTGTATTTTCAGGTACAGATTTCCATAAGCCAGTTTTAGAATACTATAAGCGAGAAAAGTTTTGCATTCTTAAATCAACCTTCAATTTTACAAAAAAATAAAATATTACTTTTCGAAACAGTAACCAAACACCACCTTACGTTTCCTGAAAGAGCTTGAACTAGCTGTTTACCAACTAAGAATTTCAGAATATATGAGAGTATGAGTCACAAACAAAATGAAACGAGGAAACCATCACCTAAACAAGAAATTTTTTCGAGGTTCAATAACAATATATTACGAAGATTAGCTCTAAATTACGAGACAAATTTTAGTTTCCAAATATGTTTCTTTTTGAAGAACTAAGTAGGTCCAACCCCGGGGAGCAGCAGCAATAGATAAATCTCAAATGTTGAAAAGCAAATGCTATTAATCCTTTGTAAATTAAAAAATTCGAGTTATTTGTATCAAGAATTTGGAAATCCAGACTGATTAAAAGAATTTAAATCTATTGTGCGCTGCCGGAGCCAATAACAAGGAAAATATGTATCACAAAAAATAGAATGGAAACATAAACGTTACTGATTTATTCCGAACTTCCATTACCGAAAATCAAACGGTCCTTTAGAAACCGATATAGGAGAGTACGTGAGAGAAAAACCTGACAATTGGAGGCATAGCGGCAGTGTCCAAGATCCTCCCAAGCTCTGCAAAGCTCCTTCTTATACGCGCTCTTTCCCGAAGAAGAAGAGGAAGAGTTGGATGATGATCGACTTCCGACTAATGGCGACACCAGAACTCCATCCATCACCAGAACTTCATCTTCCGCCATCATCGGCGTCTTCACATTCTGAAGCGGCGACAACGGCGACCTGGAACTCCCGCTGCTGCTGCGCTGGTAATTGCAAGAGAATCTGTCGCTTCCTGGCGATTTCATTGGAGATCCGGCGCCACCGCGCAAGTACGTCACGAGTATGGAGTCTTTGTTTACCGACTTGTTTAGCGATTCCATCTGCAATCGGAGACTGTTACATTAGTTTTTTCACTCTCTTTCCTGTTTTTTGATTTAGGATTTAAAAAATTCCCGCCGAAAGTTCGAAGATTCTGATTTGAAAATAATCGAAATCTCTTCAAACTAATGGAAACACAAGCAACATTTTGCATAACAAAATTAATTTCATCTTTTTGGAAGAAATTGAATAGAGATTCACACGATCCAGGAAAAACAAAATCAAGTGAAAGAAAGGAGTCTATGATCAATGCTTCGTACTAGAATGCAACTGAAAATTTCAGAAAGCTCACAGCGAGGACGGTGATTTCAATTTCTTTGGTGAAGCGTTTCTACTTCTCTTAAAATGACGCTGCGCGCGACTCTTGCTTTGGAGATTTTGAGTACTTCTGTATATATACCGATATACGCGCGTGTGCGTGTGTAGACAGTAGGAGGAAATGATTCAGAATTTGTTGCAAATTCCAGTGCATCAAATCAAAGGGGCCTACTGCCCCACTCAATCACGATCCAAGAGAGGCGCTCCTATTGCTTCTTCGTTGTGGAAAAAATCTCCAACTCCAAGGCCAGCAAAAGCCCTTCAAGTTTGCAAAATGTAAAAGGAAATCCAAGATCTACTCATCTCTGCTTCTTCGTTTATTTGTTTGTTTTTTAATCATTCTACTCAGCTCCTTGGTTGAGCGAAAGATTTAATGAATCTATTTAAGGTTAAGATAGTTTTACAATGATAGGAAAGTTCCAAACCACGGGCAAGTAGTAAGGAAATGTATCAGGAATTGTTATGGACGGCAATTTCGCTTCATCAATTGATATCCAATGTTATTTGATCAAGTTGGATGGGATTTTTATAGAGTTAAATTAGAGTTGGATAAAATTTGATTTGGTTTAACTAGAGTCAAATGCAGGGTAGGGTGAAGGGTTCAACCGATCCGCCTCCGACCTAATTTTTAATATTTTTAATATTTTTATTTTTATTTTGTCGAATTATAATTTTATTTTTTCAATGCAATGTATGAATTTTTATTTTATGATTCATGAAACATTTTTATAATTTCATGAATAGATTTGAAATTTAGATTTTATTTTATGATTTGTGGATGAAGATATAATGTTTTCTTTTAAGCTTATATTTTATTTTTATAAAAATTAATAAAAAATAAAAATAATAATTTGGGTCGGTTTGTGTACCCAATGGATACTTGTCGAGTGAAAAAAGCGATCTATCTAACTTGATTCCATTGTATCAGAGTCGAAAACCAGTGGTGGATAGAGATATTTTAAATCGGATATGGATAGAGCAATATCTTATTCCAATCTTATCCATTACCATCATATTTATTAACTCTTCGTTTTGGTTGTGCGGCTAAAACCATATTTCAACTAGTTTTTACAAGTCAAATTCATTTATTCGATCTGGTTATAGATATAAAATTTATAAAACAGTTTTGTACTTAATTAAAAATACATTTGTAAAAATCAATTGCATATCGATAAATGAGCATCAATTTCTTAAAAATTTTGGTACTTGATAGAAAATATTAAGAGTTAAAATACTGCACTCGAGTTTAACAAAAATAAAAAATAAACTACAGTCGATGTATATGTATTGAAGAAAAGGTGAGCAGAGAAGGCAATCGCCATGCTCTGAATTCTCAGAAACATGGGTCTGGGCTATGGGATCGTCCCAGCGGACTAGGTTGATAAGTCTAGGTTGGGACTCCTCTAGGTTGGGACTCCGATGTAAAGCTCTATTTTTCGTCTGCTTTGGGCATATGGCCTCGTGCAACACCCCCACCCACCCCACCAACCCCCACGCCGCCCCGCCCCCCCCCGGGGGCAAAAAAGAAAAGAAAAGAATATTTAAAAATAAAATGCTCACAAATTTTTGTCTTTTAGTAACAAGCTCACGAAATACAACTGAAAAAAAATATATATCATTAGGGTTTGATCTAAAGAGTTTGTACGGAACCTCAGAAATATGCTTGGTAGATCTGAAATATATTGAGAAATTGAATCTAGTCTATCCAATGTTCTCATGTTTAAAATTTTGGCTTGCAAATTGATGAATATTTATTGAAATTAAAAATCCTAATAGTGTATCAAATACTGAGACCTGAGATTTGTGTCAAATGCTTATTAACCTGTGTCATTGGACAATGATTAACCAAACCTTTTTGCATATACCATAAATTTCTAATAAAATTTAACTTTTTTGTTTTCAATAAAGTATTTCGGCTCTTGACCTATAATCAATCATAGATTCCAACTTTTAATTTTAACGGGACATTTCATTTTACTGGCCTGTGAAATAAACTATTTGATTTTATATATTATTTTTATTTTACCATTTGATGGTATTTGTAGGCCAATTTTTTTTTTTTTTAATTAAGAATCTCCTTCTTGTTTAGTCAAAATAAAACACTTATCTAGCGATAAAAAAATTTGTGATGATTTTACTTTTAAATATTCTTTCAAACAAATTATAATTTAGTCCCTTCAGTCTTGAAAAATAAATTAGATAGTTCTTTTAATTTTAAAAACTAACTTAGTCTATTGATTTGTTTTGGGTGTAATTAATTTAATATTAATTTGTTTCATACACATATTCTTTTCATCGAACTATTTATTTATTTTTACCTTTTTTATTTATGAAAACAAAATAAATTAAAAATATATATATAATGGACAAGAAGAACTAATTGATTGGTTTGTGAAACTAGAGGAATTTTTTAATTTTTTAATAAAACTAGGGGGGACTAATTTATAATTTACTCCTGATATTAAAGGAAAAACAACTGTAATTAATCATGTCTGGTAAATGCAAATATTTGATAGATAAAATTCCTTATCCCAAACCCGTTCCGTTACTAGCATCGAATGTTCAATAAACCCAATAAATGACTATTATTCGAGGCCCAACTAGTTAACAAGATCCATCGCTCGAGGCCGAGAGAATTGTTTTGACCGTTAGCGTTAATGCGCGGGATTGTTCCACAGGCCTTGACCCTGCTTTCTTCTTACCAAACCAAGCAGAATTTTTCATTACACGCGCAAATTATTCGCGTGCAAACCTCAAAGATAATACCATGTCCAGACCAGCAAGAAAAGATCAGAAATTCCTTACCTACATGCCTGAAAAGAAACCGAACTATAGTTTTTGATGTGGGGTTCACTTGGATTCCCCCAAATCTCAAAAGCAGACTATGGAATTACCAAATCACCCCATTCAATTACAGTCCAAAAGAAGCTAAAATAAAGGCAAAGAAGCTAAAACTCCTTTATTTTTTATCCATTTATTGGGATTAATTATTCAATTGTTAACTTCCAATAAAGTTTTCTATTGGAATGATCATATGGATTAAAATCACGTAGTAATTTAATAAAGAATCCAATTAAAGTTATTATGAAAAAAGGGAAATATACAAAAACGAATAAAACAAGATATTGATTGAATAACTTTTAACAAAAAAAATTGAAAATCAATATATATACATGGATGAAAAGATGTTTTACAGGACAAAAGAACAAGATAATTAAACATATAGCATGCTTGAGTATGCTAGACTAACATTCTAACAATGAAAAAATATAATTATTTACAATTAATGGAGTTTAAATTGTGTATTTTAACCCAATATACAAATTTAGTTTTTATAAAATAAATTTAATAAAATAATTTTTTTAATTATAAATAGCACTTTACAATTCCATAACAGTAATTAAGTCGTCAAAAAACTTAAAAACTATTGTTAATAATAATAGACGTGGAAAAAAAATTATATTACAATGGATTGAATTAAAACATCATTGAAAAAAAAATTGATCCCATCTTATAATAAAACTATTTTAAATTTAAATATATCAAAAAAATTTGAATTCATAAATACAAGAAGTGTATTAGTCACTACTATCCTATTGGTATATTTAATATAATAGTTTGATCATTAGAAGAGGGAAAAAACAAGGAAAAAGAAAAGCCTCGAGGGGAGAATTGTGAGTCACTAGAAGGGCGAATTAGTCCAATGAAAGCTTGGTGTGAAACTCTAGGGTCGAGAATCTAACATCTGTCTGCTCCTCTATGCAAAACATTTGTCTTCCTCCCTTTGCTCGCTCTCTACTATTTCGAAAGAACACTCTTTTTTTACTCTCTCTCTCTCTCTCTCTCTGTTCTGTTCTTGCTGGAGGGCAATAGAGAAAAGTAGAGTAGAAACGCAAACCCTAAAACCCTGCAACCAACCACTAATTTCTCCCTGTACGGGGCAAAAATCCAGTTTTTTGCATCAAATCCTGACTTCAACTCTCCACGTACATACATTCTTTTTGGGCTTAGACTTTAGAGAGTAGCTGCATCAGCAGAGCAAACCAAACCCTAAAACCTCAACACCAAATCACATTCTCTTCCGATACCAATCCAAAGCGCCTTTTTTTTTTTCTCCCCTTTTTGTGATTTGACACACTCTTCCCATTAACCCAAAACCCTGAAAAACTTCCCACCCGAACCCCCTTTTTTTTCATGAACCATGTCATTTTTCTCTCCTTGAAAAGGCTTTGCTATTGCCCATTTCATACTTCCACTCTGTAACCTCTTCTTTCAGTGAAAATTTGGAAAAACAGAGCAAACACCTAGAACCCCAAGATGCCAAACCCAAAACCCATAGCCTTTATCTTGATTTTCATCAATGTAGTAGCTTTAGTGACCTCCAAATCCACCATTGAACCCTGCTCTAACTCTGACTCCTGCAATGCTCTTCTTGCCTACACACTGTACACAGACCTCAAAGTCTCAGAAGTGGCCTCCCTCTTCCAAATTGACCCAATAGCTCTCCTCACAGCCAACGCCATCGACATCTCCTACCCAGATGTCGAAAACCACATCCTCCCTTCACAACTCTTCCTCAAAATCCCCATTACTTGCTCTTGTGTTGATGGAATCCGCAAATCCGTCTTGACCCACTACAAAACAAGGCCTTCAGATACATTAACTTCCATTGCAGACTCAATTTATTCAGGTTTGGTTTCTGCGGACCAGATACAGGAGGCGAATTCAATTGATGATCCTTCAGTGCTTGACGTGGGGCAGAGCCTTGTTGTTCCTTTGCCTTGTACTTGTTTTAATGGGACGGATAATTCGTTGCCTGCTATTTATTTGTCTTATGTTGTCAAGGAGGTGGATACTCTGGCTGCCATTGCTGCGCGGTACGCAACTACACTTACTGATTTGATGAATGTTAATGCCATGGGGAGTACATCAATTAAGGCTGGCGATATACTTGCCGTGCCATTGCCAGGTAATATATTGGAGCTTAGCTTATAAAGTTGTGTGTTCTTGTCACTTCCCTTTGTGGGTTTTATTGGGAAGTGGTTTTTGTTTTTATTGTTAACGTAGCTACTCTCTACCGATCTTTTATACATTAGTTGCCAACATTTAGTTCTTAGGAGGCTGGTGTTAGTGCACTTGCTTGTTATTTGATGATTGTTGTTTCTTGAACTTGTGCTGCTATAATTGGTACATTGTGTGTCATTAACCGTCAATCTCAGTTGAATATCATTCAATTCTTCTGAAATGTAGTTATATCACTGTATATTGAATTCATCTGGTTACTGTGGTAAAGAAAATAGGCGATGCCGTAATGACATTGCCCTTCTTTTTTTTTTTTTTTCCAATTTGTGTCCAAATTTGCAGCTGCATTTGTTTTCAATAACATTGGCTTTTATAAGTGATCATATTGTTCATATCAATGACATGGATAAGGAGTGTTACTTTATTTCTTACATTGCAGCCTGTGCTTCCAAGTTTCCAAGATATGCTTCTGATTTTGGTTTGATTGTGCCAAATGGGAGCTATGCTGTCTCTGCAAGTCACTGTGTCCAATGCAGTTGTGGACCTGGAAACCTCAAGTAATTGATCACCTGTGCTCTGACTGCCTTCTGTTTCATTGACTTTACTGTTGATATTCTTGAACTACAACTGGCCTTTTCACCTTATACAGCATGGTGCTAACTTGCTTTTGTGTAGTTTGTACTGCACGCCTGCTTCCTTGGCAGTTTCTTGTTCGAGCATGCAATGTAGGAATAGCAATCTCATGCTTGGGAATGTTACAGTACAGCAGAGCAGTGCTGGATGCAATGTAACTTCTTGTAGCTATGGTGGATATGTCAATGGCACTATTATAACCTCGTATGCTACTCTTCTTGTGCTAATTCTTTAGTAGTTTCTTAAGCATGTTCCTTGTGTCGAGTCGTCGCCTCCTGATGGCTGAACCCTTTTGATGCTATTTTTATCTCCATGCAGGCTGTCAGTGTCTCTTCAACCTCGATGTCCAGGTAAAAGTTTGATAAATGATATTTTATTTATGGGGCAATTGAAATTGATTGCTCTTAAGGGCTTCGGTGGAATATGGGAAGTTCAATATTTTTGGGAAAAAGAAGTTTGTCTCATAATTGATTGGTTCAGTGTTAAATAATTGGCTCCTCCATTTTTCCTTTCATCAAAGTCAGATTGCTTAGTCTTTGATGATTGATTATGAGCATCCAATCTTGATGAGTCAAATAGTAGATCTTCAATTCTTCATGCTGGTATCATTAGTATTTATCATGAAAAAACATCTCCGCAAATCTAGATGAATTCTCTTGGCACACCATCAAATGTCACTATTGGCCTTCTGTGCTAATCCATTAACTTGACGAACGCAACTTGTGAAACTTGAAATGCAGAAAAGTTGAAATTCAACAAATTGGTTATTGTCTTGTGTTGTGTTGCCAATTGAATCAATCCACAAAGCTTTATTCTGCTATTCACTTTGCACAATGGTCAACCTGGTCTGGCTTATGCTAAAAAATGTTGTAGGGCCACGACAATTTCCTCCCCTGGTAGCTCCACCTACAAAAGTGATCAGGGATGCAAGTTTTGCTCCAGCACCTGCACCACAGTCGGATGGTTCTGGTACATCAACACCCAAGACAGGAGTTGTGCCAACTACTGGATCACTTCCTGGATTACCTCCAGCAAGTGGCCCAATTGGAAGTACTTCTGTTTCTTTCTCAGTCAATCCATCAGCCACTCTTATAATTGCAGCTGTGCTATTCTTTTTGGCCATGGTCTCCCCTTCATTGTAGTTTTGCCATAAAACTACCTGTCGGGATGGCATAGTTTTGGTTGGTGTGGTTTGCTTCTTTTTTCTAGGTCGCACTTCTCTGTTGTATGTAACCTGTGTTAATTTATACTTCTACCACTTGAACTGATTTATGGATGCGGGAAACTGCAGGCTGTCTATGTGCCTGGCTAGTATTTTTTCTTCTGCTCACGTATTGTATTATGTACTACAAGTCAAGGCAGTTGCCCCTTTGTGATTCATTCTTTGCTTAAATTATTCAGAGCTCTACGATAGTTGGCCCGTGCTGCACTCTACATCTAATTCACAATTCTGTTCTATCTTGTTTATGAAAACCCCTAAAATTTATTCAGAGCTCTATGTCTTATTTGCAGTAAAAAATTAGTGGGGTGGAGTGGCATGATTAGCAAATTTAGTATTTGTAGCCTCCAACAAAATGACCCATATTTTATATTATTTTGTGGTTATATTTTTATGTTTATCCATGTGCTATATTTATTTGTATTGGTGTAAGTATATAAAATTGGAAATTTTTTTTCTTTATCTTAAAAAAAAGTAGAAATATTAAAGTAATATGATGCGTCTATAAAGTAGGATCCAAGGTATAAAGAGTAGCAGTGGGGAAGTTAAACAAGGTTCAGCTGAAAACTCAATCGGAACTTGAAAATCTGGCTGGCAGGTAAACCATCGGCCTCAAGTGGCTTTTGAATTGCCATGATCTTGTGGAAGAAAGCGATTAAGGATTTTTCTCATTTTCTAATGTTTCTTTCCTATTTGGAAAAAAAGTCAAAGGAAAATAATTTTCAGTCAATATAAAAAGATAGAATATTTTTGAAAAAATATATTTTGAGTTAAAAAAGAAAAAAGTATTTTTCTTTTTTCGTTTTTTTTTTCACGAGTTGTCTCGTTTTTTCTTTATTTAGCTTTTTGTTGATATATTTTAACAGTTTTTTTTCTCTATTTTCTTTTTATTTAAAATATATTAAATTAATTTTTAATTATTTCTTATCAATTATTATTAATTATTTAATTTTTTTTCTATTCCTACCACATTTGATTTTTTTATTTATAAATACGTTAAATATTCTTAAAAACTATTTTTACATTTTAAAATTATTTTCATAACAAATATTTCAATAATTTATCTTTATTTTTTTATTATTATCTCAAACATCACTTAAACTATACTTAAATGATTGAAAATAATTATTACAAGACTCGTAATCATTTATAAAAAATTTAAAATTAATTAATTCATTAATAAATATATTATTTTTTAAACACTATTCATTTGCAACTAAATCAATAATTTATAATTTTAATCAATAATAAATTTTTATTGATAATTGTAGTGAATAATTAGTTACAAATTATTCCAACATTAATCTTGTGAAATCAAATGAATAATATCTACAAACGATAACTAATGATTTGTAAAAGTATTTTTTTTTACTAAATTATCAGTTCAATTTCAAAAAGAATTCTTAATTGAGTTACCAAAATAACAATACTATTATTACTTAGAATTTTTTTCTTTCTAAATGTGAATATTGACTTTATTTTGTCCTAAGTAATTTTGATAAATTGGCTTGATGGTTAAAAAAATACATTTTATTTTTTGATTTTTTGAATTTAAATCTTAAAGTCGGTATTTATAAAAAAAATTATTAATTTTTTCTAAATGCATCTTATATTGTGAAATTTTAAATATACCTTATTGAAGTTTTCTTAAAATTCATTGATGTAATAATGACATACCGTTTCTATATTTCATTTTTCAATATAAAAAAAAATATATATTTTTTAGCAGTTTTTTTTAAGTAATTATCAAACGTTAAAAAAATATTTTTTTGAAAAATAATTTTCTAAAAAATAACTTCTTTAGGAATTGATTTTCCTATAGAATTTGACAAAAGTAACCTAAAAAGCATTTCATTTGCATCCTTTTATCTCCTACCCAAATATCCACACATGTTATATGGTATGTTTAGTGAGTAGCAAATCAAGCACTTAACCATGTTAATTTATTTAATACGTGGGATAAAATTCTATCTCAGAGAGAATTTTTTTCACCGTCTTCCATAAAGTAATCGATCTTAATAGAAGAGCAATATTTTCTTTCCAAATTGATGCGATTCGAAGAATTTTTCTTAGTATTAATTAAAGTAAATCAATCATTCAGCAATATCTTGGTATCTGCAATAAGGTCATTCCCTTGGGAAAATTTCTTTTGTCATGCCTTTAATGATTGATTTTGATGCGATAATAATAATAATATTGTCATACAGAGAATGAAATCCTTTGTCGATGAATCTTTTTAGGAGGCTTTTTATGCTAACTGTAATTGTTATATTGACCTACGTACTGATGAAACTCAACCCTGTGAGTCTATCATATAATTGGGCTCCTGGCATAGACCGATATAACATTGAAGCAAAACCTTCAACAAAAGATCGATTGTCCTAACAAATCCGTTCCCCATCATGAGCCGTACCTCAACCCGTTTTCTTCTCTCAGTACTAGCCATTGCTTCATGCATGTTGTCGAGAATGGCACATGCTGACGACTATGATGATCCCGATCCTTATGATGTTTACATTACCAACAATCTTAAGGGCCACTTGTTCCTTAATTGTAGGTCGAAAGATGAGGTGGTCAGCAAGTATAATCTGAACGTCAATGAACGTTTTAGTTGGCGTTTTCGTCTCAACTATTCGAGCCCAACTGTTTATTTTTGCTATTTCTTGTATAAAACAAAAGCAAAAACATTTGATGTTTTTGATGATAAAAAAGAAGGTGGATGGAGCGCAAAGACTCGTAAGGTCTACTGGTCATTGAGAGAAGATGGTTTCTACTTCAGCAACAATGATGTAGACTACGAGAAAAAGCAACCATGGTGATTACTGATTAGTCATCCCCGTCATGGAATCATGGTGATTGATTGAGAATAAAACCACGTGCATAACTCGAGCAATCGTGTTATGGATGTAATTTCTACATTTATAAATGCATTTCTTGATGGATTTTTTCTACACAAAATCCAAAAGAAAACAAATTAATTAGTTTAGTTGTTTTCAAAAATCAATTATTTAATCCGTTTTGCTATTTTTTTTATTTTTTATTTTAAGAAATAAAAAAGAAGTAAAAAATATAAAAAAATTTGATGAGAAACAAATCATATTTTATAAAATAAAAAATATTAAATTAATTGTGGTCAACACACTTAAAAAATTAATTTTAAAACTAGAAAGATTAATTAAATCTTTTTTTTCAAACTAGAGGGACTAATTTATAATTTACTCTCTCCTTACGATAAAAGAGGATTGAAAAGGGAAAAAAAAAAACGAGTTTTAATTTACACATTCTGAGGATGTTTTTCTTCTTATTTCAGCCCAATGGGCTTTGATTGTAGGCTATATCCACTGAACGACAGACACACCTATAACTTTCCTTCTTTTAATGTCTATACACTCCCTCTCTTTTTCGTATCTGGACTCTCGCATGATCCCATCTCTTTTATTTCATCTCACGAGAAGATGAATTCCTTAACGGGGACAGGGGTCCAACCTTCTAGAAGCCCACTGTGGCTTAGCCATTTCACCAGCGGAAACGGGATAAAGAAAAAGGGTCTAAACCCAAACAAAACATATACAACTCGTACCTCAAACTCGGCCCAAAGCTAATTGCTCCGCTGAATATAACATTTTGACGTGTGATCATGAGCATAATTTGAGTGATAAAATATTTACAGACAAGTGAACTTTGGGGGTTTGTTAAAGATGGACTTTGCAGGGGTAAGTGGGTAACTACAACATGAGCCTAATTTTTAAGTTAAAAAAAAAAAAAAAAGGGAAAAAAGAAGAAGCCTAGTGCTTATGTTGATAAACTCAAACCCAGGTTTCCTTCTACAGTACGATGATACACCAGCTGCCCAGCATATTTGGCAATCCAATAGCGCTGATCACCGAGATTGGTGATTATTTCGAAGAGTTAGAATATTTGATTTTATATATTTATTACTCCGACTGTTGAAAATTGATATCACTATGACTCCTCCAACGAAGATAGTAGTACTAATCATCTTAGTGAAGCTAATCATCCTCCTTGACCTCATCGTTCCCAACTTGTTTGATATCAATAAGTTGTTAGAATTCAAACCCTTTTTTAGAATTATCTCAGACTATTAAGAATTTTTAACTATTAAAAAATTTAACTCATTAAGTAATTGATCAATTTATAAGAGACGGATTAAAAATTCTTAATCATCAAGCAATTGATAAAGTAAAATTCAAAAGAGATAGTCAAACTTTATGGCTTTCAATTAATTCTAGATTTTTCAAATAAGAAGGGTAAGTTTGCTTATAAATATGACATTTATGATTGTAATGCATAAATGAAAAATTAGAGAGAATTAAAGAGAAAAAGAGATAGAACAAGAGAGCACTAGCTATATATTAGTAGTAGATTCAATCTATTGAGAGAATATTTTGTGTCAAGTTTTTCTTGTAATCAATATGTATCAATATATCATTATTCAAGTTTTATTTTATGAGCCTGTTACACTTTCAACATAGGTGAGTAGAATAGCAATTCTAAAAAAGAGGAAAAGATAAAGACATGTAAAAATTGAGACAACGGATGACCTAGCGTAAATTTTTTTAATAGATTATTGTAATTTGAGGGTGTAGCTTGCGTGCATAAGGTCCGCAAAAACTCACATAGTAAGCTTCAAATTGATTTCACATAGGTTAATTAAGTTGGTAATTATTGTTGGACTCTCAAAGTACCAATCCTAATAAGATTTGGGATAAGGAAATAAAAATTCAATTGTGTGAAAATTGCCTGAAAACAACTGCTATTGCGAAGGCTGTGGTAGGTGCTATATATATATATATATATATTTCCTATAGCAAGCAGAAGCAAATGTTGCACAAGTGCATGCACTTCATTCCTAGATAGCACAAATTTTGTTCTAACACTGGCCTCGTATCCAACATATATTGTTAATGCAGTGGGAAGCTTTATACATGTCTGTAAACGTTTTTTTTAAAAAAGAAAAAAAAAACCCTACAAATTGTTTTAGATATTACTCAAGAAATTCCAGTAGAAACTGGGAGTGTCCACTCCAGTATTTTCTCTCTATAGGAGGAATAAGAAGAAACATTTTCCCCTTTTTTTAGCACAAGAAGATGATACATTTAGTATCATCCAGTAAAAACAACATGTAACGAGAAATAAAGATGATGCAACGAGAAACAAACTTTTACAGAACAAGAGGGAAATGAGAAATAAAGATGATACATTTAGTACGGATCCACGTCTTGCGTTAATGCAACCGTGGTCATAATCGCCTTCGTTTTCTGCGCCATCTGCAAGCCAGTCATAAAAAAAGCATGCTCTAGTCCTCTTGACCCAAAGCCATGACGTGTCAAAACAAATTTTCCTCTTTCTTATCTTTGTCAAGGTAGTGATGAGTGATGATGACAGACTGTTGGTTCCTATGTAAAGTCACGTGTGTGTCTCCCATGCATATATAAAGGATTCAGTTACACATTAAAATTAAATCGCTTGGTAAATGTATAAATCTTTGCCTTAACTAATCATTAAATTTAATAATCTAGTCTGTCTATCATGCAATAAGTACATATGCTTTCAATGGTCACTTAATTTTTTATTTTTCTTTTATAAATTAAATAATATTATTTATAACGAAAATACTTGATGACACCATAGTGACGAACGTCATTTAAAAAAATATAAAGTTTTTAAAGATAAACTTAAAGAGTAAAAAAATTAAATGACATAATATCACTAAATAAAACATCTAACTTTTTTTACCTCTCGTGTATCCCTCCAAAAAGACATAACCCTTTTAAAATTATGGTGGTTTTTTTTTTTTTTATATCATTGACGTCATATAGCACTACTTTATTTATAATTAACATAATTACAAGTCAATTTGTTAGATGCAGAAATATAAATGGCTACTTACAATGTAATAAATAAGTCTACTTTAATCGTTGGTTCGTGACTAGTTATATATTATGAAATGAAATAACATTTATTTCCTTTTTTTTTTAAGTGACAATGTACCTTTTAAGTCATAATTACACTATAATTTTAGCAACTAACACAACACAAAAATAATAGATAAATTATTGACTGATTATGAGAAAAAAATAAGTTATTAAGTGATAAAATAAACTGTCACGATATAATAAATAACAATATTGATTAATAATATGTAATACGAACACACTATAATTGCAATGTGAACTGTCGGAATTGTCCATATTCAAGTCACCTCAAACATCTACCCCACCCCTTGATTGCTCACTCACCTTATTTCATACTTATTAATTCTAATTCTCATCTATGTTTTATGTCCGTTCATTGCGTTGATCTAAACTTCATAGTTTGTACCAAGAATTGTTGTAAAATTTAAAATGACTCTGTTAACATAATGTAACTCTCCGTCTTGATTTGTTTCACTATTGATTCTTGTAGATTTATGATTACTAAATAAAGAATTATCCTAATAGTCAAGAAGGTTTGTTCTATTATTTGGTTTTGTAGGTTCAAATTTTGAGATCAGTATAAAGAAAAATTATTAAATTTTTCTAATACACCAGTAGCTACAAAATGTATAAAGAATCAACAAATATTTGGGGGAAAAAAGAAGAAGAAGGACATGGACTATTCTGACTTGTGTTGTGAAAAGAAGGGGTATGATGGTTATTTACCATCCTGGAGCTTTCTCAGTTTGAGAGTTTTGGAGCGGGGGCCACGTGGGCCCCAGCATGGTTGAAGTTTTACCCAACGGACAGGGTGGTCGGCTTTTGATAATAAAAGCTCCACGGCCTAACGCAGCCCCAACGCCAAAATCATTTCCCGAAAAAAAAAAAAAAAAACCTCAATGCTTAGGTAAAAGAGTAAATTGATCTGAAAAAAATATAAGATAATAATAAAAAATACATGCCCACTTTTAACTTCAAGCTTAATAATGAATTAGTGATACATCCAACAAGAAAGGAGTGGGACTACTGTTGATGAAAGATCGTAAAAAGATATGTTCAGACAAAAATGAAATAGACCAGTCAGTTGCCCGCAGTTTGACATATCAAAATTATTTTATAATTTATAATTAAAATTTTGTAATTAATTAATAGTTTCTTATATTTTTCAAAAAAAATTTATTTACAAAATATAATTATTTTTTATGCATTGATTTTTAGATAAAAAATTGCAATAATTTGAATTGAAATATTAATATAGAATTAAAAAAACTTTAAAAATATATATTTTTATATGATTTTATCCAAAAAAATAAAAAATAAAACCACAATTAATATATAAATTTATAAATAGAAAAATAAATTTTTATTCTCATCTTATGAGAAGAATGTTTTTTGAAATATATGTATATATATATATATATATAAACATAAAATCCTATATTTGAATCATTTGACTCGTTATTTTGAAAAATTATTCCAATCATTTTAGTTTTAAAATTTTTGTTTTATGATATTGAAAAAATAACATTAAATAATTAATATTATATATGTAGATGTATTAATAAATTTCAATAAAATCGATGATTTAATATTTTTTGTACATAATAATTGTACTAAGTGAGTTAAGAGTGTATTGTATAAAGTGACAAAAAAAAATCTCAAACAAATTATCTGAACTATGTCATATATATTTTAACTTCGTCAGGCTGCATGAAAAAAAATTATTTTGATTTTCATAATTTTTCCTAAAAATCCATAAAAAATCAATTATTAAAAAAAAAAAAGAAAAAAGGCCAGAGAGCAAGCCTGCGTGCTCTTAGGTCTGCTTCTAGCCCGTGCAAGCCTGTCTAAAAGAAAGTAGGTTTGCAATTTCTAGCAAATTATGGTTCACTATAAACGTCATTAGAAAGTTAAGTTTAGAGTTTTTCACCTCTCTAAACCCAAATTCAACTCCATTTTCATTTTAAAATATCTTAAAATTACAGAAATAACATTAATAAACTCGTTTTTAATTTCGAAACTCATTTTAATACATATAAAAATTTAAATCAAAATAAAAATAAAAACTCAAAATATTTTGAGTTTGGTTCTATCTCCTCTTATCATTTCATAATTTATGACTACGATAAACAGATTCTATTTTGTAAGATGAACAAGATGGTGAGAAGTTTGATGACTGGAATGGTTATAATGAACCTTGTTGTCCATTTTTCTCTCCTCTCATTCTCTCTTTTTTCGTTTTTCTCTTCTATAAGCTATTAGAGACCAAAATGCAATACAAATGAAATTCGAGATCAAAACAAAGTTTTTGAAAAAATGAAGAATTAAAATGCAGATTTTTTTGACAAACTTAATTGCAAATAGAAAAATGCATGGTATATACGAACGTGTGTTAATGGTACATATGTGCAAAGACATAAAATAAATAGTATTTGCATAATATTTTTATTTTTTGTTTTAGTTTTATTTGTAATGGTAACGTTGAACCAAATCAAATCCGTAAAGGAACGAACCAATGGATTAAGCCGTTTGATAATTTGAAGATCAGGAACAAAATAGTGAAACGTCGAAACTCAAGGAGTGAGCGTGCCTTTTACTGGAATAATAGGATTATAAGTGTATACATTTTTATTCTTTTTTTCAGTAGAGTACGGAGTTTTTAAATTTTTTTTTAGTATGATAACTTTCAAAAATTATCAATCTAATACATCATTAATTAATAACATATCTGTTGCTTTTTGAATATCAAATTAATACGTTTATATTTTTTTTTAATTTCATGTCTAGATCTAATGAAATTTAGTTTAGGATTTTATAACTAAAAATTATAATTTTTAATTCTTTGTCAATTTTTGAATGATAGAATAAATTGAAGGAAATTTATTCTAACAATATATACACATATATCCCTAAAATACCAAATTAGTGTGTGTGTGTATATATAGTTTTCTCGTCAAAATCTAATTAAACTTAGTGTAGAATTTTATCACTAAAATTTGTGTTTTTTAATTCTTTGTCGATTTTTGAATGATAGAATAATTTGAAGGAAATTTCTTCCAACAACATATACACATATATGATATATCCCTAAAATACCAAATTATGTGTGTGTATATATATATAGTTTTCACGTCTAAATCTAATTAAATTTAGTTTAGGATTTTATAAATAAAAATTATATTTTTTAATTCTTTGTCAATTTTTGAATGATAGAATAATTTGAAGGAAATTTCTTCCAACAATACACATACATATATCCCTAAAATACCAAATTATATATATTCCGTAAAATACCAAATTACTAAATATATATAATTTGGTATTTTAGGGATAATATGAAATACATTAGTTAGAAAAAAATATTGATAAAAATATTTGATTGACAATTTTTAAAATATTGATACACTAAAAAAAATTAAAATTTATGTATTTAATTGAAAAAAAGTAAAATTATAATTTAATATCTTGAGAGTAACAAACATCTCATCACTTAACGAAAAAATTAATAGAAATCTTGATTGCTAATTTAAAAAAAAAATCAATGCACTCAAATAAAAAACATTTAAAATCACATGCTCTATTAAAAAAAAAAAAGTTAAAAATTGGTGTATTTATAATACTTTCTTTTATTTATCCACGAAATAACGAATAGAGCATGAAAAAAATACCCAACCACGTGATATTAATTACAACAACTGCCATTTCTCTGCATGAGCGATCTATTCGTTAAGAAATTTCGTGACGCCGGACAAAAACCAAAAAAAAAAAACTGGGTTCAACGTCACATGAAGCGAACTGAAGCTATAAGCATTTTAACCCAAAAATTCTGAAAAAAATTAATCCTCCCAATCTCTGAAATCAAGAGAATAAAATTTATCTAATGACTTCAGTTCCTTCAAAACGATACTCTGGTCTCTCCCTCACTCTATCTCTCCACTATTTATCTGTATATATTTCCATTGTTAATAATTAAAAAACTGATTATTTGTTTAATTGCGTTGTTGATTACAGATGATGTTAGCCTTGTAGTGGTGTTATTAGACACCAATCCGTTCTTTTGGACCGCATCTTCTTCCCTCTCATTTTCCCAGTTTCTGTCTCATGTAATCTCCCTCTAAAACCCTAACTCTCCCTAATAAATACAGCGGATTGATTCAATATATGTTTTTTTTTCCCTGTAGGTGCTCGCGTTTGTGAACTCTATTTTGCTGCTAAATCAATTGAACCAAGTGGTGGTGATTGCTACTGGGTATAATACTTGTGATTATATTTATGATTCGTCTATGGACGCGAGTCAAAGCTCGGAGAAGGGAAGAATGCCGTCTGTTTATTCCAATTTGTTGCAGAAATTGGAGGAGTTTATGATCAAAGATGAGAAATTGGGGAAAGAGCAGTCTCAAAGAGCGATTGCGTCCTCCTTGCTTTCTGGCTCATTGTCCATGGCCCTTTGCTGTATCCTAGATAGTTAACAATGCTGCATTTATTGATCATAAGTTGATTTGTTACTATTCATCTTTGGATTTGTTTGATTTGACTTGGTGAATAGATATACAAAGGGTTTTTCGTTCAGGGCCACTTCATCCTCAACCTAGAGTGAGTACTTTTCACTTATTTGTTTTCCATTGCAGTTGTGTTTGTCTGTGGAATTGGACCAATGCATTTTAAATTCCATCTATGAAGTACTTATTATTATCAATACCTACTGTTTTGGTTTTAATTTCATAGCTGAAAGAAATAGAGGTGTAAGTGATAGGAACTCTCCAAGTAGTATTATTGATAATTTTTAAGTATATTGCAATAGATCAGTTATTGAATATAAAAAATAGTAAGTTGAATTCTATGATAGTGTATCTTCAAATAAACTTCATCAGCACCTTGAAAAATCTTCAGCTTAGCCCCTGAATGTTGATTACTATTCAAAATCAGCAACAGATGTCGTATAAATTTTGGTTTTATTGCAATCTGAAATTACTCAGCATCTGGAGTTCAGAAATCAATTTGTGTGGTTGATCCAGTAAAGTGTCATATGCATTGCTTTTGATCTTCTCTTTCTCTATTGTAGCATTAGATTTACTACCAACTCTTTTTCATTAAAAAAAACATGTTACTGACATTCAAGAGCAGATTTTATGCTTGCAGGGATCCTCGGATGGGCCTGAACAGTATGTTGTTGATGTTCTTTGCTTTGTCCATTATTTTTTTCCTCAAGCTTTTACACTGATTGTTTTTGGGCTTTCCAGATATGTTGCAGTAATGAATGCAATATTCTCTGCACAACGCTCTATGGTACTATAATGCTTCTGGTTGTTTTAGTTGTTTTACATTTTGCTTATTCAATCTTATATTGGCCCATTTTTGAGATACTCTCTTCTTTTCATTTCGATCAGCTACTTTTTCCTCTTCATAAATTACAAACTTGCATCATCCAGAATGACTTATAATTTCCCACCTTTTTTTTTCCCGACAACTCCTCCTTCACCTTGTCTGGAACTGATATCAGGGTTTTTTATGAACCCTCACAATATTGAGCTTAATTTCATTCAAATTGTTTTTATATTTACTGTTTATTGTTGTTCTTCTATGTTTAGCATAGTTATTCACTTAATAAAGGCTAAAAACTTCATATCAACCTGAATCAGGATAAAATTGCTTTTATGTACACTGCTAAGGAGTTCATACGCTTGTTAAGTCATTTTCATTTCTGTTTCTTTTTTTCTTGGAATATTTTGATTCCAATATGTTGATGATAATCACTCTGATAGAATATTATTTGGTACTTATATGTTTCATTCCAAAGAAAAACAAAAATGAGTACCACAACAGTATTTGTAACCTACCTTCATACACATTGCACTTTAATTTAAGTTGGCAGTTGGCTTGTTTAAGACTTGAAGCACTCTCTGATTTGCTCTTCACTGCAGGTGCCTATAGATTCCTGTTATGTTGGTGCTAATAATTCAGCCTTCTTGCAGCAGGTAGTGTATCCTCATTGATGGTTTTGCTTAGCAACTTCTATCTGACTTTCTATTTGTCTGTGATTCATGTCAAACAGGCTTCCTACATAACTGGAGGTGTATATGTTAAGCCCCAACATCTGGATGGGCTATTTCAGTATTTGACGGTATGCTTTACTTCGGCGGTGTATTATGAAAGAAGTTACATGTTTGTTTCCAACATAACGGGAATCCAAAAAATCTTTTGGTTCTTTTATCTTGTTTGCATCCTCATGCATAGACAAATATATCCCATCCATTTATTGAACATGAAACTCTGTTAATTAAATGATTGACAGTTTTTCACTGCCCTCCAGCATCTTGATGTTAATTTGGTATTGCTTTTTTTTTTTTTTTATGCAGACTGTTTTTGCAACTGACTTGCACTCTCGCAGCTTCATACGACTTCCAAGGCCTGCTGGTGTTGACTTCCGTGCATCGTGAGTTTTTGAATAATTGTAGATGGTCAATTCCCATGGAATTTTTTTTATTAAACCCATTTTTTTTGAACAATTCATTAAATCTTGTTACCTATATTATATTGTCAAAAACTTGAACAACCAGAGAACAACATACAATAGTGTCAATGATGTAATTCTTATCAACAGGTATACCCCAGTTTTATGAGATACATTCTGGGAGTCTCAGCTCATGTTATTAAAAGGGTTTGGTTTCCTTTCACGAGACTAAAATGGCTTGCTAGAATCCGGAATAAAGAGACAATTTTATTATTCATATGTGCCTTATTGTTTGCATCATACTTCTGTAATAAATAAGCTATTTAAAGAAATTCTCTCTGCATGTGTACATTTACTGGAGGAACAATCTCTTCTCTTCCCCTTGGTTTATGATTGAGATTGTGGTTTATCTTATTAAATTGTGCATTTTCCAGGTGTTTTTGCCATAAAACCACGATTGATATGGGCTACATATGTTCTGTATGTTTGTCCATATTCTGTAAGCATCACAAGAAATGTTCGACTTGTGGGTGAGTAGATATTGCTTTTTCCAAGTTATATTACAAAATTTGACATACTGGCTGCCATTACTAGTTGTTGTGTTTTGATTTATGATAAAAAAGTACTATTTATGGGTAGTTTTAAAGGGAAGTTTTGATTCTGCTCTTTTCAAAATGTAGACAGTAGAGTGCTCATTTGTGTTTGACTTTTTTACTGTCTGTTACTTATAACATGGTTGAAGAGTTTTATACTGTTGTGTAACTTTTCGAATTTTGCTTGAGGTAGTGATTAGCTTTTACTATTGTCTTTTAGGATACGCAAACCTTTTTCTTAATTTTACTCCTTTGTAACTTGCCTTACTCTATTGCATGCATTTGGAGCTGGGATGATGCTGCTTCTTAACGATGGCAGTTAAAAGAGATTTTAGATGAAGTTGGTTTGTAGATTCCTTTCTAACCAGTAGATGTGGTAAAAAAATAAATAAGTGGTGTTCACGATTTTACTCACGAACGAAGATTATCACCGACTGCATTAACTGTTTTTTCTTGGATGATGATGCACAGTATGAACTGTTCTTTTTAAATTGAATCCTAGAATGAGCTGTCCTTTGTGCATTTTTTTTTCTTTTTCCCCTTTAGCATTGGATACACTAAAGTTTTAACAGAGGGGAGATCCCCTCTGCTTATCATGATATTTGTTTAGTTCTTCATTTATTGTGACACCTCTCTTCGATTTTGGTTTTTGCTTTGGGTATTATGCAGGTCAGTTTTTGGCCAAGCCCAATCAGACACTTCCTCAGCATCAGATCATAAGAGAAAGGCCCCAGAAACATAATCTCTCTTTTAGAAACACTTGCGTTGGTGAGTCTTTCTTAGTTGTTATTATGAAATTACACTACACGTTTGTTTTGCTACTGGTAATTGGTTCTATATGTCTCATTACTGTGGCATCCGGAACTTGAAGATCTTTTGTGAAGGTAAGCTTAGATCCTGCATTTTGTCATGCACGAATAAATTGATTATCAAGTTGAACTGAGATTTGGGTTGTTCGTTCTTGACTGATCCCATGATTCCTCACTTCCAGTGACGATGCTGCACAAAATCAATGTGCTAAAACAGAGGAACGGGCACTAGAATGCCAAAGGACCCTGTAGTTCCTGAAATCCTCTGCTAGCTATGAATGGAGAGACTATTCCGGTGATATTTGGGAGTAATGGGAGCATATTTATCTGGCAGCAGTCCTTTTACTTGTGAAATCCATTTTACCCTATTGCCCGTATGTACTGTTTTGTTTAAATCGCAGAAAATTTGTATTTGTTCTTGCACCAAAACTAAGTTGGTTAACATTCTGTATTCTTTGAGCTTCAAAATCACGGATGGCTCAAGTTTTGGTTGTTATTGCTCTATTATTTTTCAGATTTGAGTTATAGATGTGCGTGCTATCGCCATGTTTAGACCTTTTATCATCATCAATTGAAAAAAGAAAGGAATAATATCAAGTTAATCACATGATCCTACTCGCTGCCTAATTAAAGTTATATCTTCCAGCAAATTGCCTGTATACACAATTGGAACTTGTATTATCATAAGATGAACCAATCATTTTAACTGATGGAGTTGCAAATAAAACCAACGTTATTTACAAATATTTACAGTAATAGAAGCAAGGAAGATGCGAAACAAAGAATCATGGTGTTTTTCAATTTGCACACAGCTGAGACACTCGGAGGTCCCAAAATCCACATCAATTATAATACACTTCGTTCATTCAGATTGGAACAGCCATCTTTAGAGGGCCTTTATGACAACTTTGCTGGTTGTGTGAATGCCATTTGCGGCAAGCCTCAATACAGCTCGACTACGATACAACCTGCATCCAGAACAAGAATCAGAAAGCAAAACAAAATTTGACAAAAAGCTGCTTGAATCCGTAACTAATTCTAAACGAAGGTAATTTAGGAGGAGGCCATCAACAAAGATTTTGGTAACAACATGCAATTGTGCAGATGATCATATTATTTTAATAACTTCCTAACTAGGTTATCGCAGCATTAGATTTGAGTAGAGAAGCATCAATAATGCAGAGCCAGTCAGTACAAGGGATTTCAGCCTATTAAGAGTCCCAGGCACATAATCAAGGATCATTTGCTTCAATTACAAAACTAATTTTACTCAACCAATCAACTAGAATACATTTTACTTAGAAATGATAGCAGTAAAACAAGATTGAAAACCTTTCTTTACAGACAGTGTAGCACATTTTTCTCCTCGACCTGGAATTTGTATTCCTAGCATTGCAAACTAAGATATTACGAGATGATCAAATACTCACCCTGCCAAAGCAAGCCCCCAGGTCCCCAGGGTATAAAACATGGTCCCAGCATGCCAGATATCGAACACCTTTTCCAATTTGCTCACACCACCCAAAGCTTTTGCCAAAACTGCAAGTTGCCGACCACATGAAATTGAGTGACACTTATTCGTAAGAAACTCGCATTACTTCATCGTAAATTACATAGAAAGGGGAACATATCCAAGAAGGTTTGAAAATGCTGGGCTTCAAATTCAGAATATGGTTAGCTATTTCAAACACGTTTGAATATCACCATAACCGTATCATGGAATAAAAAACATAACACTGAACCACATAGATCCATCCAAGCATAAATTAGTATACTTCATCCAAGCATAAATTAAGAAAGTAGATGGTTCTACTGAAATCCTTGCAAAATTAACTAATCAATAGAGAGGATAAAAATGATTTGTTGAGAAATAAAAGTAAAAATCGAGTTTCCTCTTCACAGGGTCAGTAGTTATCTCATCAATAAATTAAAAAAGAAAAATACACAATATTTACTACTCCCTATGATTTTACAAGAGGATAGTTGTGAGGAACTATTTGCACATAATCAGGTTTTCCGCTTGAGAATCAGAAGCACAAAAACATTCAATTTCTATTGCAACTTACTTTTCTGCAGCTCCTCTGGTGTCAAATTCTGCAATTACAAGATGGGAAATCATGTCACATATATTAAATCAAGCATCAACCATTATCAATCCATCTTAATAAACACAGTAAAAAATCACCTGTGCCTTTGGGTTTGCTACAACACATTTAGCCATGAAGTTAGCAACCCCATCCACCACATGTTCCTCAGTAACAACCACATAATTCTCATCATCAATGCCACTCCGCTCTTCAACAATGCTAGGAACCATGTCTTCTGTTACCCAAACCCACCGACTAGGTTCTTTGTTGTCAACATGTATTAGAACTTCAACTAATTGCATATCATCCCCTAATCAAATAAACCCAACCCAAATGAAGATCGAAGAAACTACAGCACTAGAAAGCTAAAACATTAACACTCATGTAAGAAACTAACAAACCTGTAGCCTCTTTAAAAGGGAATTGAATACTAGTTTCATTAACTGACGCCTGCTGAAGGGAATTAAGTTTAGTCAAGAAATTCTCAGAATCCACAGTGGCTACTAGACGGCTGTAAAGCTGCAATTTTTTTGGAAAACAACAAAGACCCATGAAAGTTTAACTTAGATTCCATAATAAAGTTTTGAAATTTAACAAAAAATAATATTTGATAAATAACGCTTTTTAGAGATGCTCACTAGTAAGATGAACGGTGGCCAGTTTTTGCACAAAAAGAAAATTTAAAGATTCATAAGTATAATTAAAAATTACATACGTTAGGAGGGCAATCCTTTAATAGGCAAGGCGATTCAGATAAATTTTGGAGGAGATTCAAGTTCCGCTCAAGCAAATTCCTCAAGCGCTTATTCTCCGATCTTAAAGACTCCAATTCTTCATCTACTGAATTATCTTTTGCGTCATTAGCTGATTCATGTTGGTGGTTTTCGTGGAGGTGGTGGTGGTGGGTGAATTCCAAGGCTTTCCAAGCCACGTCAGCCACATCGATAACCGTCTTCGCGACCTCTACAGCGCCGTGGCCTCCCATGGAAATTATTTTGGGACAACAATTTCTTTTCTGGCGTTGAAAGACAGAGCTAAACTTGGTTTTCTGTATGATTTGTTGCGTGTCCCAGAATCAAGCCTGGTTCCGACGTAGGCAGGGAGGATAAGGAGGTTATTGTGTTTTTTCCCCAGCCGAGACCATGTGGGTAATGTTGTTATATTCATGCTTGCCCCTCTATTTATCAATAGTGCTCCTTCAAGAGGGTTTCCGGACCCCACCTAGTATCCAAACTTTCAAATACCTCCTTAATCACTCATGCTTGGTTGTTAAAGTTTTAAATGATTTCGGAATAAATTTATGGTATATTATTGAGATAATGGCATTATAAAAGTACATAAATTTTTAACATTTTTTCAATCTTTATATATATATATATATATATATATATATATATATATATTATCAATAAATTATCTTTCATCTAACGTCTATTAATTATCTCGTTATTTGATGATATGTCATTTGTGTTATATTATTAAATTATAATTTTAATATATCATTCTTTGAGAATAATTTTCCTTCCACGTTAATTTACATTTCTACTTTTTGAATATAAAGACAAATATTGATATTTAATATATAAATATTAGAAAGGAATAAAATAATTTGAGAGGAAAATTTCTCTCTAAAAATAAAAATAATAAAATCATAAGTTAGTAGTTTGAAGTAAATGGCATAACATAGAGTAAACAGTAATCGAAAGAATAAAAATATTTGATTGATAATTTTAAAAAAATCGATACATTTAAATTTTAAAAAATTAAAATTTATATATTCGATTAAAAAACTTGATGTATTTATTGTAAATTTGTCCCTTATATTATTATATCCATAAAATTCAATTATTATTTTTGGTTCAGTAGTGCTCCCTCCCTTGACCACACACGATTATCTTATAAAACCAGATTAATGGCATTGATAAATGATTTTTACATATTTACAAAGCTATAAATTCAGTGAAAAAAAAATCTTATTTTACATTATCTTCAAATAAATATTTAAATATATAAATTTTATATATTATAGAAAGAACATGATGAGTTGAATTTTTATCGAAAATGGAAATAAAAAATTCCAAATTTTCTAATAAAAAAAAAGTTGAATCTAGAGTTTTTTTTTTTTTTTTAAATTTATTCTAAGCATACTATATGAACCACACCATGAAAGTAAGTATTTCAATTCCTTTAACTCTCTCTCTCTCTCTCTGGGTTCGAGAATTGACTTTTCCAATAGTTGTCTAATTCCCATTTGATTTATTTAGAATTAAGTTTTTTTTCCTTTTATAGTTTGAGTTATTTTTGAGTCGCTTACTTGTCAATCAAAATTAAATTATTTTTTAGACTATAAAAGATACACTCTTTGCATCGCATTAAAATAAATAAATTCATTTTAAATGCTAATACTAAATTTTGAATTTAAAAAACCAACAAAAAAAAAAAACTTCTTTAAAGTTATCTTGAAAGCACATCTTTCAAGTTTTCTAAGAAAAACAAAAAACAAGCCTAATTTATTTTATCCTAAATCAAGATCCATGAAAAGAAAACGAAACTGAGAATTGGCGGTTTCTTGAATTTGATTTTCATGAAAACAAAATTTTAATACTCATTGAAAGAAAAGGAAAGGAATCAAGACATGTACGCCTCCAAATTCAAATGGACAACATGGGGGTAAATAAATGACAATTTCCATACTGTCAACATGATCATTGATGGCCAAGGCGAACACTGACACGTGCTGTTGAGAGGTGTATTTTTGTCCATACGGACGGTCCAGATCTATTAGTTCATCACCTAAACGTAGACACAAAAAAACACGATTTCCCATTACTCCCTTCTTTACTTCCCTCTCCGCTTTTTTTCCAATTTCCGTGTGTGTGTGTGTGTGTGTGAGTGAGGCTCTAGTGTAATAAAGGGCGTAACTTTTCAAAGCACAGCTCGCGAAGAAAATTAAAAAAGAAAAAGAAAAACCTCCACTTCGTTATTTCACTCTCTCTGTCTGTAACGCCGAGAATGGCAGAGGAGATGCAAGGCACCGAGACGGTGAAAAAAGAAGCGGCCGACGAGTCGCTCGACATCGAGTCCCAAGTCAAGGAAGCCATGCTCTCTCGCGTTAGCCACTTCAAAGAACAAGCCGAGTACTCTCTTCCTCACTTGCGAAATTAATGCAATTCTAGGGTTTTTGTTATTGAAGTTGGTGCAATTTAATTGTGTTTGGGATTTTATTAAGAAAGGAAGTGAATTATATTGTTCTGGTGCTTAAGGGATTGAGTAGAACTGAATGATTGTTGTTGTGACTGAATTGTAAATTGCAGTTCTTTGACGTTTGAGGGAGTGCGGAGACTGTTAGAGAAGGACTTGGGATTGGAGAAATTTGCACTGGATGTGCATAAGAGATATGTCAAGCAGTGTTTGTTTGAGGTAATTTTTTTTTTTAATCTTCTGACTCTGTCGTTGATAATTTTGCTAATTTCATGTCAGCATATGCCATACTCATTTGATTTTTACTTCAATTAAAATGTAATTATTAACATGAATCTCTTTTGTTCTGGTGCTATTGTATGTCGGTTTAGGACGATAATTCCTATTAAAGAAAACTCAGTTATGCAGTTTTGTATGTCTGCATCGCATAGGTGGCTCAGTCAGTTAACACCTGTGCATAAAGATAAAAAACCTTATTTGGAAATCAGGGATTCCGACAATTTTGGTGAAATGTTTTATTTAATGGTAATTTTTAAAATTGTTCCTTGATATTGGTATTTTTGAATTAGAGAATTTCGTGTGTTTTCCAATAAGTTGGTTTTGAGGTTTCCATAAACGAAAACCAACTACAGTATTAAGGCAATCGAGCTGATAAGAAAACTTCTTAAACGAAAGGAGTGAGCCCATATTTGCTGTACTGTTGGGCATTTAGAGTTTACTAAAGCACTTTAATTAAATTGTACTTATTTGGATGATTAATGAATAATTTGCTTTCGAATGATTCTAGCAGAATGTTGAACTGTCAATTGTGTCTATCATAGGAATTAGCTATTCACTCCTTCACTTATTAATACTGATCTAGACCATGTCATGAACTGTTGTATTAACTCCCAATCTTAAGAAGTTAGAGATCGGAATCATGATGTGGACTTCAGCTGTTGATTGTTTTTGGGAATTGATGTTAAATTTGACAAATTACTTTTTCTAGAGCTGGGATTCCAAGAAATAGTTTTTGTTATTGTTGCTGCCACCACAAGCATCATTCTCTTGCATGCTTTCTGATTCGCAGTACTAGTTATGATTGCTGATAAAAGGTTTCGTACTCCAAAGTGCTCACTCATTTTCGTCATTTGCTTTTGATTTGATACTTGTGTCTGTCCATGATAGTGCTTAGATGGCGCTGTTGCTGACAATGCCTCCAAGGACTCTGGGGAAACAGGGGAAAAGCATGTTGGTTCTCCAAAAGAAGGCACACAATCACCTGAAAGACTAGAGTCAAAAAGCAACATAAAGGAACCTTCCTCTGAAGAAGAGGAAAAAATGGAAGACTCTCCTGTAATGGGCCTTTTGACAGGACAAAAAACAACAAAATCAACGATCAAGGATACTCAATCAAATGAGATCAAAGAAGTTCCAAATGAAGGCAGCATAAAGAAAGCCATGATGAAACGGGCTTCTTATGTCAAAGCTAATTCTGAGTATGTTTTTATTTCCTTTGGATTGGCTGTCAATTCCTATGGCCAGTCTGGTTCTTTTTCTAACCTTTATGGTTGTTGTTTTTTTTTTTTCCCCTCCTGGGCCTATGATTTTTGGTTGAATCAATCCTTATCCATTATTTTTCTGTGGTTGGTTTGATTTTTGGAAGTTTATTTATGTCACCTTTTTCCCCAGAGAAATTACAATGGCTGGACTTCGTCGACTCTTGGAGGAAGATCTTAAACTTGATAAATTTTCACTTGATCCCTACAAGAAGTTCATTAGCAAGCAATTAGATGAGGTGCTTATTCTTGTTTAGGTGTTGCATTTTAGTTTGCAGTCATATCACATGCTCCCTAATTTTGTTGCGAATATCTTCATCAGGTATTAAAATCTTCTCAAGTTTCTGAACCTAAGAAGAAAAATCTTAAAAATAATTCTCATGGTAAAGCACCCATAAAGGTAAGCTGTGAAGAGAGTGCAGATTCTTCAGGTAAAGAGAGTCTGGAGGAAGATGTAAAACCAAAGAAAAAGAAAATTGGTGCAGAACAAAAGTTGCAGAACTCCGAAGGGTCTAAAAAACGGAGACGACCCGAAAAGGAAACTAAGGTATCTGCAAAGAAGCGGATCAAGCCCTTGGAAACAGTGAAAGAGGACAATAGTGACACAGAAGTCGGTGAAAATGCTTTGGAAGACAACAGTTCTCCATCATCAGCAGAAAAAGCAGTCAAGGTCTCTCCCCAACATCCACCCACCTCTTGCAGTGAAAAAAAGGACCTTTGTTTAAATCATAAAACATGGTTAAGTAAAATATGTTTTGATCTTCTTGTAGAAAAAGGAAGCTTCTACTCCAGTGTATGGGAAACGTGTGGAGCATCTGAAATCAGTCATTAAATCCTGTGGGATGAGGTGTTTCTTTTACTTGCCGTTTAGACCTAAATCAGAGCTTTGTCAGACTTGACATCCTAATGTTTGTTATTTCTTTTGTAGTGTGCCTCCTGTGATTTATAAGAAGGTGAAGCAGGTGGCTGAGAACAAGCGAGAGGCTCAGCTAATAAAGGAACTTGAAGACATACTTTCTAGAGAAGGATTGTCGTCAAATCCTTCTGAAAAAGGTGATTTTATTATTGAAAATCTAGCTATGTGAACTATGAATAACAAATATGCTTCTGTATGGACTTTGATATTGTTTACAGAAAAATCATTTCCTTTTTTTGATGATATGACACAATGCTTAATGCAATGCAACTTGTACCTGCTAATTTGCATTTATCTACTAAAGTTGACAACTTCCTAATTATTATATCCTCAGAGATCAAGGAAGTCCGAAAGAGAAAGGAAAGAGCAAAAGAACTTGAGGGCATTGACTTGAGCAATATTGTCACAACTTCACGTAGAAGGTCTGCAACCAGTTTTGTAGCTCCTCCAAAACCAGAAGTGCCAGTGGAAAGTGAGAGTGATGACACTGATGATACAGACGAGGATGATGAAGATGCTGACGACAACAACGAAGAAGATGATGGAGATGACAACAGGGGTGGTGACAGCCCAAGTGAAGAGCTTGATGAGGGTAAGTGACTATATAGACAAGATTGGTTCCTTTGTTAGTGGGTGACACTTGGAAGGAAATGCATGTCTGTGATTAGTGGTGCTTTTGCAATTTGCCATGGATTTTTGTTGCCTTGGATGTGGTCTGAGCACCATGAATTGTAGTACCTGTGTTTTGCTAAGAATTATATCAGCATGTTAACCTGATTCTGATATTTAGTCTGGTCACGTTTTGGAGTTATTTGACTAGTTCTGACAGGCTGAATTTTGGTCTCCCATGGGAAATAATTTTATTACTCAACTTCAAACATGTGGAGTGGGAGCGGGGTTGGCCTTCATTTAGCACAGCATACCCTCTAATAATTGACCTCTAAAATGCCTGGACTAGAATCTTTGTAACAAGAACAATGTCAGCTAAACTGAGGTGCCCCAATACCTTCTCAAATCAAAGACAATATATTACTGTGTGTATGGTATTTGGAATAGATGATAGATCACTGGTTGAAATAGTGGTGGGAATTATATTGGTTGCATTCTATGAGCTTCGATATCCTTTCTTTTTTATAATGCTCTTTTTGTTTATGCAGAGCAAGATGATGGCAGCGACTGAATCCTGTACAAGCTGACTTGACATGGATGACCAAAGCTTCGACAATTAGAGTAAATGGGTGTCTTAGAAGCCTCAGCTATTAGATTATGTGGGTGTAGTATGTGTACTATAATCAGTTTTATTCTTTTGACTTTCTTATGGGTGTAGGGATAGATAGCTTTGACGGAAAATTTGCTTGCCGCTTTGCCTATTAGGATGTGTTTATGTCAGCTGCTTTAGTGACTTACATCTCTCTAAAATTTAGCTTAAATTATAAGCCAAGAATTTTGTATATTGATGTTCGTGACTTTGGTTACAATTGAACTGTCATCCTCGGACGATTTTATAAATATTTTGGAGATGAATTTAAACTGGCTGATTAATGGCTTGTTTATGGTGCAAAAGATTACCGAGTGAAACGACGCAGAATTTGATGCTTGCCTTAGGTTCTCTGGCTCTAAGCTGTCATTTTTTTTAATTTTTAATCAACGTTTTGTTAATCTACTCTGTTATCTGGCATTTTCTTTTAGGAAAAGAATGTAATCAGGCGCGACTCCGTGCACTCCATCAGTAGGCAAGATAACTTACAAGAGTAACCGAATTGGTCTGTAACTCCCATTTCATCCAAAATGATCATTCTTCGGGTGATATGATATTTACAGCAATTGTTTGGATGATTAGAATGAATTAAATTATCTAGGCTGTCCCTCTTAGGGCACATTTGAGGGCATCGTGATACCTCTTGGCCAGGCTAGTCTCTCTTCCTATGATTTGAGATCGGCAACAATTTGATAGTTCGCAACAAAATGATGAAACATTTAAAAATCTACCCACGAGAATGGGCTCTAAAATTCAATTCATCTGAATAATTAAGTCCAACAACGTATCTTGAGCCATAAACAATGATTGCTCCAATTTGAGGAATAGACGGATCTTTATGCAGATTGTTAACGACACAATTCAAGGATGGCATTGTATTTTTATGCCTGATGTTCATAACTTCATGTGTTATTACCAAATTTTCCGAGAAAGTTAGCTCCAAATAACTACTCTGATTCGATCAATGAGTAATCTCCATGCCTGTTATTCAGTGCATCAGGAATCAGTCAGCCCCATCTCTGGAAGCAAGCGCCTCGCTTCATTTGCAAGATCAATTACATGCTTGTCTTTACATCCTAGGTAAAAAAGGGATCGAAATGATTTTCATTCAGAGTGACAAAAAAGAAACAGACTACTGAAAATAACTAGAAGTTAAAATGCTACCAATTTGGAGAAGAGCAGATTCAAGTTGGAAAAGGTAGTCTCTGTTGGGTCCAGAGGGGCCTTCAGCACGAATAATTTGTCTGCATAAACGATAGAATTTGTGAATGATTTGCATCTAAGCTTTAGATCCAAGTTCAGAACTCATGCACCATAGCCCAGCTCAGCACATATTAGTAGAGTAGAATTGACCAAATGAGCAACTTTTTAGGCCACAGTAATTTAACACATGATATGGGACCATATCACATTCTCTGAGATTTTAATTAACTAGTCAGATGTGCAAATGCATGGTGCTGCTTTTATTTATACAGGCCGGATTCAAGAAAATTCAAGATTTGGCGAAATGGCATGAGGATTTGATCAATGCAAAATGAAGCACCTTTTAGAACTGAAATGCAAAGATTTAAGATGCTTACTTGGCTATCTCTTCGAGAGGTGCAGGCCCCAAGTAGTTTTGATTACGTCTCGTGTCCGGAGATCCTATATATCTGAAATAACAAATTGTTAATTAGATCTGATTAAATTTGGGCAAAATGTGAAGACTCTGAAAAAAATAACAGGTGGTGAAGGTTTTTGCCACTTACACAATTACTCCTGAAACCGCTGGAGTTGTAGCTGCAGGATCCTGAAAACAGATTTCAGAGCATGCACATACAGCAGTAGGACGGGTAAATTAGAATAATATTGGCAATTAGAGTTATAACTTACAGTGAAAAAATCAAGATAAGCCTTCTCGTCATACTGTTTCTCTCTTACTTCTAAATACTGTATGTCACAATGAGAAAAAGAAAAACACTTTGTTAAGATATAGTACTAATCAGGAGCCTAAGTAAGAGGATTGAGATTAAAAAAAGTAAATCGCAGGATATTATGAAAAGTAACATATAAGCTCCGAAACAACAGCTTAAAATGGAAGTGTGCAATTTTCAATTGATAGATTCAATTATTCAGGTGTCCATTCAAAATATACATTGGTTCCGAAATGCTCGATCTCCCTCCACCCAACCTGAATACAAAAACGAAAAAGTCCCCATAGAAGCGCCACTGCTGGGATATCGAAGTCTATTAATTTAGTTGATCCCTAGCCAGAGCACGATGTGAAGTAAAAAGAGATTCTGTTCCATGGCTAAAGATGTCCAAGAATGATGAGATAAAAAGGCTTCCTACCAACAAAAGAGTCAGACCAGCAATTCAAGAAATGGATTTGAATGGCTGAAGATGTCCAAGAAAGCATACAGCGATGAGAGAAAAAGGTTTCCTACTAACGAAAGAATCAGCCCAGCAACTCAAGAAATGGAGTTGAAGCACCATACCGTTAGAGCAACTTCTTGATCTTCTTTCTTGGAAATCTTATACGCAACTCCCCACTACGACCTCGCAAAAAAAAAAAAAAAAAAAAAAAACCCTCATATACTGCTGTCATTTGATATATATTTTTTTATCCATAACAAAAGAAAGAACCATGATTGAAAACAAAAGAATTAACAATTTCATTTTCTTTACTGCGCACCTAGCTTTTGAAAGAAAACGGTATTGCTAAAAAACCACAAACAAATTTCCGGCAAAAAATAGCAAATTGGTGAAACAACTTACACAGACTTCCCCATCAGCAGGTTCTAAAGTCACGGTCCTTCCTGGATACTCTGGTGTCCCTCTATGGTCGGTGCTGCCTATTACCAAAATAACAAACACCCACCAAAACATTTCACTAATAAATACTCCCTCCAATAACAAACTACGAACATATTATATATTTATATTTATGTGTAGGAGAAAGAAACCTTGGTAAAAAACACGGCGATATCCTTTGATGAAACCAACAACACGATCATCGTAGTTAAAGCCTGCTTTCCATATTAGAGATCCATATCCAAAATACCACATCGCCATTTTTAAACTTGTGGGCCTGTCTCTGGTCTCTCTCTACTTTCTCTCTCTAGAATAGAGATGGAGAGAGAGACGTAGAAAGAGAAAATTGTGAAGTAAAATGATCCAATTGTTGAGCAAGTACAGCAAACTGTATCAGGGCCGTTCGCCAGTTCTCGGCACCAATAAAATCTTGCCATGGCAAGGGCAAGGACAAGGACAACTTGGTTTTGGGCTAAGCTAGATCTATTTTACTGGACGGGCTTTTTTGGCCCAAATCTCGATATTTTTCCTATTTTTTTACTCGGTCTTAAAAGAGCTTTTGCCCAACAACCAAAGGAACTTTTGTGGGAAGGAGGAATCTAAACGAAATCATTTCCTTGTATTTTGTTCTTGGGCTAGGTTCGCATTCTGTGATTCTGATGCTCTTATTCTTAACGGCCGACACAAAAATGGCTACAAGCTTTTAAGAGGCACTTCCTCTCACCTGACCACACTGGTGATACCCATCCCATAATAACATATGGTATAAGATTCAGATTCTTTCGAGTGACAACCCGAGCGGCCGTTTCTTAACAAAATGAATCTCTTGCCGTGTTTTTTTTTTTTATCTTCAGTGCAGTCTTACCATTTGGATTCGCAAGGGGATGACTTTCACTCGTCAATACTTTTTATCCACCTCTTATGTCTAAGGTACTGATCAGAATTTGATTCTTTTCTAGGACCCTGTTAGCTCACCTATACATGCAATTTAAGCAAGCTGGCTATTTTATCAGTTTTTTTTTTAAAAAAAGAAGGTAAATGAACAATCAAGCTAGATATGGATTCTTCATTCTTTCCTCTCTCAGATATTTTGAAAGACACCGTTACTTAGGCTTATTCAAAAAGCAAAGAGTAACACTATGAAAAATTAAAGGATCAAAATATGATAATTAGCGATCAAGGTATCCACGCATTATCCTTATATTGAGTAAAAAGTCATACATATTAGTTTGGATAGGGTCCCTCTTGCAAAGAAGGAGAGAGATAGAGAGAGAGAGAGTGAATAATTTTATAGTTGTAAATCTTTTGTAGAATCTTCAAGATTTGGGCGGAATCTTCGACATTCCATCATCAGGTCCTTCGATGCTATTTCCAAAATTAATTGATGATAGCTTAGTAGTATCTTTGATTGGCAATTCTTGGGTTCCAGTTTTCTCATCTGTCAATTCCAATGTTGATGCGTTTATCATATCCTTGCTTTTACCCCACACCACGGTGTAAAGTCCAAAAACTATTAGAATTGCTCCCATTATACTGCGATAGAAAACAACAAACAAATTAATAAACAGTAACACAGATAAGGTTAGTAGTTGAAATCCTCATTTCTAAATCCTTCAATTAATAATGAAGCCCTAGAATAAAGTATTACATTTACAAGACAAAAAAGAAGAAGAAATTTATCTACGCTAAGTACTCTTTACCATAGAATTAGAAGTATTCCTCTTTTTTATTTTAATGATAATTATTTACCAAAAAAAAAAAAAAGATATTATATTTTCATATATACCTTCCAAGGTGGACTTGCTCCGCTAGAACAATCAATCCAAGAGCTGCCGTGATGATCATGCAAAGAGGGCTAAAAGAAGTTACAAAGACAGGGCCTCGTGTCCTTATTACCATCCCTTGCACATAATATGCAATTCCAGAACAAACCACTCCCTAATTACATAATTCAAAGTGTTAAAAAACTTTTAAGTACAACAAAAAAGAAGAAGAAGAACAGGAACAAGAAACTACTCATATATATATATATATATATTACTCATCTGAAACAATAATTTTTTTTTTCAAATAATACTCACAGAGTAAACAGCAGCAACAAGCCGAGAGTCAAAGCCTATTTTCCAGGCACTCATGTCACGTTCCATAACAAGTGACACTGCTGCACCTTCCACCATGCCCATCATGCATATCAATGCTGTGAGAGAAAGCTCTGCTGGGTATTTCTTCAAAGTAAAGGACTGAGCCAAAATCGATGCATTTCAACAAATTTTAGTATTAATTTATATAAAAAATTTCTACGTAAAAAATAAATAGTAAAAGAACAGAAAAGATTAAAAAATAAAATAAAAGGTAACTACTCACTTGCAATATGAAGAAACCTGACCAACCACAGCAACTGCCTAGGAGCATCAGTGTTCCAGTAAGCCAATGTTGATTACCTGATTCATTGCTTGTTCCATGGTGAGCTGCTCCGTGTGATCTTACAAAATCTATGATTGGACCTTTGTACAAGGTCATAACCATCGCTCCTGTGACCGTGACAGCCGTTCCGATGGCCTTGGCTGCGCTATGTAGCTTCTTAAAGTTCACTGTCTCCAACCTATTTATTTATAATATATCATATTTAAACAAAACAATTGTTTAGCTATCTCTTCCATTAATTTGCTTCTCATGAATTATGTTTGGGCATGCATTAGAATCTTTTCCATTGTGCCCACCGCTACCTTTTTCTTTTTTTCTTTTTTGTGATAATCTAAACATGCATCATGCTAATTGAGAATTAATATTTTTTAAAGTAACACAACTTGTTTTTAAAATATGTGAAATCACAAGGAAAAAAGTATAGCATCCCAAATTATGCTAATTTATATGCCTAGCGAGGCATCATCAGTACATATGATAATTTATTTTTGACCACAAATTTTATTTTATAACATGTAAAGAAAGAAACATATTGATCACACTTAAATCTAGGGTGTCGCATGATGTGACTGGCACCATCATGCAATTAGTGGGGAGATTGATAATGCCCTATAAAGCGTGCTGGCCCTTGACCATGCATAGATCCTTTTCATTTGCATGATCTCCTACAAGATTATACATGATGAGGTAATTTGTAAGTTCAATTCACCTGAAAATGAGAGCCATTAGAAAGGTTATGGCTGGGAGGGCATTCACTGTAGCAGATGCAAATGTAGCCGACGTGTACTTCATTCCCAAATAATACAAATTTTGATCAAGCACTGGCCTGGTAATTTCCAATAGAATACATACATATAGTTAGTTAGACATCGATGATATAATAATTAAGTTACGTTTATGAAGTATAAACACAAATTAAGATGGAGGGAGTTTTCAGGCGTATTACTCAAGAAAACCAAGCACCATTATCCTCAGGAAAATTGGGAGCGTCAACTTTGGCCTTATTTTCCTGCCAAGAAGAAAAGGAAATCAATAAGAACTGGAGTTAAGCAAAATTAAAGTGAAAAAAAAATTGCAAATGTGATTCGGTTGTGAGGGCTTGTGGGAGAAAGAGACCTTTCAAGAACAAAGGCAAAAGGTGCAATAACAATCGTAGCAACTACATGACGGTACGTTGCTAGTATGTAATGGCTCATCCCATGTTTGAAAGAAACCATGCTGATGATGTACATTCCAGCATATCCAAATTGAAGAGAGACCATAGCCAAGTAGGGTTTAACTTTCTTGAGCCCTAGGCACAACTTCTCGCATGGGGTTTGGTCTCCCATCTTTCTATATATCTTTCTTACTTTTTTCTATGTATCTCACTCCCTTAATCTCTCACTACTTCTATGCAAAGATTGAAATGAGAAATGGCCTTCTTATAGACAAGAAAAGCTAAAGTAACACGATACCAATATTTGTACTCTACGCTGAGGGCACTCACTCGCTCACTCCCATTTTTTCATAAGATTCCTTTATCCATTAACTCAAAACACTTATATTCCAAGCAAATAGAATCCTCACTTTGGTGTGTGATATAAAATCAAAAAAGAAAAAAAAAGATAGAGAGAGACAGAGAGTTTCTGTGGATTGATTTTTAATTAATGAGAAAATAATATATTTTTCCGTTGCTTTACAAATTTGTTAATTTATAACCAGTGGGGATTTTAGACATTGAACATCAAATGAAATCAAGGTTTAGTGCTCTAAGATGATGCATGCAGAATTTGTGGTCTATGTTAAAAATGGGTGCTTTCAAGAGTGGACACCATTTCTAAAAGATGTCTGATGTATTTGAACCTAATCATTGATTCATCTGGTGATTTACTTGCGATTGATTTTATTTTCACCGTAATCCTAGTACTATTTGCTAGTGGAAATTAAAAGACGCTGACAGAAAATTGTTTAAATAGTATAATTTGTTTAAGGGCTTAGCTAGGATGGTGGTTTACAAGGAACTAAGGACTTTTTAAACTAAAACTCTTCTACTAAGAACATGCATATTAATCCTTAAATTCAAGCTTTGACTTATTTATAGTGATTTGAAAATCAAAGGACGTCCTAATCCACTTGAAGGTTGGTTAATTTGCAATGGGTCGAGGAATTCCCGTTGGACCGAAAGTTGGAATAACCTTGATAGTATCAATGCTATCAAAAGCCAGCATGATTTGCTAGTTAAGCGTTCTAAGAACCCTCCATCTGTTTGCGAGTATATATTCTAGGAAGGAGATGTTGCAAAGTTCTAGTATGTGATGATGTAGGGGCTTATCCAACGACGTGTAGCGGGAAACCTAGCAGACCTCCAATTCTAATTGATTCAAAAAGCAATTATTATCTCTCAAAACTTGGAGAAATTATTATCATAAATTAAACCAATAAATCAAAAAATCATTTTTATACGCTAGTAGATTTGGCCTAACGGTTGTGTGTTCAACCAGCTTTTTCAGTAAATTAAACTTCAAATCTTGTTGCCTATAAATTTATTTAATAATTATATAATGAGGAAGACTATTCTCATTGTATAACCTAATAGATATATGGAAATCTAATAAATAAATAAATAATAAAAATCTTATTTACGTATATATCTTGTGTTTATTGACCTAATTTATAAATGATGTGATATTTTAATTTGCCTAATATTTTTTTTAAAAGTAGATATTTTGATAAGATAAAATAATTAAAATCTGTGATTTTCATTGAGAGAGAGTAGGTATTATGACATATGAAGTAGGGTATTAGAAATTAGCGGTGGCTTGTCCATTGTGTGGTTTAAAGTTTATTGAATTTTCTCAGGGATTATAATGTTTTTATTTTTTCGAGAATAAATTGTAATGGTTACATATTATTTAAAGATATATCTCTCACATCGGTTTAATATAAATTTTTTGGATGGTAGTTTCAAAGTTAGAATTCATTAAAAAAAAATAATTAATCTCTTTAATTAGCAGACTAATTCTGCAAAATTATAATGATTATATATATTAATTCTTATAAATGATCAATTGGATTAGATAGGTACCAAATAATATGATTCTGCGATATTACATCTATGTAATTCCAAAAATTATTCTTATTCCGCTATTGTTTTGTGGGAATAAATTTGGACCTACGAGTTTTGGCCACATATATATGCAGCGTGCAAAAATTGCATCTATTTAATTCCAAAAAATTGCCTTTTAAGTTCTGACAAGGCCTATATCCAACTTGATTAAAATATAAATGCCATATTTTTCAATTAATACCTTGCTAAGATAATTCCTGCTACTCTTAAAACAACATACAAAATCCATATTCCTTGAGAAAGATTCATAAGAAAAGGATTAATTAATGCTGGTGCTATCGTGTTTGGATTCCAACCAGAAAACACGTTGGTAGAATCCCACCCAAGAAAAATTGCAAGCATTTGTGCATGTGAACATATCCGAAACGATGGCATTAACTAGGAACGCATTCTCGTAAACATTTTCTTCATAAATTCTACTGTGGCAATATCGAAAGATGTGGCTATGGATTATTTCCCACTTCACGAATTCTACTGTGGCAATAGATAATTTCCCACCGCAACAGAAAAAGACAAACATGAATCCATATATTTTTCTTTTTATTTTATTTTATTTTTAAAAAAACAGAAGGGCGCGATACGAGAATTTCCTAAGAAGTTACGTTTAATGTATTAGTGCTGGTATAATGCCACCCATAATCCTTTTCTTATCTCTCATACTAATACATGAAAGGAAACAATTAAATCATTTTGCATATTTTTTAATATCTTTTCAATTAAATATATGATTTTAATTTTTGTTATTTGAATATATTATTTTTTTACAAAACTGTCAATTAAATATTTTGTCTAATTTTTATCAATTGTTCCATTATCTAATGATGTGTTATTTACTCTAAATTATTAAATTATAATTTTATCCTTTCATTCTTTACTTAACTTTCTCTCTAAATTATTTTTTCATTTTCTATTTTTATACAGTAAATGTATAAAAAAATTCAAAAATAACAAAATAATTTTAAAAATAAAATAATAAAATCATAATTTAGTAATCTGAAAAAAAAAATCATGCCATCAAATAACATAATAATTGGTACAAATTGGACAAAAAACACTCTAATTAGCCTTTTTTGAAAAAAATAGTATATTCAAATAGAAAAAATAAATGTATATACTTAAATGAAAAAACTTTAAAATCTAGTATACTTATAGTGTAATATCCCTCTAAAAAAAATACGTTTAGTGCAAAATGCTGAAACAAGTAGGTACGTGCTGGTTAGATTATGTAAGACAGATCGACCCAAACGATTTGGGACCAGATTTTAGTCGCAAATGTAATTGAATATAAAGAAGGATTGATCTTACAGTGGATCCATTACACAGGTTAATCTCTCAATATTGGAAAGGATTAGTAAGAAAATGATGTCATCACTCTCAGCCTAATCAACTAATGGATTCAAAAGTAAAAAGGAAGATGTTTATTGCCCATCAAATAATATCATAGAAACTTAGATATCTTCGAATATTCACCTGTCAAATTTTTTTCTCTTCGAAAAGGCTATATATTATATTCATATTCTTGCAAACAAGAACTGAAAGAAAACCACGAAGAGAAATGCTGGCATCTATTGTTTCCACTTGTATCCAATCAGGGTTGACATTATGATGCTCTTCTCTGTCAGATGTCATTTGGGTCTACAAGTAGCAGATAAACATTATTCGTCTTTAATTTGTCGAACCGGAACCCTATTTTTCCTCTTCATTTGGGTCTACAAACAGCCGTAAATTATGAATTACTCTTTCTAGTTTTTAAAAAGGAATTAAATAATCCTTCTGGTTTTAATAACTGTTAATTTCCTTATACTTTAATTTTTTTTTTAATTTCATTCTTTTCACTTTAAAATTTTTTTTTTTAATAAATTGAAAAAAAAATGATAAAAAACTTAATTTATTCAATGGACTAGTTATATAGTTTTTGAAATAAGAGAGATTATTTAATTTTTTTTGTAAAATTAAAAAGCCTAATTTATATATATATATAAAAAAAAATAGACAAACTCGGAAACGTCCATTGGAGCTAGGCGAATATTGATGTATCTGTTTCGGCATTTTATAGGGAATATAATTAGGCAATCCTATAAAAATCAAAGAATAGAATTCCGTTGCTGATCTAAGAAACATTTTGTTCAGCTAGGAGCTAGCTACTTACATACAACAAACCTCGTAAGGTTTGTTTAGGTTCGCAGTATCAATAATGTTCGAATTGCCTAAGCGGGGAGAATAAAACTGGTAGAGTCATTACCATTGCAATTTGAGATTAAAGAATCTCCAGCAGTGAAAGCGAATTAAGATTGTCAGTGTTAAGACATGCCTTTATTACATTGAAGTCGAATGAAAGAAAATATAATGGTTTCAGATGATACCATGAAAAGAAATGAGTTAAAACCATCAAACTGTCGTTAATTTGAGTTTCTGAAGGCAATTTTGGTAGCAATATTTAATCAGATAAATGAATTAAAAATGAAAAAAATAATAACCAGTTCATATTACAAGAAACAGGATATTACAAAAAGCATAACAGACACATACCTATACATGACAATTTGCAGCCATGACACCCAGTTTCGACTAGCAAATAATATCTGCATTAAAATTGACCTTTTCTTTTATTTGAACAATGAACACATATAAAGGAGGTTACGAATGACATAATAGGTACAGAGAGAATAGTAATTCTAGTTTAAATAGATGCATGCTTATTTGGGCAAATGGGCATTGTACAACCAATGCTTCCAAAACATAATGTATAAGGCTATTTGCCCATTAGCTATGGCCACAATTGTCCAGTTCCCTTCAGCTGACCAACCACTTGTATAATGATGCTGAGTTTCCAAACACCTGTAATATTTGTTGGGGATTGCAAGTGGGTCCACAGGGCACCACACTGCCTGCTAACACAAGTGCACCTTACTTGGCTTCCGATGAGCCAACGAAGAAACAGTTAAAAAGCCCTACCATGCATGGTCATGACACCCTCTGGCGTCAGCTGTGGCTTCTTGCATGCCATAATTGGGTGCGTGAGTTATTATAAGTTAACATCATGACATATCCTTACATGATATGTTAAATTTTCAGTCGTTTTTTAAATTTAAAAACTCATATGTTATGTTTATGTTATTTGAGTTAATTTTCAATTTTTTATTCTAATCAATTTGTCTGATCAAATCACTTAAAAATATCATATGAACTGTATTTTAATAAAAATATCTCTTACAACTTAACATGTTAAGCTCTTAATTTGTCTTTATATAATGGTTAAGCTTTTAATATGTCCTTAATGTTAAAAAGTCCATTATATTGTTGTTATTAATTTTTCTAATAATGTATTGCAATTTTTTTGTTAATTAAAAATAGTTAATATAAGTTATTATATAATTGTTCATGAAATTATAGTTTAGCATATTTTTAATGCTAAAGAGTCTGTTATATAATTATTATTAATTATAATAATTCACTTATGTATAATATTGAACAATTTGATATAATATTTATCAATATATTAAATCAACTCTATAAAAGAAAGCATGTGAAAAACAAATAATTATATAATTAAAGAAAGCATGTGATTATTTGTTTTTTAATTACATGCTTAAGAGATTAATTAACAATAACTTAAATATAATTATCTGTTTTTAATCGCATACTTAATAGACTAATTAACAATTACTTAAATGTAATTATTTATTTTTTAATTTACTAAACAGTTGCATACTAACTTGTATTGATTATTTTTTTATATTTTTAATCAACAAAAAAATTCACTATAGTGCAATATATTATTAAGAAAATTAATAGCAGTAATATAATGAACTTTTAACATTAATAATAGATTGAAAACTTAACTAACTATATAAAGATATATTTGAAACTTAACATGTTAAGGTGCAAAAGGGTATTTTTATAAAAAAAATTATATGCAAGTCAAGTGACATTTTTATATGATTTGATCAAAAAAAAATGATCGAAAAAACCTATTGAAAATTAGTTTAAATAATAAAAATATAATAGAAGCGTTTTTAAATTTAGAGACAAATTGAAAATTTTGCCTACTAACGATATTAACCCCCAATTATTAATCACTACAAAATTATACAGGAGGCTAATTAGGAAAATAGGTTTTTCTTCAATTGTTGTTTCTCGCAATGACTCGCTTTAGCGATAGCAATATCGATTGTTGCGATTGATAGTTCCGCATCGCCCTTACCAAGTAGTGGCATATAGTTCGGGGCTAACTAACATATATCTTACACGTTGTCGTGAGGTGAGCTATATAATATTTTTATGTATTCATTCATATCAAATATAAAATTTTAAAGTAATTATGTAAACGGATCACGCGAAAAAAATTCGGAGTGAGTTATACAACATTCTTATGTATTCATTTATATAAAATACAAACTTTTTAAAAATAATTATTTAAAAGGATCACGCAAAAAAAATAAAAAAATAAATAAAAACATATATCTTATATTTTGTTTAAGGCTAGCTAAACGAAAAGCTCGCAAAGCAAAATTGAGTAATTTAATATTACTAATTAGATATTGTTTGATATAAACATATATTTTATTAGAAATATATATATAATAACTAGTAATTAAAATAATAATCTGGTAGTTTTTTGAATTTTAGATGATTAATTTTTACCATATATTCTTTATGTATAATTTGTTAATGAGATAGAGAGACTACCTAAAACAAAAAGACAAAAAACTTTGTCCAATTGAGAATTTGGCAAAAAAAAATAGAGATAAAATTACACAAAAAAATGAAATATAATAAAATTTTAATAATCACAATAAAAAAAATTACAAAAGAGAGATTAAAATAAAAATAAAATTCACTAAAAAGTCAAAAGAAGAGCTAAAAAATGCAAGCAATAGGAAAAAAACTGATTTATTATAGAACTAAAAATCAAATACAATAAAATTTTAATGATTAAAATAAAAGAAATTATACAATAGAGACTAAAATGTAAAATTAATTTAAAGCCAAAAGAGAGGCTTAAAGTAGCAAAAGAAAGAAAGAAAGAAAAAAGATCTAAAGGCAAAGCGAAGGAAAATAAAAAAAAACAATGAATGAACAGTAAAAAACGTTATCATACTTTAGCTTTTTATAATGTAGTCCTTGTCTTTACAAAAAATTATGATGTTGATCAGTTGATCGAAGGCGCCTCTTGTTCGATTCAATCAAGCATTTCTCTTTTATAAGAACCTTTGACTTTTGATTGTAAATCAATAATTAAATTGCATAATGGTATACAAATAAATTTTTTATGCAACATTATATATATATATATATATATATATAATCAATCATTTAAAATTTATAAAACTCACACTTGATCACTAATAAATTGCAAATCATTTTGCATACAAATTTGTTCATATATATATATATATATATATATATATATATATATATTTGATTTCCTATCATAATTCAGGCTAATCAATCACTTTTTTTTTAAGGGTAAGATGCTAATCAATGGATTTTCTCCACGACTAGAATGATTTTTTAACCAAAAAAAAAATTGAAGAATAGTTTATAAAATAAATTAATGACCAAGAAACTCAACAAAATTACTACCAGTACCACTGTTTGTATTTGTGACCTTTTATTTTATTGGTACCAAAACTTCTAATCAACTATTGCAAGTTATAATAATTCTCAACGCTTTGTACTATATATTACCTGCAATACGCAGAAAGCGGACCAAGAAACACAACCAACAAGGAGCAATAGTGTCCCGGCCACCCAGTGCTTATCAGAGGAGTCAGCAGTACTTCCGTGGTGGCTTGTTTTCTCAGACCATGGTAGACCAATCACTGGGCCTTTGTAAATTGTCATCAGCAAAGCTCCTCCAAAAGTTACCACGGTACCAATTCTTTGCTGCGTATTTCCTTAATTCTCACTTGTTCTAACCTCTTGCCTCACGTATCAGATGTTTCGATTATCAATATTATTCTATGCTATACATAAATTTAAGGAATTTAATGTGTGTGTGAGTTTTTATCTATTTCCGTGATTTTTTTTTTTAAATAATGTCTGAAGGTGCAGCTTAAGTTGCGCATGATCACACAAATGAATATTGTAAGCACGATTTATTATTTATTTATATAGTATATACAAATTTAAATATTTCTTAATTAACACTTTTTTCCACAATTTTTAAGAGATGAAATTAACAAATATTTAATTATTTTTCCAAATTGTAAACCCACAATTATATATGGAACTATGTAAACGTCGTACCTAAAAATCAGGGCGATCACAAAAGTGACAGAAGGAACAGCATTCATAATGGCAGATGTAAATGTTGCCGATGCGTATTGCATCCCTAAATAACTGAAGCCTTGGTCAAGGATTGGCCTGTGTGCAGGATCACTTGTAGTGAGTATAAAAAGAAAACCCCTCGCATTCACTAACTACGTACTTTAATTTGTTTCGAAATCATTTCTACTAACTTCATTACTCATGTAAACACATTAATATAATGATAAAAGGATTAATGCATTACTCTAAGCGTCCGAGTGCCATTATTTGTACAAAGATTGGGAACGTAATCTTTGGCCTGGTTTTCCTGTATAATGAACAAAATAAGACACAAAAGTTAATAAACAGCACGGGGATTTCAATATATTTAAATACTGTGTGTGTAGTGACGCATATATATTGATTTTAATCTCGAGTTATTCCAAGTCGGTCCAAGCACAATTATTAATAATATAGCTCGCAGATACTATTGCAAGCCCTGCCAACAACTTAGATTCAGAACTTGAAAGTGGTGGGCAGGGATTTACGAAGTAATTATATGTGCTTAATTAGATATAGGACTGCGTAACAAAAAGGGCTTCTCATGCAGGATATACGTAGACTATGTAGAAGACATGTTTGGCATGGACGATTATAATTAGTCGCCAACAAGTCTGTAACGGTGTCAGTGTTTGGGGAGACATTTCAATAAGCAAAGCAAAAGGAGCAAGAACAATTGCAGCGACACCGTTCCGATACACAATGAGCACATAGCGATTCATTCCGCAGTTGAGACTTAGCATGCTCATTATGTAATTTCCTGCCGACCCAAATTGCATGCACACCATTAGGATATAAGGTGTCATCTTATTGAACATTAAAATAAATTTTCCACCAGATGTTTGGTCTCCCATCTCTTTGTCTCTCCTCTCTCGGAAAATTAAGAATATATTGAAAGTGAAGGATGAGAAACTAAGAGGTTATATAACCAGCAAAAGTACCTCAGACATTAAAAATTAGATAAACCCACTTCGAAGACTGATCTCACTTGCAGAATCTTTTAATTAAACAATAGAGCTTTCTTGGTCATTAATGATTCTTAATTATTCATACTTTTTTTTCAACATTCAAGATATCATCGAGCCAGTTTTCACAACACACAGCTTTGGTATTTTAAGAATGAATTCTTAGAAGTACTGGTTACAAGAATCGAAATCTAGACTTGATCTATAAGTCAAAGTTTATTTATCAGTAGACTACCACGTTGTGGTTAAATTATTATTCATACTTTTAATTAACAAATAATATATATATATATATATATATATATATATATATATATATATATATATATATATAGAGAGAGAGAGAGAGAGAGAGAGAGAGAGAGAGAGAGAGAGAGAGAGAGTTTTGCCAATATATGCCTCCTCTATTTTTCAATTTGTGTCGATTTAGACTTCGTGTTTTTTTATTGAATCTCTTTATTCTTTATTATGTTTTGTTTTCGTTTTTTATTATAATATCGATAGCTGTGAGTCGACGTGATGCGTGCATTCTTGAAAGCGTTACATTTATCATATGCATGACTCTAATAGAGGAATTCAATCAAAACAATTTAAAGGTGCGAGATTTTAATCAAAACAATTCAAAAAATACAAGAATCAAATTACCTTTTTCTTTTTTTAATATTTATGTTATTTTCTTAAACCTCATAATAAATGCATGAAATGAGTCATATATAAGACTCCATCATAATTAACTTTTATTTTTTTATATATTATTTTGATAAATTTAAAATAATACATAAAAAATCTAACTTGTAATTATTAAAATAAAGAATATAGTGATTTACAATATCAATTAGTCATAGATCCCTAGTTAATTGATCTAATCCTCTATAAAAAGTAAAAAAAAAATCGAATATTTGACCAATTCAAAATGAAAAAATAAGGTTGATCTCTAAAAGACCTTGGGATTGCTCCACACTTTTTCTTTGATATAGGCAATTAGCTATTAATCCGTATTTGTATTACTATTATTTTTATTTTTATTTTTATTTTGACGACAATATTTGTACTTTGTTTTTTTTTTCATTGCATGTTAATTTCGTTTTGCATTTATTTTATTATTTTTAAATTATTATATATTTTTTTTAAAAAATACTCTTTAAAATTTTAGTGTGATGGGTTCTTACAAATGATATATTTCGTAGCATTCAAGATGAGATCCAATATGAGATCTTAAGAACCAAATAATATGAAAAGTAGAAAAGAAAAAACAATAATTTAATCCTTATATTTTTGAATTGTTTTGATTGAAGTTTTATATTTTTTAAATTATTTTGATTAAGTATCTTTATTGGAGTTTTACGTATGACGTCTATCAAGCTTCATGAGTGGACAGACTCTTTAAATTATTTTGATTGAAACCTCATATTTTTTTAAATTAATTTTGATTGAGTCTTTTTATTGGAATCTTATATATGACATATGTCATGCTTCGAGAGTGGACACACCACATTAACACTACATCAGCTCACAACTAATAACGTTACAATGAAGGGACATAAATAAAATAAAATAAAATAAAGAATAAAGAATAAAGAAATTCAACCAACACAAAAAAAAAAGAGTATATGGTCTTAATCAAAATAATTCAAAAAAAAAATCATATAATGAGCCAAATGTTATATAAACACCTCTCTAATGAGTTCATTTTCATTGCCTTTTTTTCTCATAGACGCCTTTCTTTCTTTCTTTTTTTACCATAAATAGGGACATTACAGCCCACTCAATTGTTAAGCATTAAAGAGTTAGTGTTGTAGCTCGCTTAGTTGTTAAGAGTAGTTAGCTACACCCCACTCAATTGTTAAGCATTAAAGAGTTAGTGTTGCAGCTCACTCGATTGTTAAGAGTAGTTAGCGTAGCATGAAAGAAGGTTGTAATACCACAATGAATTGAATTGGCTATCACTATAAAAAATGAAGAGTCTGTTCTTGTCTCTTCTTGAGATGAGGCTTTTTTAGACTCAAATATTCCAATAAGAGGATTTGAACGCATAATTTTATACAAATGCAAAAAGCTCACTACTAATAGAGTAAATGCCTATTGGTGTCTTCTTTTTCTTGTTACTTTGGTTAGAAAGCGAAGATCATAGGATCTAAATATATAATTACCAAAAAGTTTATTGGTTTAATGCACGATGATTAGATAATCAATTATACATACGTGGTCTAGCTAAGGTCTTACTACAGTAAAACTATGATTCTATATGATTCTTAATTGGGATAACTTTGGATTGGTTGCCACAAAAAAAATTGTTTTCTCAATTAGGTTCCAATATGTATTTTTTAGCCAATTAGATTCTCAATGCATCCAAGATCCTCAGTTAGAGTCGTTCAATAACAAATGCTCCTCACAATTTTCTCAATTGGTTCCTCAACCTATCAACAATTCCAGATTTATTTGTTGAGGGAAGGATTAAATTGAGAATCTTTTAATATGTTGGGAACACAAATTGGTAAAAAATATAACTTAGGGATCCAATTGGGTCAATGGTTATAATTTGGGGACAAAGATGAGGTTGTCCTTTCTTAATTAATTGATTGACATTTACAATAATAATAAGGTTAGATTAGAAATTGTCTTTTGTGCTCGAAAATATTATATAGTTGAATTGATGTGTGAGCTCGCAACAACATTAATTTTGGGAGTGGAGCCATCCACTAAGAAGATCACTTGGGACTTTTATAATATTTTAAGTGACAGTATCGTTCGAGTGGCATGCATAATCCTTATGTCCAGTTACATATTCGCTGACGCTAATTGCATGATCATCACCCTGCTTACACTGAAAGTTTCTATACATAGACAATCCACAGTAAAGAATCTATTTAATTTCAATTTGCTCATAATATTTTCCTCCTCGCACTTTGCAATAATCTGTAACTGGAATCGAATACTTGAGATCAAAATATTCCACATGGAACTATATCACAATATATTTATATTGTAAGGCATATTAAGCTTTGAATCCCATATACCACCACATCATACGCTGCTTTGATTTGTTGCTTTTTTCCCCTACTCACTTTGTGAAATTATAATCAAAAGAAAGAAAGTTCGCTGTGGCTAATTGCAGTTTGTTTGCCCCTCAAATTAGTGGAGGTTAGGGTGGCCGTTCTTATCTATTTTGAGGCACTTTTCTTGATCTATGCAGCCAGTACACGCACTCTTAATCACGACATAAAACAATTATTTTGATATTATAATAGATTGAGGTAACCGTATGAATGGTCGTTTGATTAACTACCAATGTCTTCAACTCATATTGTGTATTTTGCTAAAGAAAGAAAGAAAGATTGATAGGAATTTAGAAAATAAATATAGACACTGAAATGACGAACAGCAGCACTACAAATCAGGATGTGTCGCATCTTTATTTATTTATTTTGAAGTCCCATAATAATTGTTGCAACATTGAAACTATAGCTAATTTATGCCATTATTTCTGCCCATATAGTCGCTTCCCGTTCAGCAAGCACGACGAGGACAGGATAAGAAATCCAACTTAATTTCGTTGACTTAACCCGTGCCCCCTCTTCTTCCCTTTTTTTTTTTTTTTTGATAAATCAAATCATTTCTGCCCATTGATTCAGCAATGTGTCAATATCACAGAATGAATAATTAATCTCATCATCTAAATATGCATTTCTAAAAAAAGACCTACTACTATGTAACGTAGACTAATCTATTACTGGGCAAATAATGGATCACTTTCTGCACTTATCATTGAAAAAAAAAAAAACATAATTTTCTCTTTTCTCGAATTGGATTGCTTGTGCATAACTTTGAAAGTATATAGCTAAAAACCCGATCGTAAACGGAATTGGACTTAATTGCTTGCCCCGAATCACCACCTTGACAGACGACAGATGACAGATGACAGAAACAGATCCTTTTTTGGTCGGTATGGTGAGAGAGAGTTCGTTGCTTGTACGGCAATGGCGCGGTAAATATCCAAATCGATCCAGAGTGATATCACCCTTATATCGCCTCACCTTTTGACCATAACTTTGATTTGAAAACCAGTGGATATTCTTTTCTAGCTCACTGATATAGATATCATACCATAGCAGACAGGTCTATGTTCATCAGGGAACAAAAAAAGCAAACAAAGATGGACTATTTTTAATATGGTTTAGTAACTTTTCATGTAATTAATCGTTCAGAGATCAATGCCAAGAACTAATTGAGCCTATTAATTGTAATCACCAATGAGAAAGATCTAACAAGTTTCTATTATAATAAAATCGCTTTCTTTCTTTCTTTGTTTTTTTCAATCAAGAGCCTCCTCATTAGAAATCAGGAAAGGCCTCAAATCCACTCTCTAGGCTAGGCTTTCAAAATACATAAAATAAATAATATGCACAGCACTGTATATTATAAAGCTCATACGCACGATTAGAAGATAAATAATTAAAAAGGTAAACATGGAGCATGGAAAAAAACCTCTTAATTGGATTAGGGCAATCACACGATATTTTATACATAAAGATATCAGTTCTTTTTATAGAATTTCTTTTCTAGATAATTATATATGCATTAAACTTAACCATATGTTTGTTAGTTGAAAGATCAAATGTATTAGTCCTAATAATTTTACAACTATCAAGAGAATATATATATATATATATAATTGGGAGACACTTTAAACAAATGGTTACAAAGGGGAAAAAAAATCTGTCATCTTACTACAAAGCACAAAAGCAGTCAAAAGTGCAATGTTCTTCCTTTAAGCATATTCAGTCCCTGCAGTATGATTGAAAGTAAAGGATCTTTGAGGACTATACTAAAAAGGATCCTATCTGCTTTCCCTTTGTTATGGATATGAAAGAGCTAACATTAGCACATATATGGTTCTTGGCAAGTTGCAGGGCCTTGTATTCAATCACATTTTAGCATATCAACCAGCAAAGGAGGTACAGAGAATAATGTAATCTTATGAAGGGAGATGAGTTAGCACCATAATTCTAGCAAATGCCAAGAAACTTTGTGCTAATGGAGTGCCCTCTTTCAGGAAAAAAAAACAGTGATTAAGTAGCCATGTATTGATATATTTATTAGATGCACCCTTGTCTAATAATGGAAATCTCAAAAGGCGCATTCATAAGTTTCAGTGATGATGTGACTAGATAAACGGAGTAGTTCACTTTTCTGGTCTGACTCGTCTAAAGAGCTTCCTTTTACCAATTGAATAGCCCGGTTGCGTGATTGGAATCCCTGGTTTTAAGGATACTAACTTTGCCTATAACACACAAATAAATAAATAAAAGAACATACAACTAATTAAAACTCCTCCCAATTGGAATCCCATGAATATTAGTTAATTACCATGATGTCACAAAACCTTTATATTTTCTTTTATTTTGCCAGATGGTGTCAGAATATCAAACAGGGAGAAGATTACAATCTTCATTTCCACAAAAAGTTCTTCAAGGTTCGCACGCCCTCAAGTGATGCATAACACTCAGCAGAAAATTAAGACAGAGTAAGGATAAGGAGTGATGGAATGGTATGTCTCAATAAATAGAAAATGGTGGTGTGCAAATCACCATGTTATTGATAATACTATCTAGATTTTTGCAGCATAGGAACATATTCAAATGCCAAGCGTTAAGAGTACTGATGGCAGAATTAAGCATGTCTTTTTGAAGACCATTCTTGATGCAATCAAAATTCACTTGAACATAAGCTGTTAAAGGCATTTTATGTCCAAATCTTTCCAGATAATATATAATTTCCCCTGCAAGAACAAATTTCACACCTGCTAGAATCTCAATTACACAGAGGATCCTTATTGGGTAAAAGCAGCTGCTATCTTTTTGTGGACAAGCTCCACTCCAAGTCGAGGAGATATTCTGGGTAAAGTTTCCTGGAAGAAAGAGAGTGTTGTGTAAGATGATGTAAATGCTTATCTAATTCTAAGATCATTCAGGACGGCAATGCATGGGGCTTCCGACAGGTTGATTGACATAAAGTAGACTGGTCAAAATAAGTTTCCAACATTATTAGGCACTACTTTAATATTCTATAGAATTTTTATAAAAAGGTATGTACGATTTGAGTGTCAACAGGATCCCATCATTTAAAGCAAATCGCTAGGTTGAACAGAATTCAGCTTGCCAATTGTAAACAAAAAAACTTAGAATCTCAAACTATGCCCACGAATTGGGCTGGAAAGTCAGATTTGAAAAAGAAATGGTCAAATGATAAATTTTTAATCTGAATCTGCCTTTGCCAATCAGCACTTGGATCAGTTAGATGCGTACGCATGTGGAACTGATGGGAGTGAGAAATAAAACCAGGTATAAAGGCTTCAAAAGAAGAACTAAAGAGATGTCACCTGAAAGTAACCTCACACAAAAAGACCAGGAGAAGTAAATTGTAATGAATCATTGTCAAATGGGGGGCAGGAACTCGAAAGGAAAAGGAGTGGGAGCAACGGAACATATTTCATCATCACTGTTTTCCGTGTGCAAAACAGAACTTTGCCAATGACATTGTACATAAACAAAATATAACTGGTTTCAATGCCAACTTGACTAATGACGGAATGAAAGTCCGTCAATAATCCTCATCCAGAACAGAATAGAGGTAGCATCTAAATGAACGACTTGCTTGCCGATTATTCTATAATTTAGCAAATCAACAAAAATTTTGTCCCACATTTCTGGAAACAGCTCCCATTAGATGTCATTCACTCAGATTATTTGCAGCCCATTGCAAAAACAAGTCCATCTCTTAGAGACTCATAATTTGTACAATAATTAAGCCTTGAGAAGTAACTCTCAATAGATTATTTTGACCAGTCATAAAACTAGAAAAGCTTAGCGGAGTTTATAAAAATTTAAACATTAAACAAAGTCCTTGGGGACAAAGTTGTGGCACCTGCAATTATTAACAAACAGTAGCTGCCAGTCACGATCATTTGTTACTGGCAAAATGCTAAAGTTTGAAATGAGAGCAAGTCTCCTTCCACCTCTCCAACAAGCTTCACACTTTATGAATCAATATCATCTCTAGAGCACTTATTCTCATCCTTACCATCTTCTATTGCAACGATCACTCAAGGAAGAGGACACAACATAGATAGGTGGACCTTTCCAACATTTTGAAACACACTTTTTATGGATTATGACCTCCAAAATTTTGGATTAACTTGGTGCAGTTTTCATTATTGGTGGTGGATGATTGATGCCAATTTAAACAAAGTCGTTTGATTAGCAAGACAACATATTGTATCCCCTCAATGGACCATTGGTCAGATTTGGATCCTATCTATCTTACAAATATATCGAGACAAATAATATCTGAAAGCCTGTTTCACTATCTTCAATTTCATTCTGTAAACCAGAGCTTATACTCCTTTATCCTTATGAAGAAATCTCTCTTGCAAAACTTTTCATTCCATCCCAAATACAAATAGCTATTAAGCCTTTCCCACCTATTAGCTGCTGAATTATACTTCACCTCATGCTGTCATATTATATTTATCGCTATCAAACTGCAGTTCTCTCTCTCTAAGCTGATAATTAAATATATGCCCTACACTTGCTAATCTGTCAACAAAATTTCCTAATTTATTTGTCCACTAAAATTCGGCTTTCAAATTTGACGCCCTGATCACCCAAAACAAATCCTGGTTCCCTCTGAACAAATTTTCCCTACCATAAATCACAATGAGCAAAAATTAACTTAAATTGGAGCAATATGGGCCAAGAAACACAACATATATTCATCACAAAATCACCACAAACTTGAAGCTTCAAATTTGTTTTTTTTTTTAAAAAAAAAAAAGGTGAAATAAGCATCTAACCTCAGTGCCATCAGATAGTAATTTGGCCAAAACAGGTATCTCATACTGGTAAGCCCTCTCCCAGTCAGGATTGCTGGTAATATCCCTTATCTGATAAAATTCAAATATATATCATTAAAATACAAATTCGTGTGAATGAAAGAGAGAAAAAGAGGGCAGTAAAATCAAGTGGGGTTACCTGTAAATCAACATCCTGGAGGGAATGAGAGCCAGAGAGCAAGAATGCCGCCTGGAGCTTCTCTTTAAGGCCATCACACAAACAACATCCAGGCTTCGAATAAAGAATCAGTTTTCTTCCACTTGCTGACCGTGAAGAAGAAGAAGAACAGAAAGCCAAAGGAGTGAAGACCCATTTCCGTCTTTGTCTTGTTAGTAGGGGTATTGAGGATGGCTTTGTTGCTACTGCTGCTATTGTTGCAATAGCCATTGCTGCTAATCCTCCTGTCTGAGTAGGATGTTTTTCGCTCTCCAGAATTTTTGTCAGGCCAGTTATTGCTTTTGGAGATTGATAGGCCCACCCATAGAGACTCTTCTGATGAGGCCCATATATCATTTGTGGGCCTTTAGTCCAAACTTATAGTTTATTTAGGCCCGTGATCTTTTCGGTTATTCTCAACGTCATATTTTGCACCCCTCTTTTTTGAATGAAAAATTCTTATTAACCAAAAGGGAGTAAATTACAAATTAGTCCTTCTTATTTTGAAAAATGAATGAATGAATTTTTTAAAAACACTAATCATTTAGTTCTCTGTGTTTTGATTTCATCAATGACTTTGTTTTTTCATCAACTTTTAGTTAAATTAATAATTTTTATTTTCAAATTATCATTTTTTTATGTCTTATTTATCTCTTTCATTCACTTACTTTCTCTCTCCTCGACCATCAACTCCTTGACAAAGTTGAGAGAGAATTTAACATGATGGTCGAGGAGAAAAAAACTTATTGAAGAAATTTAAAAAAAGGCCACCATGATAGTTGAAAAGAAAGAAAAAAAATTAGTTAAAAAGAGAAATAAAGCATCAAATGAAAGGGTACTTTAAGGGGAAAAAATCACTAATTTAACCCAAAAAAACTAAGGAAATGGCTAAGTTATTGACAGAATTAAAACATGAGGACTAATTAATTAGTTTTTGAATGAGAGAGAACTAATTAATTCATTTTTCTAAACTAAAGGGACTAATTTATAATTTACTCATCAATAAGGGACCAAAGTAGAAGCTTACCTACTTACCAAGCAATGATGCCAACACAAACTGAAACTATAGAAAATTCCAGTTACACTATGAACAATTCATCTTGTCAGTTCCTCCACATCCATCTCTCATTTGAATGTATCCTCCTGTTTCTTTCCATCCAAACTCCATAGATGGTAGAGCACCAAGCAAGTAAAGTTTGAATGCTATTACTATTAAGCTACCTGGTGCTATTCCGGTAAAATTTGACCAAAAACATGTAATTAAATATAAATCCTACGTACACAAAGGTTCACTTCATTTTTTCTTTTCTGTTTCCTAATTAAGATTTGAGTTGATATATTTTTTATTCCTTGGAGGGGGCAAAAAAGTTCACCCAAGGAATTAATAGATTGCGGGATGGAAGTTTTAGGCAGTTTGATTATTTATTGAGTGATTTTGATAAGGATAAAGTCAATTAATGGGAAATCAGCATGGGATTCGGTTTTCCCATTCAAATCTATTTTCTCATCCCTTTTCTAATGGCAAACCTTAAAAATGGCTATAGCCTTAATTTTGACTCCAAGCAATTTTTTATATCAATTTTATTTATTAAATTTCAAAAACACAATTAAATCTATCATTTTATATTAATTTGATCATGGATTCCAATCAAATCGTAAGTTTTTTTTTTTTTAATAAACGAGGCTATTTTATAGGAAACTTAACTTTTTTTGTTAAGGAATTTTAACAAAAGATCTCAATTGATAAAATCAAATTTTTTTGACAACCAAATGATTCAACAAATTATTTAGGGGCAAAATTTATACTAATTTAATTGTTAGGAAAATTTTTTGAGGTTTTCCCTATGAAATCAGTATTTTTCAATGCTAGCTACTTTCTCTTTCCTCCATACAAAATTACATTGCTAAATATATTTCAAAGCGTGCAGCTTCAAGAGGAAAGGAATTAAACCAAGAGAGAAATATACTTTTCTCTTATATTCAGTAATAAATAAATAGCAAAACATAATTAATATATATTTGAAATTACAAGTGCCTAGTCTAAATTAAGGCTGTTGAACAGTGCTGATTGACTTCATTTTCACCAAAGCATTGTCACCCCTTTTGCGGTCAGAAGTGACTTCTTGCATGTACGATACGGTGCTGCACAAGTTATTAATCACCACCAAATTATGCAAGAACCTGGTTAGGAGATTTATTATTATTATTATCATCATGGGAAAATGGTAGTCATTAATTCTTTGATTATTGTTTCCAGCACCAATGACAGCCTTAATTAGTAGTAGCAACATTGATTGTTGTCACCGGCAGTTCTTGAGGATGATCATCCTTTTCATCAGTGGTGGATACTTCTGGGGTAGAGTAATCCTTGCTTTTACCCCAAACAACAAAATATAAGCCGATTACGATTACGATGCCTCCAATAATACTGCATGTGGTTTAATGAAAAAGAGTCTCGTGTAAGTTTGAGAAAAAAACCATAAATTAATTAAATCAAGGGTATTAACTATAAATCATTAGTTGCTTTTAGGGAATCAGATCAATTCCTATAGAGTAACCTGCATCTTGTAAATAATTCTACGTGCACTCATTCTACAAAACTTGCTCAATTTGTTCATTCTATATATCGCAATTTTGTTAGTAGAATGCAAGATAAAATACAGTAATAACAAAGCTTGGGAGATACATATGTATTTATACCTTCCAAGATGAAGTTTCTCGGCTAAAATGAAAGAAGAAAAAAGGACAACGATGATCATGGTCAAGGGATTAAAGGCTGTTACGAATACTGGGCCTCTTGTCTTCATCACATGACCTTGCACATAATAAGTGATCCCAGAGCCAACAATCCCCTGAAACAGTACCAATATATATATATATATATATATATATCCATGCATGTTTGTTAAGTAATCATATTTTATTGCTCTTATTTTGAAGAAAAAGAATGCATTATTTCAAATAATTAAAACTCTCAAATTCAGGACTTACAGTGTAAAGGGGAGTGAAGAGCCTGATGTCCCAACCAACGGCCCATGAACCAGGGTGGTGTGCTACAATGAGTGCTATGACCAAACTTTGAATGCTGCCCGCCAAGCATATCAGGCAGGTTAGGCTCAGTTCTGCCGGGTACTTCTTTATCGTTTTCAACTACATCGAGACACAAACCAAATTAAGAAGCTTCAGGGATGATGACAGAAAGAATTCTAATGATAATATATGATACTAATAATTAATATAAATAATGTTGAGAATAGGGCAATAGGCCCCTCGCACTAGCTAGATTCAAATATTCTATTCAAATAATTAAAGCATATTTAATTCCATACACATTTCAAGTTTTGGTTCTAAATTAAAGGTTAGAATTAAAATATTCATAACAATAGTTGAATCGCATTAATGAGAATTTAATCAGGAAATAAATTAAAAATTCCAGGTAAAAGAGTGTGTGTGTGTCTCTCTGTTAATTGGTGGTTTCTATATATATATATATATATATATGCACCGTCAAAATGCTGGGAAAAAAAAACACATGTGCTGGTCAGGTAAAATTAATAATTACCTGCAATACGTAGAAAGCGGCCCAGGAAACACAACCAACAAAGAGCAAAAGTGTTCCGGCCACCCAATGTTTATCAGACGAGTCAGTAGTACTTCCATGGTGGCTTGTTTTCTCTGACCATGGTAGATCAATGACTGCACCTTGGTACATTGTCATAAGCAAAGCTCCTCCAAAAGTTACTAGGGTCCCGATAATCTTAGCTTCACTGCGTATCTCCTTAATTCTCACTCGCTCTAACCTGTTGACTCCCAGATATTATTTGTATACTTTACTCATTCTAGCTACTCATCAAATATTACATACACTTGCTATAAATTGAAAAGGATACATGTCAATTACAATTTCATAAGATGTTTAATACGAGGTCCATCCTGCCACTAGTTTGATTTAATTCTGTAAAATTCATCAATCAATTTTCTACAGCCTTTATTTTGTCAAAAAAAAAGAAGAGATAATTATATTATTTATTAAGTGACCTATTAAATTCTGGTTACATAATATATATATATATATATATATATGACAGGAAACAATTACATGTGAGGTAGACTTTAATAGGCATGATTGATTGTATAATTTATTTAAAGACCAGATCACTTGATAGTTTTTCATAAATATTGCAAAGTTAATTTGGTAAAATGAATATGTACGTAGAGCCATAATATATAATTAATGGAAGCAGCTGTCAAAGGTCGTACCCACAAATCATAGCGATCACAAAGGTAGCAGAGGGAACAACATTGACAAAGGCAGCTGCAAAAGTCGCTGATGTGTATTTCAATCCCAAGTAACCGAACCCTTGGTCAAGGATTGGCCTGAATCAAGTTCAATTCGTGAATAGATAGATAAAGGAAAAGCCCTCTGGTGCCTTTTAACTTGCATAGATACCAAATATGATGTCTAATTAAATGAGGCTTAATTTTGCTTAGAAAACATTTCTAATTAATTTCATCTCACGTATGCGTATGCGTATGTATCTAACCAACTGTACACACACACACATAAATTAGAGAGTCGTTTTAATGCGTTACTCTAGGAGTGCCAGAGCCATTATCTGTAAGACGACCGAGAGCGTCATCTTTGGCCTTATTTTCCTGTGAAATGACAAAAGCAAAATTAGTTTATCTAACGTCAGAAAACATATATAATTAACCATAAGTTCAGTTGTGTAATATTAATTTATGCGCGGAGGAGATGGAGACCTTTCAAGAAGGAGTGCGAAAGGAGCAAAAACAAGTGCAGCGACACCGTTGCGATACACAATGAGCACGTAACGGTTCATTCCGCGGTGGAGACTTAGCATGTTCAGTATGCAATTTCCTGCCGATCCAAATTGCGTGCACACCATAAGGATGTAGGGTGTCATCCTGATGAACATTGCACTTGATTTGCCACTGCATGCTGGATCTCCCATCTCTATCCCTCTTTCTCCCTCCCTCAAATATTAATCAATGGAAACCGAGTGAATTAATTATGAGATTGGACTGATAAAAATGTCCTTCTTAAATAACCAGCAAAGGCAGAAAGATAAGATAGACCCACTTCTTAAGAAAATATTATAGTAATATTTTTTGCTTTGCTTACAGAGTAATGACCAGTTCAATTATCCATGCTGATTTTTTTAATGATAATTATTTATTGCTTAGCCTAAATTCGTGCATGGCTTTCTTTCTAAGAGATGTCTTAACTCCTTTTCAATAAATATATATTTGTTTCTAGCTAAACCCCGGTCCAAGTCCATAAAAACAGCAGCTGCTGTGTGGATAGTAGCTAGAACAAAATCAGAAAAACAGTTTATATATATATATATAAAACTTACACTGAGAGAGATTCACATTTCAGTAAGCATTAATTCTTTTCAGATAATAATTAGTTACATTTACTACCAATATTGTAGAGGCTAGGAATCTTTTCGATTGATAGGATATACATGGAATGAAAACTGCAGGTGGAATCCCCGCTGCCCTTCACAATTTATACACAGTGATACGCGGCATAAATATAGAAGCAACAAAAGTACATTTTAATTGGTCCATCAATTGTTTTTCTTTTCATTCTTCACCTGCATGCATTACTTCATGTTGAGATGTGAATTAATAAATTACGTAGATGATTTCTTCGTGGAAGCAAACCAAATGGAAGGAATTTACGTGTGTACACTTTATTTTCCTGTCCATTATTGTTATATACCATTAATACAGCTGGTACTTCCTGCATTTACGAATTATGAGATAAGTTCAGAGTGGCGCATTTTGTTTGTTCTTCAAAGTGGAGATTATCTAGTTAGAGATATGACTTTTTTTATTTATTTATCCGTGAGGCATGCACTTTATAATCTGTCCATCCAAAACTTGTACACAGTGTGTACACGTATTGAAAATCATAGCATGAGCAATTAATTTATTAATATTTTTGTAGATATTATGATTTTTTTAAATATTAATAGTTGGGTGAAATGGAGGATGAGTAGATTGATACATATATGTTAAATCTTAGAAATGCTTACAACTCACGAGTTTGGCTAAATTACAATATATATATATATATATATATATATATATATAACGGACAATGTTGAAGGATACACTCCAACCTCAACATGACATGTATGTGAGAAAAATTATTACCAAAACATAAGACCAAAAAGCAAAGCCTCCCATATGGGGCATCTTTATTGTCGATAAATACAATTGTAAGTCTCTCATTGGTAGATTTAATATTTTTTTTCAAGTGGTATCAAACTAGGCCTATGAATCTACAGATTAATTGGGTTTGGCTCACTGAAAATATATATATATAATGAGGAATCATAGCTCTATCGTATATATATTTCTTTGAGGGAAGAGTGGATAAAATTAGAAAGTACGCTAAGGATGATCGCCCAAAAAAGAAAAAAAAATCTTATAATTCATTTGATAAAATTGAGATTCAAATCAGCAGAGCCCAAGGTCACACCCAAAATCTTTGTCAACTGAACCATCAGCCATCTTAATTAAATTTTAAACTGTTCCATTTTTCAGATTAATACCACAAAAAGAATAAATCCAGAATCAATTAAATAGATTGCATCTAACCTCTCCTTGTGGTTCGAATCTTTTCCCCCCTTGAAGCATTCTTTGGGTTCAAGCTTCTGAGGCCCTGTGAGTGAGTGTTTGCAGGATACTAGCAAAGATTTACACGAGCTTCCTCTCTTCATGGGCCGGGTTTGCATGAATATTAACACCGACACAATCACCAGCTAGATTTTTGCAACCTAGCAACTTCTTCTTCTTGTTGTTTTTTTTTTTTTTTCTTTTGAGCTAGCTTTATAGGAATACGATAATTAATCAAATTTGGTAGATTTGGCACAGCACTATCAACTAATTGAATGTTTAGATATCATTCTTAAGCATATTCGTTATTCATTAAAAAAAGAAAGAAAGAAAGGCATGCTTTCCCTTTTGTGGCTGAAAGTGAAAGTGTCCTAATGAGATATCACTTTCAAAAGTTTGACAGAAAGACATATCCAAGTCTAAAATTACGCAGCAGCAGAACATGGGGACTTCCAATTGGTTGATTGACACAAGGGTAGAGACTAATCACAAAAAGATTTCAGCATTATTAACCACTAAATTAATCTTCTGTAAAGTGTTATCAATATAATAGTATGTTTCATTATTAACCATTTAAAGCAAATTACTTGCCAAATGCAAACAGCAAAACGTTAGAATCCTGAACTATGCCCATGACTTAACGGGGCTAAAAGTCAGAATGGAAAAGGAAGACATGGTTGAATTTTAGTCAATGAAGTGAATCTGCATTTGCCTGATAGTATGGCTACTGAAGGTGGCTGCTCCACGCTGTTTGCTATTGATGCAGCAGCCATTCCTGCCAGTACTGCAAATCCTCTCTGTTTATGTTAGTTTTTATTGCAGGGACAGTGAGTCCAGCTAGGAATGATGGTTTTTTTTTTTTCGTTATAAAAGAGAAGCTTGAATCCGAGATCGGAAAGGAGATATTTGGTACCAATTGAAATGAGTTACAGGATTCTTTGCGTTAATGTCAGGCTGTTACTCCAAGTTAAATTCTTCTTTTTCGTTACTTTTGAGACCTTGGGCCATCTGTAACTATGAACAGGTCCATTACTCTTGTGAACTTTCGTTCTAAGAAATCTTTTTAAAGAACTATCAGGCCGGAAATTTTCAGCTCTAGCATCCTTAGTTATAATCAGGCCCATAAATGCTTCTCCTATAGACCGCGATCATTGCTGGTTGAGTCCCTTTTTAAATTACTTCGGCTATTTCCATCAAGATATTTCGCTTATGAATATTTCAAGCATTAACTTTGACTTAAAAATAAACATTTTAAATTTCAACCATACGGAAGAACTGACATTACCTTCCCGTATCCAAGAAAAAAGAAATTCATGTTCATAAATTATTCAATTAGTTGCACAAGAAAAGCACGATGACCTTCTAGGCAAGGGGCTCAGTGCATTGACGTTAAATTTGCATAACAATTACCAGCAGCAACATCCTCAGGACACTGGTAGTTATGCAAAGGTGCTACAGATTTAGGAACAGAATGTCCTAAGAGTAGCAACCGAGTCCCTTTCATTTCAAGGAAATACAGCTATGCCTATCAAATTTCTGTCATCACCGGTGTATCCTGAAACTATGAAATCAGCATTCTCCACTATTACTTTGTTCTTTTTCCTCTTTTTTCTTCACTTTCCTCCCACAAAATGCGACAGTGTTCTTGGACCCGAGCTATCTCGCACCTCCAAGAGGTAAAAATCAAGAAACAAAAAACAAAAAACACTGTGTACAATATTCTAAACACATGGTTCGGTTTTCCAACAAATATTAAGATTATATAAGCTTCTTCTTTTGGAAGTAACTCTTCAAGTGCCACAGCTGCAAAACGGAAACCACGATGCAGACCCCAAGGGACATGATACTGAACCATGCCACTCTAGAATTGGTTTTTTCACTGACCTCTCTCATGTCAGCTTCCCTGTAAGTAACAACCAACAAACAAGTAGAATTAACAGGAGGCAACTACATTTGATGAGTCTAAAGGTTTTTAAGACTAGACATCACAGCACATTTAACTGTCGATTGGTTATTGAAAATACAAAAATGAGAACAAAAATTAAGAAATTGAAATGATATTTTTATTCCAATGCTATATTTGGAACAGTAATAAAAAAAAATTTAATATCTAATTTTTAAGATAAATAAAATAATAATTAAAAAACTAACTTCATCAATTATCATGATAGTAAAAATAATATCGGTGATTGTAGCGTTAATGATGGTAGTGGTAATACTAGTATAGTAATAATAATATGATGTTTTTAAAAAATTGATGCCATCAACATAAGAAGTGACATTGGAAGAAGAGTGATGGTGGTGGTAATATAATAAAAGTGACATTGGCAGAAAAAGAATGGTGATGGAATAGTAATAATAATAAAAAAATTTATCACCACCACCAATGGCGGTGTCTTGGTGTCATGGTAGTGCTAGTGGTGGAGGCAATGATAGTGATAGAAATAGTTAATAAACAATAAAAAATAATATATTACTATTTTGAAAAATCTCATTTTCATTCTTTATTTTTATTCTCACCTTTTCCATTAAAATATAACTATATTTAATTTTCATTCTCATTTTCACTTCATTCCTATCAATCAAACATCTACAAAGTAAGGAAAAAAAGAAAACTTTCATGCTCATTTCTTATTACCAAACAACACTTTAGAGTTTGAGTTACTTGGCTTTGCTTGCGCTGATGCAATGTCACAAGTTTGCTCTCTCTTAACAAAACCTAAAATGACTTTATTATGACCAGTGCAGCTCTATTTGTTCACAGATTTCACTAACTCGACTTTTCAGAACATAAAGCAAAAGGCAATTCATTCCTCTTCTTCACTTGTATCAGCTTCATCATAAATTATAAACTGTCAAACTAAGAATCCTTTCAAAACGAGAAGTACCCCATATACGTTGGCAATTCATATATCAAATTGGGCTTTATCTTCATTAAAAACCTGGAAATGACCAGGTTTAAGAAATAACGAAACAGGAAATTTTTTATACAAGAGAAGACAAAGCAAAGAATGCAATAGTGAGGTATCCTCTGTTAAAAAACAAGATTCAGTTATACCTTTGCTTGAGATAGATTAGATTATTGTGGATGGCCTCTGCATGATCTTTAAGTCTCCTTACTTCAAGTTCAACACCCTGTATATAGTTATAAACCCAATTTATCGAACTACAAAATGGGAACAAGGGAATGCAAGACCACAGCATCCAAGTAAAAGACTGCAGGGCAAGGGAAAATTTAAGAAACTTGCCTCAATCTTTTCTTTCTTTGCCACAGATTCCCAATCCTTCGCAGCGATTCCAATTTTCCAGTCAAGGCTCAGAGTTATACTCACAGCTGGTTCCTGATGGCCATCTAATGAGAAACATGCCAAGTAGTTACCAGCCTCAGTGGTTGTAAATGCAAACTGGCCATGAGTCACATTTTCAGTGTGATGAAGGTTGTTGCCATATGGGGATGTTACCTACCAGAAGAGAAAAGACTTATAAGTTGGACAAGAAAAAACTCATCTCCCAACCATGCATCAGCACATGCTTGTTGCATAAGCTAGCATCGTGTACAATATTGAATGACGGGAGAAATTAATGCCATTAACACGCCAACCATAAAAACACAAGCTTTAGGATAAATCATAGTTGTTTTCCACTTAGTTATGTTTACTTAGTAGTGAAATTAGTAGTCTATTTGCACATTTGTGTTCAGTATGTAGGAGGACGATGGTCAGGCTTAAAATAAGATGAATATCTGACATAAAAATAATTGGCAAATAAAAAAAGAGCATAAACATAATCAGCTATTGAAGAAACAGTTTTTTTCCTGTCTTTTTTTGTTTTAGATTCATTATGACATGAAGATCATACACCGCTTTGACATGCCCAGCAAAATCAAAAATCCAAAATAGAAAATGACTTGATCTACTTGGCTACTTGTGAGAGAAGGACGCTTCCTGAAGATGTGATACTTGAATAACCTTCAAACATAACCCAATATTTACACTGATAAATTACGCTGTAGCACACAAATTGTATAACGAGAAAATTCCCAGATTCATGTCTCAAAAGTAATCTTAGCATTAGCAGGACAGCAAATATCCATCATATGGTTTTCAGAAAAAGCAATCTGGCATTAAATCTCATTCCCAACACACCCCAAAACACTCTCATGTCAAGGTTTGCTCTGCTGAATGGATGCAAAAACCCTTAGAATCGTCACATTTAACTATAAGAGAAGTTCTGTCTGAGTCACTTAATAGAAAGTCCATACAAAACGTAACATAACTAAATGTAAGAAACTAATGTAGAGAGACGAAGAGATGATAATTATGGCTGCAGCATGTTTCCTCGTTGTCATAAGAATTTCATCATACTTCTTCATAACAGCAAGTGACATTGTGTCATCCCATTAACTTCCCTTTTATTTTTAATCACTGGCAAATTTATCAAGTTATTGTCTTCAGCTATAAACTATATCTATAAACTTAACAATTAGCCATTGATAATTATATATACTTTAATCTTAGCCTTTCGAGATTACTTCAACAATTAAAGGAATGTATTTACCAGGAGGAAGAGCGAAGCAGTGGAACCAACTTTACTGGATCATACTTAACAAACAAAATTGCAAAATTTCCTTCACGAGAAAACAAATCACTTCCAGGAAAACTAACATGATGTTAACAAAATTAAGGCTTCCAATAATGAAAAATAAATCTCAATAAAGCAACAGGTAGGCCTTCCGATTGTAATGCAATAACTTTAGCATAAAAAAATTTCTTCTTTTGGGCATTTATCTAATCCAAAAAAAAAAAAAAAAAAAAAAAAAAAAAAACCTCTAACATGACAAAATTTGTTATTACAAACATCAAAAGGAGAACATAAAATTGAATCCTAGACACCCAACCACTATATCTGACATAGAGAAATCAAGCTCAAGAGGCACCAACAAAAAGCATAATCAAAGATTAAGAAGAACCTTACCAATTAATCGATACTAACAAAAACGTAATCAGACGTATAGAAATAAGAAATTCTGCATAATCATGTGCATATACGTACCCGGACAGTAACAGTAACGGGGTGTTGGGGATGTTCTTCGTTGATAACATAGTAATCAGCCAAAACAACCACGCTGTTCTGGATCTCCTCCGAAACACACTTGCTTCCCGAGTTAGGGATTGATAACCATATAGCTTCTGCTACTGGTACTATATGGTTACTAGCCGTTAAACAAAACAAGATCAGTGACAACAACGTTACTCCAGCGCGTGAATTACAGATCCTCGCCATCATGGAAAACAAAATCTGTAAAGATGAGGGACGGAGAATTTGCTTTCATAAAAGATCCCTTTTCTTTCTGCTTTTGTGAAATTAGTATTTCTTATTCTGGTTTTTTAGTCTGTGGATGCAGCAGCTGTTTGTTGAAGGCGAGTAATTAATATTGTTATTTGGAGGACTTGGACTAGCGCGTGGGGTTTGAATAAATATTTGGTAATAAGTGACGTAGTTTGTTGGGATTGCCCAATAGTGTTTGTGATGCTTGGTCCAGTTAGGACAGCGAACCTGAAATCTAGATCGTTTCCCACGCGAGATGTTCTCGGTTACTTTGGGGCCTTAGGCACCCCTGCTTTGAGAAGTACTGTTACTGGTTCTGTCTCGGTAAAATTCTTCTGCGGTAATCAGCCAAAACAACCACGCTGTTCTAGATTAACAAGGGAGCCTTTTTTAAAAAAAAATCTTATCTACCTATCACTCTTCTATATAGGTATTTGAGGTAATTAAAAAAATAAATTTATGTGGAGAGATGAGGGAATTTTTGAAAGTATACAAAAAAACCATAGAAGATAAGTTTTTTAATGACAAATATGATTATTATTACGGTGGAGCCAAAATCTAACTATGAAGTCAATTGATCCAGTTGGATTTCAAAAACAATACTCCTACTTAGATGAATAGGAAAAGATATGTTCAAAATGCAAAAGTTTGATTACCATATTTACGCCTGGAGAATAGCGAGAAAAATTCATGATTTCACTTAAAAATTAATCTTCCTTATCAAATTTAATGTGATATTTTTGTCTAGAAAATGTTTAACAGTTAAGCAAAAATTTTAAAACTCAACATCGATTATCAAATTTAATTTTTTATACGATAATTTTAATCTTTATATGTAGATAACAACAAAACATACTAACGTTAATTAAAAATTTCTGTCATTGCATAATTTTTTTAACCTAATGTACTCTAGTTTACTTTTCTATTTTAGTATTTTTATACATAATGATATTCTTTTTAAAATGTATTCTTGTTGTTCATTTGGCCCTATTCATTATTTTTAGTTTGTTACACCATTACAAAGATGGGAAGGGGGTTTTGAGGTAGAGAAGCAAAACCATATCGCAAGTAAGCCAGTCCTCACTGTTGTCACGTAGGAGTAGTTACGCACGATGAAACAAATCAAAATTAGTGGTCCTAGATACGGGCCTGTGGCCAGATTTCATGTCATTTAACCAGGCGTGGATTCAGGTAAAGGTTTTGTCTAGTTTGGCCCGATAAATAGCAGATCAGGCTTGAGCATAAATTCGGCCTAACCCGATCAGATATCCATGTAAAGGTATATTTCTGTTTTTACGATTTTTATATTAACTAGTTTTGTTGCCACAGATTTCGCACGTATATTGTTCAATTATATATTAAATTACTCGATTGCTCACAGATTGTTGTGGTTTGTTATTGAAAATGATAGGTTTTATTCATTAAACATAGAGATTTGAATTCGACAAATCAATGAATAGCACTCGCTGCATGTAAAAATAAATAAATTATACGCTACTTTTAATTAAAGATGAGGGGACATAAATTCTAGAAAAATATTAAATTTAAATATTTATATAAAAAAAGGAGATAGTAGATATGTATATACATGTGATATGGATATAAATTGTCAAACAAAAAATTATATTGAATTGTATATTAAATAAAATTTATAAAGAAAAATAAGAAGAAAAACAAAGGTACAGAGAGCATACCTGATATTGAAGAAATGGTATATATATGTGTATGTGTTTTTTAAAAAGTAAAATTACTAAGTAGATTTCAAATAAGTAACTAATCAATAGAAATATATTTATTATATAAGTTTGTATTTCATAATAATAATTGTATATTAAATTTTATTTTTAATCAAATATTACTTTTTTTTAATATTGATATTATCAACACAAAAAATAAAAACTACCATGTATCCTGTAATGACAGCACCAGAATAAGATAAATCTTAGAATCTCTAGAAGAAAAAAATAGATACTTAAAACTTATGAAAAAAAATAAAAGATTTAATATATAGACGTTTATAGATAGATAGATATATAGTTTTTTTTTTGTTTTTTTTGTCTAGTATTTTTGTGGATTGGAGACTAATAGTTAAATCATAATTAGTTAGAAAATATAATAATTGATTAATGGAGGCTAATTATAAAAAAAAGACACGAATACTAATAATTAGCTATATATCCAAGATAAAAGTTAATACAACTACTGATAGTAATTAATTCTGATTAAAAAAAAAGTACTGAAAGAAAGAAGAAAACGGGAAATTTAATAGAGGCTAGTTATGGAAAAGGAAAAGGATTTTAAGAATAAAAGTATCAATTTTTTTAAGAAAGCGAATAAAAAAATATTAAATTCTTATTCTAGGCATTAAGTTAGTAAAAAATTAAGAGCATCTTAGTCGAATCAAGTGTCTCGACATAGAATTCGTGTTTTTTTATATAATTATGGATTTTTTTTTAAAAAAAAGCTTGGACTTGTACTTGCATTGCAGGGACTGTTTCCAGTATATTTATACATATGCAGTCGCATATTTTGTTTATTTTTTATTTTTATGTCCTCAGTCTACATAACACAATCTCCCGTAGATCCCTACCTCGTGAGTTGTGTTGCATTATTCATGTCAACAAAATCACATACATGAAGCGAAGCGCATGTGATTCATAAATTTATGGGTATATTTCAATTGGTGTTTATGTACTGTTTTAATTTCAACTAAAACTTTCGATTATTTTAATCATATCTTGTATTTTTCACATTTGTCACGCTCTTTGTTTTCGTCCACCTTCGCTGTAAATAGTGACGGAAAATATGTGTAAATTTCAATTTCATTTTTAAAATTAATGAAATATTGCAATACAATTAAAAAGATAAGAATAGGCAAATTAAAATTAAAAAATACATTTTTTTGGTAAAACAAATATGACAGAAGGAGATTTTTTTCATCAACATTGTCTGCCAGTCCTATGTTAATATAACAACAACATTAAGTTAAAACAAACATGACAAAACAATAACAACAACAACAATATCAACCATCATTGATATTGCATCTCTTGAACTCTCTCACCAGCATATCATGTCTAAGTAATTATCAAATTTTTAATCAAAATCTGTTACAAAACCTTAAATAATAATTCTAAAAAAAAAACAAAGGAAATTCCATATGGTTGGAATGGTAGAATAAGGATAAAATAACTTCCAAACCACCTAGAATTAAATTATTTGAATCTTAATTTTCATTTAACTATGGAATTAACATACTTTGAATCTTAATTTTCATTTAACTATGGAATTGACATAGGAAAAGACGACATTGTTAATTAATAATTGAAATCGATAGGATTGGGTTAGTTTTCCGATAAATTAACTATCTTAAGTTTTATCATAATTTTTTTATTAGAAAAAAGAAGAAGATATTTTCTGATTGATTTTTAATTTGTTTATATTCTTGTTAGTTTAATTTTTTTTATATGATATTGAGATATTTCATAAATTTCAAATAAGGAATTGAAATTTACACATGTAATTCATTATTATTTGTAACGGAAATGGATAAAGGGGGCAATTGGAGCAAAAATAAAAGACATCGAGGTTGATTAGAATAGCAAAGAAAGATATCGATACTGATTAAATAAAACTTAAGATTGTGGGTGAAATTAAAATAACATGCAAACCTCAATGTGGTCAAATTGAAATTTACATTTTAAAACCAACATTTTTTTTTGTACCTAAAAACAGTACGAGGAAATAATTTCTCAACATGATTTTGTATTTTAAAAATTAAAGATGTTTAACCATCCATTGATTTTTTGAATTTGAATTCTAGAGTTAGCATCCAATAATGCACTGTGTTGATATAAAGAATGAGTTCTTTTAAGTCTCAGTCACGAGTGCAAAGACAATTATAATTGTCATTGTCATGGATATGTTAATAACTATAAATAAGATTATAATGATTTTAACGCTAAGCATAATAATTCAAACTCAAATTAAGTTAACAATAACGAGACTTAGGTCTAATACAAGCATCAACAACAATAATTCAAACTTGATTTACCATAAAACTTGATATATTTATCCATAAAAAATAATCACAAAATTAAATTTGAAAATTAAAAAATTGAAGAAACTAACTTAAAGATAACAATATCATGGCTAACACAAGAGTTGGTAACTTAATACAAATCTCAATACACTATTTGCGAAAAATGACAATAACATAAAATTTGAAATCTTTGAAATATAATTTACAAAACTAGTTTGAATCGAAAATTACAACGATTAGTTCATTACTTTCCAAGCTAAAAATTCAAAGTTTTTATTTGATTCGTTACAAAAATAAATAAAACCAAAAATGATCTAGATCGCTTGATGAAAAACACGAATGGAAAAGAGTTAAATTAAGGATTAAACTTATTATGTGCTCCCGTACAATATTAAAAATATCGTTGTAATCCCTCTATTTAGATATAGTACATACCAAATCTTGTATTATTAGACTTGGATGTAAAACAATCCCTCCGTTAACTTTTTTCATTACATTGATCAATTTTTATTAGTTGACTTATGTTTGACTAATCAAACCACAACACATGTCAACTCGAGGATAAAAACATATTTTTCTTTTATAATTATTATTTTTTTGATTTCTTTAGTTAAAAAATTATCATTATTATAAAATCATTAAAAATTTTAAAAAACAATTTCTTTAGATTTTTTAAAATTAGCAATAATTATTATAAATTCATTAATAATTTATAAATTTTGATTATTTAAAATAATAATTATAGATTCATTAATAATTTATAAAATTTGATTATTTAAAAAAATATATATTTCAATTTTTAATGATTTTTATAATAACTATTATTTAAAAAAAATAAAACCTAAAGAAATTTTTAATGATTTGAATATAACTATTAATAAAGAAAACTTAAAAAAAAAATCTAAAGAAGCGTTTTTTAAAAGAAACTGAAAAAAACAACAATCAATTTGTTTTTTGAACTTTTTTATTGCAGTAATTAATAATCAATCAAAAATATTAAAATTTTATTTAGATTGTTTTTAAAATTTTTCTTTATTAATAATTATTATAAAATTGAAAAAAATATTTATATTTTTTAATCTTTTGCGTATTAAAATTATCACAAAACTATTAAAAATTGGAAAAATTTATCTCTGTATATATTTATATTATTAAATTTTTCTTTGTCAATAATTATTATAAAATCATTTAAATCTAAAGAAAAACTTGATTACTTTAAATTTTTTCTTTAGAACTTTTTTCAAATTTTAATGATTTTATATTAATTATTTTACCTTTAAAAAAATTAAAAAACTTATTTAAAAAAAATTATATTTTTATCTTTGAGTTGGCACATATCATAACATGATTGATTAGAAGTTTATCAACTAATAAAAATTGATTAATTTAACCAAAAAAAAAGTGACAGATAAATTGATTTGCATTGAGATCTAATAATACAAAATTTATTATGAATTATATTTAAATAGACAAAGTGAAACAATATTTTTCGTATAATATATGGACACGGGATCTATTTGATCCGTTGAATTAAAAGAGTTGACGGTATCATCTAACAAGGAGTAGAATTTGGAACGAGGCAATCCTCGAAGAAAATCAGGAATGACAAGAAAAGAGAAAGGACAGGTCTAAAAGTGTCCTTTAGTTATACATATTTTCTTAATTTTGCTTCCAAATAATTCTCTGCATCTATTTTACTTCCAAACAATTTTTATTTTTCAACTAAAGCCCTCTATTGTTATTTCTTCAATAGAAAATGTATAGTTGTCCGTCAAATGACGTCATTAAAAAAAAGAGTAATGTATTTATTAAAACCTTGATATATATTAGATGTATTCTCTCATATATTATTTTTTAAAAAAATTTACTCTCATGTGTCTTTGTATATTTATATTTTTTCTGATATATCCTGTTTTTACTTTTTGGATAAAAATGCCCTTAGATCAGAAGAATATTTAATTTTCAAAACACACAAAAATTAAATTTTAAAAAATAGAAATTTAATTAAAAAAAACTAGAAAAATTGAAAAGCCTAGAAACATAAAAAATTTGAAAGATTCAAAAAAATAAATAAATAAATAATATATGAAACTAATAATAAAAAATATTGTAATTAATGAAAAATTTGAAATTTCACGCTCTGTAAATTTTATTTTGATGTAATACACATATTAAATTTACGTAGTTTTATGGACATGATTTTTCCATTTTTCTAATTTGAAAAGTTAGTATTATTTTTTTTTTCAATTGTTAAAAATTTTCTAGGTTTTTTAATGCTTGTATATTTTATGAATTTCGCGACATATTCTTTTAAATATCTCAGACTATTTTTTAAATTATTTTTTAGGCTTTTCAAAATTAAATTTCTTTTAGATGATTGTAGGGTACTTTGGTCTAAAAAGCCACAAAAAAAAAAAGACATACGAGAGAAAATTAAAATATATAAGAACATATGAAATAATGCATCTAATATATAAATATAGATGGATCAATAAACCTTAAAAAAAATCAATTAATATTACCTACTCTGAGCAACATGATACCACAACACTCAGGGGTTGGAGGAGTTTCCTTCAACGGGGATAATAGAAAATTATTAATCCGATAAAGAGGGAAAAAAATAGAGAGAAAACACAATCAATGTGTTGACACGTGACAGCATGATAACAGAACAACTATGTGTAGGAGGAAACACAATTTTTCCGTATTCGGTTAAAGTTCATGGAACAAAATCACGCTATGAAACTGAAAAACGCAACTCGTTCTGGGAAGTACAAGACATGTCGTTTAAGTGATTTACTGAGCCACTCATCAACTCTGAGAAGTTGAACCAGTGATCCACGCCCCCATTACTCCCACTCCACCAGCCATGGTCAACGCCAACCGCCTCTCTCTCCTCCTATCATTCACACTCCTCCTCCCCTCTCTCCGCCTCTCCCTCTCCACATCGCCACCACAACAAGAGCCAGATACCCCAATCAACCGCTTCCAACAATACCTGAGATTCAACACAGCCCATCCGAACCCAAACTACTTAGCTCCAGTCTCTTTCCTAACCTCCTTAGCCCAATCCCTCGGTCTGATTATCCAAACTCTCGAATTCATACCTAATAAACCTGTTCTTCTCATAACCTGGCAAGGCTCAAACCCATCCCTCCCTTCACTTCTTTTCAACTCCCACCTAGACTCTGTCCCAGCTGAACCTTCCAAATGGACCCACCCTCCTTTCTCCGCCACTCTAACCGCGGATGGAAAAATCTTTGCACGTGGAGCTCAAGATGACAAGTGCATAGCAATTCAGTACCTAGAAGCAATCCGCAACTTAAAAGAAAGAAACTTTGTCCCTACAAGGACAATACACATTTCTTATGTTCCTGATGAGGAGATTGGTGGGTTTGACGGGGCTGATAAGTTTGTTAAGTCTAAAGAGTTTAAAGATTTGAATGTTGGGTTTGTTTTAGATGAAGGCCAGGCTTCAGTTAATAATGAGTTTAGAGTTTTTTATGCGGATAGGTCGCCTTGGAATTTGATTATTAAGGCTAAAGGAGCGCCTGGGCATGGGTCGAGAATGTTTGATAATGGAGCTATGGAGAATTTGATGAAGAGTGTTGAGGTTATCAATAGGTTCAGAGATAGTCAGTCTGATGTTGTTAAGGCTGGAAAGGCTGCGAACTCGGAGGTTATTTCAGTTAATCCTGTTTTTCTGAAAGCTGGGATTCCTTCCCCAACTGTTAAGTGTTTGTTCCACTGTGTTTTGCCGTGTTGTTTAGATTGTAGTCGTGTTTGTTTATTGATGATAAAGAGGTGTTTGTGTAGGGTTTTGTGATGAATATGCAGCCTTCGGAGGCAGAAGCAGGGTTTGATCTTAGATTGCCTCCTACCGCGGACCCGAATCTTATGAAGAAAAGAATTGCTGAAGAGTGGGCGCCGGCTATACGAAACATGACATACGAGGTAACATCATGATGGGAATTTTCTTCAATCGTAGAAATTTTAGATGGCATCGACTTGTACAATTGAAGATTAAAGGTCGGAGTATCTTTGAATAGGAATCATCTCTTCTTAAAACGAAGCATACTTGATCCCAGATAAGACGCAAGGATTTAATATGGTTGTTGATTTTTTTTTCCTTTTGCATGGAATGATCACAGTTCTCCTCGATTAAATCAACATGGATTAACTGCTTTAAATTCTTGTATATGTTCCTCCATCAAGGCAGCAAAGCTATGCCACCTGGACATTAAAAGGACTGGGACCATCTACCTCCAGGCTCTGTTATGTTAACCGTTCATTAAATCTGCAATAAATATTCTTGGTTATTATCTCTTTGTCATTCAGACATCAACTGTTGCTGAAATTTATTTGGAATTTGTTAAGGAATAGTACTCAAATTCAATGTGATGATCTGGATTACCTTGTTCCCTTCTCTTTGTCTCTTCTTTTAGATTGATATTGTCATTGTGGTTTATGAGTCGCTTGAGAAAATAGATTTAGAAGTCAAACTACATAATTACCTTGTTCCCTTTTCTTTTTCTCTTCTTTTAGATTGATATTGTCATTGCAGTTAAAAGCCACATAATTACAGGTTTTGATTATTTCTGCTAACGACTATTCCAAAGTCAGTGAGAAGTTTAAAATGTCATGATTCCTTGTTCTTGGTGATGGTGTTGCTTTTGGCTCTCAACAACCACAGGGTGCATTAGAGAAATTTGTCTGATTACTTCTTTTATATGATAGATAATTGAGAAAGGACCGTTAAGAGATTACATGGGACGCCCATTGATGACAGCAACAGATGATTCAAATCCATGGTGGTCTGTTTTCAAGCAAGCCATTGCAGCAGCTGGAGGAAAACTTGCAAAGCCTGAAATATTGCCTTCAACTACTGATGCACGGTTCATGAGAGAGTTGGGAATTCCCGTTTTTGGATTCTCTCCAATGACAGATACCCCCATCTTATTGCATGACCATAACGAGGTTTGACAAGTTTCCAAATAAATTATTTTCGCTCTTGCAATTACTTGCTCATGCTTGTTACTTACACCTGTAAGCGTGTATTTGCAGTTCTTGAAAGATGCCGTATTCTTGAAGGGAATTGAGGTTTATGAACATATAATCAGTGGTTTGAGTTTGTTTGAGGAAGCTAATTCAATATAGATAGTCTCAGTTTGGACATAATTGGAGGATCAATGTATGATATGCTGATTTTGTTGCACTGAGTTTGTCACACTGGTAAAATATGCTATATTACTTGCATCATTTTGGTAGTCATAGTTTAATCTTGTTTTGTAATTGCACCTGATTGATAAAATGATCGTTATTCACTTTGCTAATAAGAGTGCTTAGCTATAAGAAGAGTGCCAGAGTTCACTGTAAAAGTACCTTTTCAAACCTTTTTGTAGACTCCATAGGTTGATCGTATGTGCTTTATCTTAGAGACAATATAAATCATATCTTAGGATCTCATCTAACAAATTAAGCTTGTGCGTTGAGATGGTCATTTAGCATGACATCAGAGTTTTGCTAACGTAACGGCCAAGAGTTTGAATCTCATTACCCCACTTTCTTTTTGAATTAAGAATATAATAGCATTATTATTTTGGCACTTTATACATTACTAGAATCTTTATTGATGATATAAGTGAAGGTTTTTTCTTTTATGCATCACAATAGTTATATATGTTAAATATCCAAGGTTTGGATAACCTTATTGTTTGCCAATGTGAATGTGTACAAGAAAACAACAGGAGTCCAGAATATTTCCGTCTAATGCATGTCCTGTTTTAAAATCACGTATTTGCTAAGGTAATTGGAGTAACAGGTTAATGCAGATTCATAGGGAGGATAATACGTGTGCAGATCTTCTTGCTAATAAGGGTGTTGAAATGCAGTTAGGCACTCTTTCAAGTTTGGACGCTTCTGCTCCTGCCATCTTCCATATTTTGTATGTATCAAGATATAGTGGTGGGCCGGTTGCACTGCCTGTGCTTTGGCTCTGTTCATCGGCGCCCCACGCCCTCCCACCCAACCCCCCACCGAGGAAATTAGGAAAAGGAAAAGAAAAGAAAAGAGAAAATCTGTATGGGACTACGGGCAGTCACTTTCTTTTCCACGCTAAACTTCCCAATCCAATTTGAGAATTTGGAGAAAACAGAGATAAGATACCGCATTTTTCTTGGAGGTCCATAGTAATCAGCAAATCAACTGACAGATTGGCCACAAGGGAACATTATCTCTTTTACAACACAATTCAGTGGAGTTACAACATATCACCCCATTCTTATCCCATGGGTAATCGTTCGAGGAAATAAGACAAATCGTCAGGTTTTATAGCACAGGACTATACTATAATTAGGTGACCTCTGAATCATGAGGTTTCTAGATCCACAATAGTACTGGGCTGGATAAGTGGTCCAAACATGGAAATGTTTGCAACTAGCCACGCGAATCGCATAGACGTGCCTCTAAAACTCTTTTAGCATCTAAATTGCACTACGCAGCTGGATGCCTTATTCTTAATTAGGTAAACTTAGGGTTAGAGGTTTGGAGTTTCCATGATTTATGATTTGTAGGTGGGGTCGGGACTTTCATTGCATTCGCAAGAGCGCAACATGTAAAATATGAAATTTAAGTGCCTTCACACGCATGGACATTCTCTAATATGATCTAGCAGTGCGTGACTCTGGATGAAAGGTATTTCGAACAAACTTCCAACCTAACAACCGTAGAACTATTTCGTGCCAGGCAGAATTATGGTCTAGTAGAAATCTTAGCTTATTATGGCCAAAATCTGTAAAGTATCGGCACTTTATGCAAAGACATTTTTAGGCCGTCAGAATCAGTCCAAACATATAATGCAACGTCCAATGAGATAATATCCTTACCGTACACCTCTCGTAAAGAGCTGGGTCAACAAGCTTACCTCACTCTCGAGATGATATATTTGGCTGACAAAAAATACTACTACCATCTATAAAGCATTACGTGAGCCATGACTAATGGATATGGTGGTTGCCATTGATACCTCGTGAAACCTTTTCCTCGAAGTTTCACTTATCTAAGAAAAAAATAATAATATGGATTTGATTCTTCTAAAACCTTACCCACATGGATCTTGCCTCTTCATCCTCCAACATACTCCAATCTTTGAACAACCTTCATTGCACTTTCGCCCATCCCCCTAATACCCCATCGCTTGCATGTTTCCCATATTCACCGGGAAGTGATGACAATGGTCTAATATTGCCATCTGGATTTTTGTCCTCCAGTGGGTAGGTCCTGCATCGTGCTGGCTTGACACTCTCCTTTTTAATACTGGACTACATTATTATAAGTTGCTTTCATACATCTTGCGAAGGTACGGAAAGTTATGGGTACGGTGCCAGTTAAGCAGTCGATCCTACATTCTATAAGATAATCACAAGTACATGTAATATGGTAGATACTGGATACAATGGAAGAAGAAGCATGCATCTTCATTTATGATCATTTTGTAGATTAATCATCAGGTGGGGACTTGGGTAGGAATGGATATTTAGATTGAGCTGCGTTCAGGGAGAGCTGTACATAAAATCCATATATCGATTGTTACTACTTTGATATTTATTAAGGTTTTTGGTCATTTAATTTTTGGCGGGCTACCCATCAAAGTTTCTGTAATTGATTCAAGTAGAGCTTGACATGCACAAAGGTGATCATGCTGATAGAAACCTCTAGGTACCAGCTAGCTAGGGATAGGAAGGTAATATGTTTTCTACGAAAACCTCGTACGTACAAAATCCTGGCGAAAACATATCCCTTTCCCAATTTATCCTGAAATCGGCCATTCGGTAATATGTTTTCTACGAAAAATTTCACTTTAATCTCTCTTTTAAGCTTACAGGCTTTTTCAAAAACTGATTTTTTTGAAGAAAGATCGATTGAGAGATTTATGTCGAAATTACCTTACTATGGCAATTCAATATTTGTATTGACTAATAATTACATATTTGTTATTTTGGTGATGTATTTGTAATGCAATATATGATGACACATGTATTATATAATGAAAAAAATTTTATCAATCAAGGTTATATTTATTATTTTTTTAGTTAAATCAGTATCAGATTATGTTTAATTTTTATTCGATTATCAAACTATATTTTAAGCAAAACCAATTCAAGTCCAATACAATTGATTATATAAATATAATACAAAATTCTTAAAATCTGATCAATAAAATGCGGAGAGGGCAGGAACCAGACCCACCCTATTGCCCTTGCCATCCTCAATAATACCAGATTACCATTGTATGTAACTTATGTTTACCCCAACATTTAAATTGCCGACACAATGGTTATATATATATATAAAACAAAGGCTATTTGACAAGAAAGAATTGGCTTAAGCCACCCTGCCCGCCACCTGTAATCGTCCCATAGTAATTGGGGTTAGAGGAACATAAAATGGGTCCCATTGACGTAGGAATGAAAGGTGATTTATTAATCCAACACGTGCTAATTAATCACATTTTTAACCTTTTACGAGTGACCAGGTTCCCATTTGTACCATTTATCTACCTTTCACAACAAACCTTTTCCATGGCCTAGGGTGATTAAGTAAAATTAATAAAATAGCGTACGTAATTCCTCGATCTAAAGAACTTTTATCTAGAAGTTCGTAGTTTCACAGTTCAACCAGCTCATGTGACGCTCTACCAAGGATACGGTACTACTGCCCAAAACATAAACAAAAGCCGCCTTTGATATGATTCATATGGTTGGTAAACTAGTTTGAATCACAACCTTTGTGTTCTCAAAGTGGTATAAAAAGGTCAACCAAATTGAGCCATTGCCCATCTTACTAAAGAAATTTCCTCCTCAACTTCCATCAAACAAAGTCCTTGTCATATTCCTTGATTTCTGACAAATTGAAAATAAACAAAAGAGAGAGTGTGGCCTGAACATGTGATGTGTGTTATTAAAAAATCGTTACACATTATCAGGCGAATATCATATACTGTCAGCCACCTGATGGAGTCATAATTAAAAATTAATCCATTCAATTAAGAATTAATAAACCAGATGCCTTGTTATTGAGATTTTGTGGTTTTATTTTAATGCGAGCCAAAGGGAAATGGAGAGGTCTAGTACGGATTGACGACACTATTCTTTTCACACATGAATTATCATTGGAGAACTCAATTCTTCTTGTAGAATTAATAATATCCTTCCCTTCCTCGAGGTTCGCTTTTAAGTTAGGGCAATGGTTAATTAGTAGCAAGTTGTAATTTCATACATATAAGTTAAGGCAATGGTTAACTAGTAGCAAGTTGTAATTTCACACACATATATATGTTCACGTTCAGGATGCATATAAATAATTGAATTCAAGTTTTATAGACTTTAACTAGTTGATCAGAGAAGTGAAAGAAAAATATATATTTTTTAAATTATAATTATATTATATAAGTGACATTAATACTTATTAGAATTGGATAGATAAGATTAGTAACATCTAAATAAAACATTTAAACTTGTGGTGGATTAATTATTTTTTTAATTTCATATATTATTTATTTATTGTTTATTTATTCGATATGAAAGACATTATCAACAATAGTTCTATCTTATCGTTTTATAAGTTAATTACCTTCGACCTTTCTTAATGTAAAAGCAGAGAGATGCATTATACTCAATATCCCATATTAATTACATATGGTTACTTTGATTGTTTTTGTTAAGAAATATCCGAGCAAGATGGAATACATCAAATAATAATGATAATAATAATTTAAAATGCTTGTAAAAGAACCAATTGGTAAGTAATATATAACTCAAATGGATTCATGGTGTTAAGTGAGAGAGAGATTTATGAGCCTTTAGACATAAAATTTATGTTTTGGGATTTTATAGATAAAGAATATTTTAAAGGATTTTTTGGATATAAACTTTTCTATAAAGGGATTTTGATAATTATGGAAAAAAAATGCCACGTTTGGTGAAACACCCCCACCCAAGGGGGAAAGAAAAGAAGATCGAAATTAGAAAGAAAAGGGTTAGCCATTTATCTATCCCGTACGTATGTCTCTATCCCTGCGAAAATCTCAGAATTTCTTTCTGCAAGGGTGGAACATAGTTTCTCATTCAGAGGCAGGAATGGCCTATCGCATCAAGTTGTGTTTGAAAGTTGACAAAACACATTCTGCATGGTGCATAATCGGGAGAGAGGAAGAGAACCAAAACCACCTTATTGGCTCTTTCAAAGTGGGAAACTAACCACAAATACTATGGCCCAACATGGAAAAGGGTAATTTGTCCCTAAAAAGGGCGCTCCCTCCACACCCTCTTCCCCTGTGCATGGGTGCTCTGCTGGCATTCCTAGTGATGAACAAACGGTTCGATTAATCGAAAATCGAATAAAATTGAATCGAATTATGAAATTTGGTTCGGTTTTAAATATAAAATTATACAATATAAAACCAATCCGAAAAATCGAAATTATTTCGGTTCGGTTTCGATCGAAAACCGAAATAAATAGTAAAAAATTTCCTAATTTCTAAATCCCTAACTTTTCAATCTTCATTCTTGTTGAAATTGAAACACGCAAATGGGAAGTAAATTTTGAGGACCGTTGGGGTAAGAAAAGAAAGTAACATAGTGTAATTAATTGGGATACAACGTGTTTGAATGAGCAAATTTATTACACTTGGACTCGTTTTCATTAAAGCTTAATTAAAATCTTTAAGAGCTTTATGATTGTTTATAAAAATGATTAATTGATAACAAGATGTTACTTCATTGGCTAGTGGACTAAGTGTTAGTACAAAATATCTCTCTCGTAATGATTTTTTTTTACAATAAAATAATTTGGTTAAAATCGAAATAATCGAATTTATTTCGGTTTTGGTTTTTATTATTTTTTATTCGATTAATTAAAAATCGAATCGAATCGTACAAAATCGAACCATTTAACCGAATGTTCACCCCTAAGCATTCTCTTTTTTCCCCAGTCCAAGTGAAAAAATGTTGAGTCTGATATTTCCGTGCCATTTATACGAAGGATCTCACATATAGAATTTCACAATAATAATAATAATAGTAGCAGTAACAAAATAATAATAATAAATAAACCACAGTAATAAATGTGTATATTATGAGTAATAAATGTGTATATTGTGAAGTCAAGTCTTGCAAGCGTAAGCACCTAAGCAAACAATCCAGAACGGTTGAGACGGGGTCTGTCTTTAATTTATTACTACATATGGATCTTTAGTAAACACTTTCTTGAGATAAGAGAGCAATTTGCATGACGCGGTTTTAGAGCTTGCATGACAGAGGAGCAACAGCTGGGTCTGATGTCTGAGTTCTTCGCTTAGGCAATCACTTCTCAAGTATTACTGCTAGACTGCGCGTGTCAAGTATCATTTTCTGTTCATCACAGCCAACCACAAAAAGCTACTAACTTAAGCATCACTTGAAGATCCCGGAAGCTGCCTCTGGGACAGAATCCTATGTTTTGATATTACTAATCTATAAGATATTATCGACCAAGTACATATATCTTTCTTTTTTAATTCGGACACCTAAATTTAGATACAGAATGATATGTTAGAAGTACATATATGCCCTTGACTTTTTTCCTTTTTTTTTTTTTTTTAATCTGATTTTTTTTGGGTGTCAACTGGGTTAGGATCGCAGGGGTGACTTGCTATGGAAGTCAGGAGAGACCTCTAGATCAAGGGCTTTAATTTTAATAACTTTTCCATGCTGGTTTCTGATTGGTGCATGTGGGCTCGAGTCTGCTAGCTGGATGCCTGGATTGATCCATGCCTTTTTTCTTTCCAAACTTACTGCGTCTTCGGTAAAATAGTCAATACGCTATAAAAATGTCATTTATTAATTAAATTACTAGTGCTAACCTTTTATTCAAAAAGTCATGAAACCGTATTGATGATTTTTTTGGAGAACCTGGTAACTCTTAGCACGCCATAGCAAGCCACTTGCTAGCTAGAAGTAATTAATCAAAGACCACGTACGTATGATCTCACGATAGAGGGTCGAGGTCATTTCGGTTTAAAGAAACAAATAATGGCTTCTTAATTTGACCATTTCCAAAAGTATCTAGCTGTAATGTTGATTTTCTGAAGATAAATAACTAGTTTGATACGAAGTAAAATTTTAATTATGCCATCACGTAGACATTTGGTAGCCAAAATAAAAAAAATAAAAGACAATTGTCAATAATTAAATTGAATCTTGTTATTTTGTACTTCTTGATCAGCCTTTCTTTTATTTATTTATTTATTTTTTTTGGTTTTTTCTTACGCGTATGAATGTTTATGATCTGGTGTGATATTGACCACGGCTGGACAGATAAGTCATTTTCTAAGAAATCAAGAAGAACATTTATTTTCCATTTTTATAAGCTTGAATACACCTGTCACCCATTTCATATTCATGTGTGTAACGTACTGTTCCTTGACTAGGGGGATCTATGCTAAACTTAGAAACTCAAACCCCCAACCATCTATAAATAGCGGCTTTCGTTTCCACACTTTCACTACATTTCATGATTCATTTCCTTACTTTCAAAAGAACAACAACAAGAAATATTACAACAAGTTACCCAAAGAGTAAAACAGAAGACTCCTTCCAACTCCTTTAGTTTCACCAAAGCATTCATCATCATTCAACAAAGCACCCACACAGATCCATTCCAAACTTTTTATTGGTTCAGAGAGCACTTGATCTTTGAAGTTTGCAAAATCTACATCACTCCAATATCTAAGAATGGTGAAGAGCGAGCACAAGATCCAGTTAGAGACTTCAAAACCAATGGCAACATCATCCACATCTTCACCATCACCGTTATCATCAGCATGCAAGAAGAAGAAATACAAGGGAGTTAGAATGAGAAGTTGGGGCTCATGGGTGTCAGAGATAAGGGCACCAAATCAAAAAACAAGAATATGGTTAGGCTCTTATTCAACTCCTGAAGCTGCTGCCAGAGCCTATGATGCTGCACTTTTATGTCTCAAGGGCTCCTCTGCCAATCTCAACTTTCCTATTACTTCCTCACATTACATTCCTGACACTGTTATGTCCCCCAAGTCCATTCAAAGAGTGGCTGCAGCTGCTGCTAATAGTTTTGTAGGCAATCCCACTACTCCACAAGTATCGTCACCTCCTCTTCCTAGTTCCTCATCATCATCATCGTCAATCTCATCACCCCCATCAATCGTTTCTTCACCGTCCGATCAGCTTGATGATTATATGTCACTGATGGAATCTTTTGTGACCAACAACGAACCGATTTCAATGCTAGATTCCTGGTACAATTTTGATGGCCTACAATCACCAAAGTATCTTGATCAAATGTTCAATGGGGTCTCATTCAATCCGCCGATGATCGATGATTTCTACGAAGGGGATCTTCGTCTATGGAGCTTTCCTGAATAGTTCAAGTCCAAGATCAAGCCAACCCATACCATTCTTTTGTCCATTCATAATATTTGATTCATTTATGTTCTTCCATTGTTGCCTGAAGATATTACTGACAGTGACCTAAAGTTCACGTATAATTAGCGTATTGAGTTAGGAGAAAGAGGCTCACATGGGAAAGTTAACATTTTTTTGGACCATCTCATGTGGGTCTCTATATATTGAATTTATGTAATATTAATTATTCAAAGTGTGTTACATGTAATAATTATTATTATTCTTTCATTGTAGTTTTTTTTTTTTTTTTTTTTTTTTTTTTGCATCCAAGCCTTGTTACAAAAGCCAAGCCAGGGATACTAATTAGATGCTATTATGATTGAAAAAGAGAAAAAATTAACAGTTTGGTGCGCCTTTGGACAAAGTGAAACTCGGAAAGCCCTTTTGTTTGATAAAAGTGTCAGAAATGCCTATCTCACTGGGAACATGGTATGGAAACTTGAAACCATCTGCAAGGGTTTTTATTTTTAATTCAGTTGCCTTAACTGGTAATATTGGATTCTTACTGCTTCAATAGAAACATGTAAATCCAAGAAAGATTTCGATGTTGGTGTAGTATGTGCCATGTTCCTTTCTATCTACAATTCACATTAAACAATGAGTCAGTTTTTTGTTGTTTTATCTACCCACCAAAAGAACAAATCAAGGCAGGGAAGAAGATTGATCCACCAGTATTTCAAACATTGCGCATATCCTTTTTTTCATTTTGAAGAAAAATGAAAAAGGCTATCTAAATTTTGGTGGATGTAACCATATTAATTGTGACTTGTTTGATTTAGCATCGACTGCTGTGAATTTCTATCCTAAGATGCCCGTCTGTCTTCATCATAACAGTATCACTTATGATCAATCAATTCTTTACAGCAGGTCCAGGAATATAGATTGACCATTTATTGGTTTTTTTGTCCATTTTTCCTAGTCAAATACAATCTGAAGCATTGCCTGAAAGCCAAAATAGCACATGACCTGTTCTCTTTTGCAATGGGCTAGGGCATGGGGTCCCATCCTTAATTGTCTCTTCTGGAGCTCTCTACATTGTATTTGGTCTCTTCAAGGTGTGTTTTCAATGGGCCACGTTACTTGCTTTCGATGCGTTCATTCTGTGGAGCTTAGAATATCGGTTTTTTTGGGCCATTTGGCGTGCCAGTGCCAAGGCCTATCATGGATTACGGTCCCACAGAAGCAGTATTGTCTTTGTCAAATTTGAGCATATGAAAGATACGGCTACAGCATGACAAATCCATTGTTGCAAAACCACAACACCTCATGTGATCCACAAAGTATCGGTCAATCTGAGAAGTCACCATATTCTTCATTTATTGTTACTGCCCACAGTTTGCTTCAAACGAAAGGGTGATTGTCATGCATAATGCACTTTGTCTTGATCAAATTCTTTGTTTTGTTTTTGTGTATTATATTCTCTTAATTTTTTGGAAATATGCAAATAGTTTATTGCATTACAAAAACTTATTGTATCATGTAATGATCCAAATTCAGCTATTTTGACAAATAATCCAGCACTGGGGTGCACTATGGAGAGTGGATGTTCTACGAATGGCTAGCATATGTTGATGTTGTTCTTAGAATCTAAAATGGACTAACCTTAAAAAATATTTCAATGAGTTTTGGGTTTTGGTTTCTTTCGGATTGAATGCACATTCGAAAAAACGATGGTTCTATAGCTACTGGTATAACCCCCATCGGTATCTTTACAAAACAAGGAAATTTAGAAAGTAAGTTCAATTTTAGCATAGACATCACTAATCTTTTTTTTTTTTTTGAAATCCCAATTACAGAATATATATATATATATATATAGTTTGGGATTTTCAAAATATATCACACGGAGCTATATTGAGTCAAATAGATCATAATGTAAGATCCAACTCTAAAATACAGTAAATGAATTAAAAAAAAAATGATTTTGTCCACTAGCTAGTATTTCATTAACCAGGATAAGAAATTTAATTAGCCAACTATTTGTTTTCTTTTTTCTTTTTTTTAAGATATAATAACTAAGTCAACCAGGTGAAAATTGATAGTAATTTAGTTCTAAATATTTTTGTGTGTAAGGTAATTTTACACACAAAAAATAAAAATAAAAAATTGCGATCATTGGATATCTAAGACTCACATGAACTTATTAATAAATCCCATCAAACTAACGATTTACAGTTTTTGCGAAGCAGACTATTTTATTTTTATTGGCAAGAAAGGAATCGGGAGCATATGGTCCGTCCCAAATCTCTTATTTTCAGGCTCCGAATAAGCCCAGTCTAGAACCCAGAAACTAGCCTATTTAGCACAAATGGTCTACTAATGGGCTGCCCATGAGTGTGATATTGATTTGGCCCATGTTTAGGGTTGAACCCAAAAACCCAAAGATGGGCTCAAAGTTAGATTTGGACCTATCATAACTAGCCCAATAAACCCTAGCTCTATGAATCTTGAAGTCCTATTAGTACCACGCCTGGTATCTTCGCACATTTAACACCCTCTCTTATTTCCTTCTGTCTGCGTACTATTCGCGTACAAAACAAATGGGTTTTACAAAGGATCAGTTGCTTGCTCGCTTGAAGGTTTGTTTCTCTCTTAAATTTGAGCTTTTTGTTAATGACAGAAACCTGATCTGGGTCATCTATGTTTTGTCCCATTTTCCAATTTCTTGATCTCTTTATAAGAGTAACTAGTGATGGATAATATTGGATAATTTGGATTTAGCTTTCCGTCATTTTTTTCGTTAATTTATGTTTGCACGATATTCAACAAGAATTGTGTGAATCAAATTGCAAGATCACCGCATTTGAATTGGGATTAGCAATTTGATTGACTTTTTAATCAGAACCTGAATTGCTAAAAGTGAATTGTTTTATAACTTGAATGTGCACGCATTACTTAGTGATAGCTTAGGTAATGTCTCTATTGTAAATTTTTTACCAATCCGGTGTTGATATCTTTTTAGGAGCTTCAAATTGATTTTTCGCAGTATGAACATCCTACTGTTCTGACTGTTGAAGCACAGGTAAAAATTTTCTTTTCTTTTCTTTTCTTTTTTTCCCCCTAAAATACTAGATTATATTATACTTTTCTATTGATGCGAGAATAGCCTGTTTTTCATCAGGCAAAATATGTCGGAGATAAAGGAGGTGGCCTCAGTAAAAATTTATTCTTGAAGGTAAACTATAAAGATTAGTTTGAGGTTTTCAGTTGCTAATTGTTCCGGTTATATGTCTCGGCAGTTTTTTACATTTTTCTTCATCCATAGCCTGGTAATTACACATCCCTATAAATGCAGGACAAGAAAAGCCGTTTCTATATTGTTTCTGCCCTGGCGGAAACAAAAGTAGATATGAAAGGTGAGTTATGTTTCTTTTTCTTTTTCACTTTCTGACATTATAAAACCTAAATAGGATTGGAAGTTACGAATGCTGATATTCAATTTTTTTCATTTCCTGGATATTGATGGGAGTTGTGGTTTTGAACTGAGCAGTTTTGTCTCAGAGGCTTGGTTTGGGGAAAGGAGGTATAAGAATGGCTCCTGAAGAAGCATTGGGTGAGATACTTCAGGTACGTGCCTGGACTGTGCTTGAGTCCTTCCCTTGTCGCATTTTTCCATTTTCATTTCCTTGTTACTGACATACCTTATTGCCGTTTTCAACAAAGAAAGCATCTTGTTATGCATTCAGCATGTGTTTATAAGTTGAATTGTTCGAAAGATTGATCAACATCCTGCTGGTTTTTTACAATAGTCTTGCTTGCACTTGTATTTGGCCTTGACTTCTGACGGCCTGGGATAGGATGCTGGAAAAATTCTGGAAAATGTGCATTGGATTCTGTTAACTCTGTGAATCCTGAGAGAAATTGAACTTTGTGTTTGTATATACTAGAATTGTTAAGTTTTGATATTCCCATCTGATGTACCCATCTCCACTGCTGGTATGCGTGAAATCACATCCATGACTGTGTTGCAATGGTAATGATTTTATTAGATCAGGTTTGAATAAATGCCAGGTCTCATTTTATGAGTTAATGAATTCATTGCATGTGTGTCGATCTAACATTTCCACATTTCTTTGTGTTTATTCTGTTTGATTAACTTGGTCTAAAGGTTCAATGGCAATTCACTCTCTGATCTTCTTGTGCTTTGTATTTTCAAGGTTCCTTTGGGCTGTGTTACTCCATTTGCACTTGTAAATGAGTCAGCACGGTGAGCATTAAATTTTGTTTACTTTGGCATTGAATTTTTTCCTTTCTTCTCTCAAGTCTTTGTTAAACAAATTCATGTTTGCTACCTTTCTAAATAATGTTTATGTCAAATGTTTCAAATCTTACGCAGACTATGATATCTTCTCGCTATGTAGGATGCATATCATATGCAATTCTTCTCATTGTAGTCATCTAAACTGCTACATAATCAGCACTGTTAAAGAACTGAAGTTTCATCATCCATCTAAATGTTCTTCAGCCACACATTATGAAATCATTTCTTAATTGAAGGCTATCAAGCAACCTGCTCAATGAGAGGGATGTAATAGAATCTAGTTACAGGAAATTGATGGGATACATAAGGTAGAGGAATTGATAAAATATAATAAAAGGAGAGGTGTATAGACAACATTTCTGAGGTGATTTTGGATAATTGTTATAGTATCAGGCATGCTTTTGAGGATACATGAGGCTTTGAATCTATTTCTAATGGTCACTTTAAAGTTATTTTAGCAGTTTGTTCCATCATACTGTTGGCTGATGTTTTCAGCAAAACTATTTGTTGATGATTTTCAGGTTCATGATAATTGGAAAGATAATTTCTTTATTGATAACTAACTGATGTAAAGCTATTTCATAGAGTGACAGTCTACATCTTTCTGTGCCATAACATGTTTTCCCTTTAACAAAACTCTTGTTCATCGAGAACAATGAATTAAACATCGCAAAAAATTGTGGGCATGTCTCATATTTAACATCTATGACTTTCAGTTATGACACATATGCTGTCGCTTTGTAACTTTTTATTTTGATTGATACCCTCTTTAGGCAAGAATCACTTAATAACTATCGGTGTGTACATTATCCAATATCTTTGTCTTATGAAGGCATGTCTCCCTCTTGTTGGATAAAGGATTTCAAACTCAGGAGCGTTGCTTTTTCCATCCACTATTTAATGATATGTCAATTGGTAAGTCTGACGATTTATTTATTTTTTTTTTTCGGAACTTTTTTGGTCTTTGGATTTGCACAATTTCTCAATGTTCTTTTACTTGAAAACCACTTTGTGTTTTTTTTTCCCCGGTTAGGATATTGCACCTGTGAACCTGTTTAAAACCAATGATTTGAGAGTTGCGACTCTTTGCTGCCTATATTTTTTATATGTAACACAATAAGAAACCACTTTTCAGCTCCTGTATATGTTTTTAAAACTAAATTGCGACGTGTGTCTCAATTTCAGTCAATTGCAGCCCCATTCAGCCAAAATGTGGTCCAATCCACGTCAATTGATGAAAACATCAGCTAGCTACTGTGAACTTTTAAGGCTGTCTCGTCTTTCCCTTCATAACCTCAAGGCCTGTCATCGACCTGCAAGTAGCCTTAACATTTTGCAGTAGCTAATAGTGGATGTTATCAATTGGTGTGCTTTGGGTCGCATTTGATCAAATTGGTTGTAACTGACCAAATTTGAAAATAAGGTGCAAATCTCTGACAAATGGCTAAAAGGCTTTTTCTTTACATCACTCAAACACGGTAAATAGGAATGCCTCACATGATGAGGTATACCATTAGTAATTTCGCACTAGAATGACTGATCAGGCATTTGCTGTTCTTTTTTCCAGCTCTAAATGCTTGCAATCTTGACAAGTTTCTTAAATCAATAGGAAGAGATCCTTCATACGTTGACCTCGAGGTAATTTATAGTTGAGTTTGTTTTGTTTTGTCTCTCTGTATTTTTTTGCAGAACATTTGAAGTTACAAAATTATGTTTCTTGTAGGCTAACCCAACTGTAGGGAAGGATCAACCTCCAGATCTTGCTGCTTTTGTTCCATCTGGTTCAACTGTTCTGCCAGATCAGCCAGATAAAGCAGCTCCCTTGCAAGATCCTACTGAGAATTCCATTCCTGTGAATAAGAAGTCTGTAGCTGCCACAGGTAATCAATCCATATGCGATTTGCATTTCAGTTGTCCACTGATTTCTATAGGGATAGACATACTAGCTTTTCAGATTTCTTTCTTGCCTATTGGGCCTTTACTTTCACGTTTCCTGTTCAGCAATCACTGTAAGATCTCCAGACTCTGGACTTTTTAAAAAAATTGTACCTGCTTGCTTGCTTGTACATGCACTGCGGCTTATATATGCATAATGCAATTTCATCGTATTTGACAGTCCACCCCATAATGACTCTTATTTTTTTGATGCAGTGAAAGCTACTAAGCCGCACACTGTTGCACAAAATTCTAAAGACAAGTCAGTCAATCCTGTACATCAGCCACGTGTTTTCTCAGATGCTGGATTATTTGTGGAAGAGATTCTAAATAAGACGTCAGCCCTATTACTTTCAGAAGTAAGTGTGGTACCATATGCTTCATTTTTCAACCTTAGTGGTATCTCTGAGTTAAGACTTGTGGAATTTTTTCTACACAGATCACAGAGGAAGCTGTCAAGGAGAATGGTGTAAATCTAGGAACTGTGGTTGCTGACAATATTAGAAAGCGGCTTAATTCAGATTTACAAAGCATTGCTGTGAGTATTTGTTATTCCTTTCAAAAATAAAAATAAAAGAAGGCGCTAACTTTACCCTCTTTCTATGTTCATGAGGGTTTTTTTTTTTTTTTTTTTTTGGGCAGATGATGTTTAAGAACACAGCCTATACGCAAGGGTTTCATGCTGGTGCTCACCGTCATTTATAGCTTTCTTTCTTTGTATTCTGTTGCAAAGAATAGGAATGAATGAGTATTTGAGAAAATACGTACTGATCATTGTTTGTAAAGTAGGGAGTTCAAATATGTTGAGAGAGATAGAACACCTTGTGAAACAACCACTCCGTCCCAGAAATAGATGCAGTTCTGGATGTTTGTTAGGAATTAATACATGTGATTTGCACTTTTGCAGCTTTTGAATATTTCAATGACAGAGAAAATTTATGGAGAGACTACCAAAGTGATTGAAGTGCAAATAAATTTGAGGATCACTTCTGAGGCTGTGAGAGAATTGAATTTTGTTGCCATTTTCAAGCTCTCCACTTGGAATTCTTAACCATTAACCAAGGGACTTGATTCTTTAGCGAAAAAAAATATATATAAATAGCATAGGTATTTCCCTTATGTTTGATGAAATTTTTGCATATAAATAACACATCATGCCTATACAATCATTTCACATGCTTATGAACGAATTATTTTTGTCAACCAAATTGGAGACGAGTGAGAAGCTTTTTAGGCTGTCTCATCAAAGTACAACAGGAGTCGCATAAAACCATATCTTATCCGCGGAACCAGCTTTGTCCTGCAACACAGAGTCACAACACCTGGTTAGTATGTGCAGCAGTAAAGAATGATACTTTGTATGTTAACTGTGGAGAAACATGGTCATTTTACGGATAGGATATCGAGATTCCTTTGGATAAAATGCAATTCATTCACAAATTACCAATGCCAAATCCAGAAGTATTTGTGAAATCAGAAACTATATTCAGATTTCAGTTTTAGTAACAAAGTTTCGTAGAGATAGTTTCAGATTGCAGACTACACCTATTCCAGTTCCAGGCCCAGCCTCGCATTGGGAAAATGAGTGAAAGTGCTTGATATGAGGTACGATGATCACAAATTACTAGCAACATATTCTCAAAAAAAAAAAAAAAGAAGAAGCTACTACAAAAGAGAAGGGTAAATTGGCATACCTGTAGTCTATCAGCTGTCCTTCACGATTTCTTTTTGAGTGCTCTTCCTTAAGAAGTTCATACAATTACATTCCTAACAAATATATAGCCATAATAAAGTCGATATAAATTGCTTTAGCAAGACCATCAACTTTTTAGTGCTAAAGAATATTGCAAGAACACCATCGTGAATCAACTGCTGGAAAGAAAATATAAAAGATGAATTCAGTATTTAACAGGCGAATCACAACCATTTTCGTATATTTTTAACATCCATCAAGTTGTGCTATTCAGAAATTCATCCTTGCTATGAAATAGCATGATTTGCCATATACAAACGTTGTCTATTTCCAGACTTGTAAGATGAAAACATGAGAGTTGAATTTCACTGTCCCACGCAGCCATCAAAGAGAATAGATTAAGAAGTAGCACATACGTCAAGGAATAATTTTATACATCCAAATAGTTAAACTTGCAACCATGTACTCGTTATCAGCACATGATCTTGCTAAATATAGGTGGAGAAGAGAATTCAAGTCTCACCTCCGTGAGAAGTACCGGCGTCCTGTCCATGAGGACTAATCCGCCCATACCTAGCGCGAAATGGCCAAAAAGATGCCAATTGCCTCCTCCACCTCATGCACCTTCCCCTCTCACCCCCTCCATCCTCACACTCACTTTCATCTTGAGTACTGCTTTCACTATTAACAGGCAACTCCTTTCGACAAACTGGACAGGAGTTGTGTAACCTTAACCATGGCACGATACAATCACTGTGGTATATGTGATTACAAGGCAACTCCCTTGCCTCCCCCCAACCTTAAGCTCTTCCTTGCAAACTGGACACTGTGAGTCGTACGCCAAATGACTTGCCTCGACTTTTACAGTTGGTATTGTATCGATGGAGGAATCTGGAGCTGGAGGTGGCCCTTGTCGGTCGTTTTGTGTCAATTGCTCAATCAACTCGTTTAGGCCTGACCCCAAAAAAAAGTCCCTGGGATCAACCCGAAGAGGAGCTTGGTTTTCAGGTTGCAAAAGGGGTTCAATTGGTTCACCCGAAGGATTCCTTGGTCTGAGGATGATCCATGGTCTTGGCCTAGATTGGATTCCAGGTTCTTGATCCAAAATACCTCTCCCATCGAGACTCCGATTTCGACGCCTCCGTGAGCGCATTTCAGTATCAGGATCCAATAAATCAAACCGCGACAGGCTATGAGATTCAGGATCCCAATTCTCTCTCCCATCAGGCTCTAGGGACAGATTTCTACGCCTCCGAGGATGAGTTTCTGTATCAAAAAGGTCGTGTCGATTCCGTCTCCGAAACCAGGACCGGCGAGGAGGTTCAGGGTCTTCAAGAAGACCATAATTGAATCTTCTGATTGGTGGATCAAGCATGAGAGATAGTGCTTCCAGTAAGCGAGCTTCTGGTGAAGGATCAAAAGCAGTGAAATCAACAACCATTCTTGGTCTATTAATTTCAATCTCACAAAGGAACTGCCCTGAACAACGAGGGCAGGTAATTTCTGATGGGTCCGTCGCAGCAATCCTGACCATTTGATGGCAATGGTAGCACCAATATGGCTGGAAGTTTCTTGTGGTGCCATTGGTTCTTGTTCTTGGTGGACTCGAAGACATAATTCTTTTAATAGAGAATTGGAATGGTTTGCTATTTGTTTTGTTTTTGGTTGCAGAGTTTGTATTTCTTTTCAAAATGAATATACATAAGGTGAAAAGATTTCAAATGAGAGAGCATATATGTAGAAGCGATAAAGAAAGGATGACTTCTTGGGGTTGCATAAAGCAATTCTTTCTTTTCCTGCCTCTACTTGCTGTCTATTCATTCACACTGTTCCTTCTGTAGAGAGCAAAGTATGAGTGGGGTCTGGTACAAGAAGAGAGCTCTGCACTCTCCTGCTAAAGGGAGGTTTTCTGGTGGTTTTACCAAAAATAAGAAAAGAGAAAAGGGAGGGAAAGGTTAACGGCTAGCTTTCCCGGGAAGGGAGGTTAGCATCTTTCTATTTGGACAAGAAGTACCGTAAATATATGAAATTATTTTTAAAAATAATTTTAATTTGATAGATTGTACTATATTGAAGATCTGCTAAAATATATTGAATTAAAGGTTAAAAAAAATATCTACTTTTATAATTTATTCTTTTTTATGTTTTTCATAAATTTTATAATTAAAAAACATGATTTGTTATTTTTTTATATTTTGATTTTTATATTAGAACTTGCAATAATCTAAATAGAATATTAAATCCAAAATTTTAACAAACACCTTAATATATATTTTTTTATAAGATTGTATTGAAAAAATAAAGTAATAATTAATATAAAAATTTGTATAAAATTAACAAATGAATTTTTTTCATTCTTATTTAATTGTGATGAGAAGATTATTTTAAAAAATATATTTACATTTGATTTATATATGTTTATTCACAAAATAATCAATAATATTAATATAAAAATGTGTATTTGAATCATTTGAATGTTTTTCTAAAATATTATTTTAATTATTTTATTTCAAAAAATTTTGATTTTAGAATATTAAAAGAAAATTAATAATAAATAGTTGGTATTATATGTGTAAATGTATAGGTAATTTCTAATAAAATCTGATAATAAAGTATTAAAAAATGAGAAAAACAGGGATCGATGAGTTATCAACAAACGAGAATGAGGAGAGGAGGAAAACGTAACCAAACAAAAGGAGAAAATGGCAAAAAAGAAATTATATTGAAAAAGAGGGTGAAAAGCAACTAACCTTGTCAGAAAGAGAAAAAAAGGAGGATGTAGCTGCAAGATGCCTATCCCAAAAAAGCAACAACATAGATAGCAATCAAGGACAATAACATGAACTACCAAGATGAAATGAAGAAATTTAGTCACAAAGCACAGTGCTTATGCCTCTGTATCCGTAGCGAGTAAGTGAATAGTGAAAGAATAATGACTATCTTAGATATTTTAGTTTTCTTTACTAGTTGAATATCGGTACTATTTTACGATAAGATAATCATTATGTATATAGGATCAATAATTTATATAATATAGTATGAGTAAAAATTTTATTTCGATAATTAATATAAATCGAATCTATTTGTTAAGAAAAAGCGTTTGATTTATATATTCATTTATTAACAAAATAATTAATAATATTAACACACACATGTATATAACATGAAAAATAATCTAATTGGAAGGTTTTTTTTCAAAACATTATTTTAATTATTTTATTTAAAAAATATTGATTTTATAACATGAAAAAAATAAATAACAAATAATTGAGATTATGTGTGGATATACATAGTTAATTTTTAACAAAACCAATGATTCAAATATATACATATATATCCCATAAATTCAATTTTTTAATTAATTATTTTTAAAAAAATTGTATCAAATTATATATAACAGACTTTTAGCTCTCTCTCTCTCTCTCTCTCTCTCTCTCTCATATATATATATATATATATATATATATATATATACATATACATACACACGTAAATACGCTATTCTCATTTAAAAATTATAAAAATTCATCGTATAAATCATAATAATATATATAAAAAGATTAAATAATATTCTAAAATTTTATTTCAAAATCCATTTATAAAAAAATAAAATATATTTATTAATAAATAAAATAATATGATAAAATAAAGAGTAAATTTTATTGAAATCTCTATAAGTAATGATAAATTGAAGAAATAAATTTTAAACAATAAGAGTAATATAATCTAATATCTATGTTTAACATAAAATCATAAAACATGTTATATATAATTCATCATCATCATCAAAATATACGTAAAATTAAAAAAAAATAACGATATAATTTCTATAATTTTCATTCCCAGTTTCATGATAAAAAATATAAAAATAAATTGTTGAAAGAAAAAACAGCCCAAGCCCGCACACTTGGGTCTGTTTGTGTAGGCCCGAGTTAGGACAGACCAGCCTGTCTCGGCCTGCATAGTCAAGCCTGTGCGAGAGCCACGCCCTGCTCGCTTGGGCCTGCTTCTATAGGCTGTTCGCGAGGCCAGCCACGCTTGGGACTGCTTCTCCAGCCTTGTGGTTCTGACCAGCTCAAAATAAGAAACCTGGATCAAAATAAAAGGTTTGAAAACATGACGGACCAAAGCGTAAACTGGTGTATAATTTGCTTATAACTGCTCGAGAAAGACGCAGAAATATATAAAAAAAAAAGCTTTAATGAATAGCGATAATTAATCTATAGCTACAGTAAATGAATAGAAAAATCTTAGTTATTTTAGTTTTTTTTATAATTATAATAATACCTTTTTCTAAAATGAACAATAGTTTCTTCCAAATTTCTTCTTCCTCCTGCTTTTCTCTTCCTACCCTTTCTTCTTTGAAATTTTCTTTTGTTATTTTTTTAGAAGAATGTGGTTTGGATCCATAATTAGTTTAAAAAAATTGATAAAAGAATAGTTAGGATAAAATTTAAAAACAAGACTTACTATCCTAGTACATGATTCATAAATAGTTAAAGGAATAAAATTACTAGCATACTTATTAGATAATTTAACTTTTTGTATTTTGAGAGGCCGAACTTCATTTATTTTCGAATGCCTAATAAGTCCCTTCCTGCTATTATCTCACAACCAATTTTATTTTCCATCATTCAAAGTCAATACAAATACATTTTCAAAAAAAAAAAAAAAAACATTACAAGCACTAAGTTATATGTTTGCATATTTTTCCTAAACTTCGTGCTTTCTATTATATTATTTAGAAATGCTCCTATAAATTGTAATACAAAGAGTGGTCCAATTTTGAACAAAATAAAATTATTAGATAAAATTTGTTACAAAAATAAATTGGTAATAAATTTGTTATACATTTTGATGGGCAGTAGAGTAGATGCTGACTAGCTAAGCTATTGAATGAATTCAACACTACTCAAATACTCATATGTTGAAGGGTGATCCGACTTTAACGGTTTGGTTGATTTATAAATAAGCAAACCAACAAACAATCAAGCTATCTCGATTTCCTTGTTTTTACATATCAGTAATATCAAATCTTAACCTATTTAAGATCTAAGTTCTTAAATTATACATAAAACTATATATTTAATTTTTTTTATTAAATCAAGTACATTTTATAAATATTTTTACGTATGATTTTATTTAATATTGGGATTGAGATGAGATCGAGATAGTATAAAACAGTTGTATTTTTCTCCAACTGGCAATACGAAGAGAAATACTATAATTGAATGGGCCTTCCAAAAAATTTTAAAAATATATCTTTTTCCCTTACACAAACTATTCTCCAACTCTTTCCATCACCTTTCTCAAATGAGGTTCCTTCATTTTTATATGCCTGTAGAATAATAGCCTGTGGATGCATCTGAATAGAAAGCCTGTTTAAAACGCGATCATACAAGGATTTTATCAATGCATGAAAATTGGTTTAAAGGATACTTTGCTCTTAAGAAGAAAAAACCGTTTGTTATTTTTAGCCAATTGGATCATGAAAAAGCTGGGCCTATTTTCGCTGATTGCTTTAGTCCTTTTGTAAATCGTTTCTTCTCCCCACCATGGGTTCCAAATCCTTCTATTGTTTTTCCGTCTTTACAATGTGATTGATTGAGGTTTATACCTCGAGCTGGATAGTATAATGGGCCCTTGAACCCATCGTTAAGGAAAAAAGTTAGGGTTGGTCCATTTAGCCCGTATTCTATGGAGTGAAAGAGAATGGGTCGGCAACTTATAGAAAACAATATTACCAAGTCATTTTGATTGAGTGGCCCATCCAAAAAATTCTAAACTATCAAAACCCGTTTGATTCTGCCCGGCTAACTTTGTTTTATCAATAAATTAGAGCGATTCGAAAAGGGAGAGGGATTGATGACGGGAAGGGGCTGAAATTAAGTTCCGACGTGCTTTTCTAAATTTCTTGTCTGGGATCATGGCCAGCCAAGGAATGTAAGAAGGAGAAAGAATGACAACATAGTTGAGTGTTTGTTTAATTAGAAACTTCATTTAAATCTCTAGGCTACATCTTCAGCTGTCTCATAATTTATGAGTGGGATAAAACACATTATAAGAACACTAATTTTTAGTAGTTTTTCAATCAAATATATAATATTTTTATTTGAGTATATCGAATTTTTTAAAATTATCAATCAAATAATTTTATTAATTTTTCTATTAAGTGATGATATGTATGTTACGCCTAAAATATCAAATTATAATTTTATTCTTTTTTCTTAATCAAATATATGAATTTTATTTTTTTTCATTTCAGTACATCGATATTTTCAAAATTACTAATATTTTTGTTATTTTTTTTGTTAGTTGATAAAGTGTTCATTAGTCTTAGAATATCAAATTATTATTTTTTTTATTAGAGAAAACTTTCCCCTCAAATTATTCTAGCATTTCAAATTTTAACAAAAATAATATTATTTTTTAATTTTTAAGCTATAAAACCCAAACTAAACTCATTTAGGTTTAGGCATAATTTAAAAAAAAAAAAAAAAAAAAAACCACAAATGTGAGATTTTTATTAAGAAAATTCATTATTTGTGAGGATTTGGGAGAAAGTTCTCTCCAACAAAAAGAGAAGAAAACTATAATTTAGTATTTAAAAGATAA